GAAGCGAAAACCAATCCGAAGTACTTCGCTTCGCATTCCTTCTCGTGTAAGCACTGATTCCGAAGTGATTTTCACTCCGAAACCTCGTTCGATCGTGGGGTGGGCAATCCGAAGCGAAAACCAATCCGAAGTACTTCGCTTCGCATTCCTTCTCGTGTAAGCACTGATTCCGAAGTGATTTTCACTCCGAAACCTCCTTCGATCTTGGGGTGGGCAATCCGAAGCGAAAACCAATCCGAAGTACTTCGCTTCGCATTCCTTCTCGTGTAAGCACTGATTCCGAAGTGATTTTAACTCCGAAACCTCGTTCGATCTTGGGGTGGGCAATCCGAAGCGAAAACCAATCCGACGTCGTGTAACTCGGGCCTTAATGACTGAAGGCCAAATAGAATGCTCCTTTATATATCAATAGAGGCTGTGCCCCACCTGAATGTAGTATAAAGGTGATACAGATTACTACTAAACTGACCTACTAAACTAAGAATAAATACAGATTAGTACATACCAAGTCAAGGTCTCCAAAGGTTACTTTATTGACAGAGCAACCCCCACCCTACCACCGGCAATGAGTCGATTTTTAAATAAATCAGCTATGAGATCACCTATCATATACTGAGGTGATGAAAATGGACAAAGGATCTAGCTACTGTAAAATTTCTTGCCACTTTTATATAATATAAAACCCATTTTTATTACCGAAAAAACCCACTTTAATTTGCATTTTATCAGACCGTTACCATTTTAACTACTTACAGAATATCATATTCCCCAACATGATCCTTTTCTGTTTGTTTTTAGAAGTACTAGGTTGAAAATAGTTTAAAAAGCGTAAGGGGGCATAATTACCCTCTGATAAATGTTCCTGACGCTGCCCAAGGACAGCGGATCGAGGGTGCTAAAACGTTTTTTTGGAGGGGGAGGGGGGGTAAACATGCCTAAAACAAAGAACAAGGCAATTTTTTTACATTTTGCCGGTTGTGTTTTTAATTACATTTTGGAAATTTTGGAGGGGGGGGCTAAAGCCCCTCAGCCCCCTACTTCCGCAGTCCCTGATATTGCCATTACAATGAATTTCTCAGTAGAAAAGTACGCACATTAGTACGCTACAACATTGACTATAGGTCTTCACTCTTTTTTAGGGCAGATAAAGTGCCATGTTTTAGTGAGAAGGGGATATGTGGAAAATATTTAAGAAAATATGTGGAAAATTCCTTCAGCAGATAATTGGTGCTAAATCCCCCTCTTCCTCTTGGCCAGGGGTGTAGTGCTATCAAAATAACAAGGGGCTCTTGCGCAAAACGCTGCGAAAAACACTAGCAATAGTAGAAATTGGCTTCTCTTCAGTATTAACAACGGTGGTCAGCCCCTCCCCCCTGAGCACCCCTAGCACTACACCCCTGCTCAAGGCTACGCGGTCGTATAGAGCTGTGCTAAATGGTTTGCACGAAAGAGTTCACCAAATACAGTTTAGCGTTTTCTGAAAACTGCTTGTTAGTATCTGGGTCTGAAACAAACCATAGAGGTAGGGGGTATTTAAAAACGGGGGGGGGGAGATCTGGGCAAAAAGAGACACCTCCACCATAAGCTGCAAATAGCCTGAAAAAAGACACCTCCACCATGAGCTAAAGAGTGGGGGAACGTGCTCCAGGCCTGGCTTGGCTCCCACAACCATGCGCCAGGTTCAGATATTTTGTAAGGGACTACTTGAATTTTATCGGGTCTACGTGCTTTGGGTTTGACCTAGTCACCCAAATCGTTGGTGCGTCTTGCTCACCGTGCACCGCAAACCACAACCAACAACTTGGAAATATTCATGCACACATCGAGGGTCATAAAGCCGGAGGACGCTTTCCGATTAAAGATGGACTTCGGAACAGGCAATCGAATGAAATCAGCCAAACCTCATATGTAGGCCGACTACAATTTCCCTATTCCTGTACAATTAAAGAAATCGAATGACTGGCAATTCCTTCGTGAGAAATTCAAAAAGAAAATGGTGTTGGATTTCAAATCATGCCTCACGATGCTCAAAGGTGTACATAGCATTTGTAAAACGACGGAGTAATTATCAAGAATTACTTAAAGAAGAAAGAAATCTAAAATTTTCAAGCTCAATCATATATCGTGATATTATATGATTTCAGCGGTCTTCCTTCGTCTAGAAGAGCAAAAAACTGAATGGTCAACTTACCCACATTTGCTAGACAGCCAACCGAGAACAGGAGTAGTAGTCCAAAGTTTAAGTAAAACAAGCTTCTTGTTTTTTTCTCCATTTTCAAGAATTCGTCGAATTGTTGGTCGTGAGATTGTGTTGATGTGACTGGTTATTGTCCTTTTCCTTCAAAATTTCACAATCAGTTTTGAAATAAGGGATGATTCAAAACACAAAACCCTTTGTTAGATGTCATAATGATGTAAAGCATCGGGCACTGTTTTGCCAATTACCATGCATGGTTTATGATATTATGATACGAACCTATAGCACATGCGATCGTTGTTGGTAGCCCAAGAACTCTGTCAGTGCCAATGTTTCTCTAGCAAAATCGTGATCAGTTGCCAGTCAGCTACAGGGGGTAGACTGGTCACCAGAAACGGAACACTTGCGGTAGAATTTCATCACCTTGGCTGTTATAAGAGCCTTTGTTTACAACATAATTTGCTTGAAATTCTCTTGCTTTATAGCATAACGCTTGAAAATGTCAAGTAATAATTGCCCTTAGTTGCTACGTCTTAAAGACAATCACCTTTTCATTATTCTATAATGCGGAAGTTTGTCGAAAAATTTGTGCCGTCACAACCCCGTTTGGTGCCAAGATGACCAGCAGAAAGCGCACTTCCGTGTTTTGAAATTTCCAGAACATATTCTGTGAACATGTCATAGTTCAGGTGCGTAGCGTCAGAAGTGCCGAGGAGTCAGTGCCAAAATTAATCTCCTAAGTATTTGTTGTTACTCCTCTAGTCACCTGATACATTCTTTTTATATGAGCGATTTCATAAGAACACGAGCCTCGAAACTGGCCTAAGAACAAATCAAGAACAAACGGGATTCCTTAAAGTGGAATTTCGAACAAAGTTCGCCTTCTGCAAGAAAATTTGATATACTTTGCGGGAGTGTGGGGGAGGTTTGGGGGCTTTTTCTAAATTAACAATTTCAACACAGAGTTTAGCGCTTTGGTCGGAAAACTTTGTCATTTGTTGGCAAATCTACTTATTTGGTAGAAGGTTTTGCACCCCCCCTCCCCCCCACTTGCAAACTGAACGCCTATTTTTGAAATTTGGTTTTTTAGCTGTGGCGTAGCCAGATTTGGAAGATTGGTAGACCAAAGAGGAAAATATTTTTGTTGATCACACCCCTAAGAATTTGGAAAAACACCCATTTTGTAAATTTGTTTTAAAAAGCCATGTCGTTTTTACGTTGCAATTTCCCTCTATTTAACTTCATAGGTGGCTGACCATATTCTATAACTATCTATTTCCTTCACAATTCCACTAACGTTTATATCCTGAATTGTGTAAGGCGAGGAATCTCTACGCGTAAAAAGCGATTTTCCAAAGTTGTAATCAAATATCTAAAAAATTAACAGTATTCAAAAGTTCTAAACCAAGTCCGTTTTCTTTAGAACAAAGTCCACGAAAAGCATTTCAGAATCCAGTTTTTTTTAGGATTGGACTGCTTTAGCATTTTAATTTTTATTTTATCAGGAATGTCTGAAGACTTTTCTATACAAACCCAAAAACGAGGGGGGGGGGCGGGAAATTACTGAACATTGAGGCTCTCCAGCGAGCAAAGCGAGCAGAAAACTTTTGCGACGAGGCGCTTGAGATCAGCCTAAAATAGATTTGAGAATATCCCCTCGCTACGCTACTGATAAGAAGATAAATACTGATAAAAATAAATAAAGTAAATTTTTGGAGTTACTTTGTTACTATTGACTACCAACAAATGATTTTTACCGAGTGAAACAAAATTTACCGAAGGACACAGAAATAGTGGGGGGTGTCGCACCCCCTACACCCCCACTAAATCCATTCCTGATTGTAAAAAAGCAATGTTGTTCTCAAATATAATTTGTCTGATTAAAAAGTGGAAATAAAATCAAAAGGAAAACGAAACGCTCAAAGTTACACAGTGACTCTCTCTCTCTCTCTCTCTCTCTCTCTCTCGGATCTCTCTCTCTCTCTCTCTCTCTCACGATACACGCGTTACGAAGACACGCAGCTATCGAATGTTTAATTCATTTTCCTTTGGGTTTAATTTCCACTTTTTTATCAAACACAGTGCCGTCGGAACTAAATTCATAGTGAGGGGGGAGGGGGGCTCCCGATTGTATTGCTTCTCATTTAGTACACTGTTATGAAGGAAATGTTCTACAGTTTGACAATTATTGGGAGGGCTCTAGACTCCACACCCAGCCCCACGGTTCTGACGGCCCTGAAACATGTCTCTAATATTCTTTCCGTGCTTCAAATTGCTTTCTGATACAGAATTTTGAATTATTATGTGTAATTTCAGGGCCGGTGAAACTTATTTGAAAGTGGAGGGGCCAATATGATAAGATTGTGAATGGGTCTAGTAAAGGCCGCCATGGTTGGCGCTAAGGAAGCTATTCTTCTAGAAGTCTTATTTTTCCGGGATGGCATAGCCAGTGTTCTCACTTTGCTTCATGTGAATTTCCATAAACTAGCACGAAAATTCCGAGAAAATTCCTTCAGATTTCGGAAAAACTCCTTAGATTTACGAAAACCTTTGATGAAAGATATTCGTTCAAACACCTGTGGCCATAAAACTAAGTGTCAAATTGAGCTATTCATCTCAGACGATCAAACTTTCGGACAAAAATTCGCCGGTAACTTTTTTTGTCCGAAATCTAAGTTTTTCTCAAAGTTTTTTTGTCAGAAAGTTTAGAATTCTAAGAAATTTAAGAAAAAAGAAATAAATTAGAAAATATTCTTCCTTTTTCTTGGAAACATAAATACTATAAGATAGAATAAACACAAAGGGCAAAAAATATACTTTAGTCGTCGATACATTTAATTTATGTTTTTTGCTTTTAACGACAACTCTTCATGGTTGGGATTCGTAGCCTTCATATGAAATCATCACTAGCAGCCCATCGCTCTGATCGTGGATTTCTCGATAATTGCCTTCTCCATCAATTCCAATACTTTCAACATCTCTTCTACCGCTTTTAAAATGTTGTATACTTTCATCAGCATCCAGCATTCTATGTTAGCTTCCAAATCTTAGTTGTTAGAAACAATGTCCTTGTGTAGACGAAGGTACCACCTCTTTTTGGTCTGATATCTTGTACTCAGAACAAGTTCAGTTCTTCACAAGGAATTTGCGATAGGTGGTATTTTTCATCAAGGACGTAGGACGTTCCACATCTTTCAAGAAAGAAACACTACTAGCTCTTGAAGGTTTCTCAGTTTTTCTTTTTTTTCTTAAAAGTGAGAAAGTTATAATTTGGCGTCAATTTATTGCCCACATTCAAATCTTCAACAAACTTTTCCTAGTAAACACCGCTAACCAAATGGAAACAACGTTAAAATTCAATTCGACGGAAAGCAGAAAAAGGCATTTCATTAGTAACGACTGATCAGATCTGAGTCTTCTGATCAGATTAGCTTTAGTACCGATAAGGAAAGCGATGTCAGAGAGCACGAGTACGGTGATTTTGATGAGCCTAGCAAGCCCTAGATATTCTTCTTTAATACACTCTAATTCACGATTACACGGTTAGGGCTATGAAAAGTGCATTCTCAATGGTAAAGAGATGCCCCGTTGCCAGTTTCCCCACCCACATTCTTCAACAGGGAAAAAGTTCACTAGACAATGCTCAGTCGTTTTGCCACCACCAATATTTTCTTGATGTCCATACTCTGAACAAGTAAGCAATGTCCAGTGCAAATGTCCAGTCGTTTTGCCAGGGCTTCAGAGAGCACGCGGACGGTGATTTTGATGGATGCCCTGTTGCCAGTTTTCCCACCCGCATTCTTCAACAGGGAAAAAGTTCACTGGACAATGTTCAGTCGTTTTGCCATAACCAATATTTTCTTGATGTCCATACTCTGAACAAGTGAGCAATGTCCAGTGTGTGACCAGTGCAAATGTCCAGTCGTTTTGCCGGGGCTTTATGTATCGCATTGAAACAGGGATGTTACAGTATAATATGTCGCCAAAAAGGAAATACCGTCAAGAGAAAATAAAACAAAATGTCAATAACATGTTCCCTGAAGAAATGTGTTTGGGCTGTGGTGACAATAATGAATTCATAATTTTCATGGTTTTGGAGTACTCGCATGTATATTTATTCTTTCCCACAAAGTCTCTGAAAATTCAAGCCAAACAGATCAACGCGTGGGTATACTTTTTTGCCTCGCATTCACTTTTTTAGCTAATTTATTTTTTTGCACTTTTATCAACCGGCCCTCAAACCGACCGGCCCTTCGGGCTATCGCCCGAATAGCCCGACTAGCCACTCCACCCCAGGTTGTTGCCAAACCTGAATGATGCGTTAAAAGGTTTTCACCTCAGACCTTAAATGAGGTATCGGTGGATCGAATTGTCAAGTAGCCTTTATATCCGCTGCCACTCTTCACTAACTATATGATAAAAGTGCGAAATCAGCTGACCTATGTGTTCTATTCAAGATAAAAAACCAACTTCCACTGGCAACTACCAGCTACCTTATTCATATTACCTAGTACGATGTAACGAAAACATAAATTACTGCCAAATTCACATAAACATCAAGCTGTCACAAAATATGTATTTGTTATCTAAGAGAGCCTAGAAACGGAACTTTGCCTAAGGATGAGTTATTCAAAAGACCAAAAATGTCCTTTCCTCTTAGTTTTTTTGCAATTTGATAGGCTAGATTTAAAGGGAAGTCTCATCACAGTTGCTCCTTTCGCAGCCAGAAGTTGAAGTTGAGCGGAATATATTGTCTTGAATTTTTATAAGAAAACAATTTATTTTGAGCTCTCAAAAGTGTTTACTTTGATTTTGAGACTTTAGCTTCTTTGCCTTGCAGCTTTTTGACAGTATTAATGGGTCTTTTTTAATGTTTATCAGCATTATATGTAAATTTTTGCACTAAATCGGTAAAAATTTTTGCACTAAATTTTGGATTCTCTGGTTTTGTTATGTTAAAGATGTTTGTGTCCTTGCAAAAATTTTTGGTGGCTTATTACTTGCCGATTCAAAGAATGCTACCACGTTCAAACGGTATCGATCCCAAACTGGTACGGATCAGCCTTCTGTTCACACGGGGATGCTCGGGATTGATCCACTATCTTTACTAATCTGGGTTCGCTATGGAGAGCGTTCCAGTTTGGGATCGTCTAAACGCCCGAAGAAGGTGGGATCGATCCGAAATGGCACGGATAGGAAGCCAGGCTAATTTACTTTACAATTTCAGGTGCTTTGTCAGATTTTACGCGCCTTCTTCGTCCACAAGTTGAGGAAAACAGTGCAGAATGAAGAAAGCTTTCATTTTTGTCATGTTTTTTATCTAATCACGAGTTCATCTCAATCTTTCTACAAGTTGACGGCATAAGCAATACGAATGAGCATTCCCTCCAAAAAGGCCTGGAAAGCAGTGCGGTCTGACCTGGGATCTATTCTATGTAAGCGCAATATATTTTGAAATTGATCCCATAAAAACTTCTGCGAAGTTTTTGGATCCATCCCAAACGAGATCAATCCTAAACTGGATCGGTCCCACTTTCCCTGTGTAAACAGGGTCTAAACTGCGCTTTACATAGCACTTTCGGGGTAGTCAAACCAGGTCGTTTTTAAATATCTTTGAAAAGCGTTTTGCACAAAATTGTGGCAAAAAGATGTATTTTGAAGTAATGACTTACAAAAAAAGTAACATTAGCTTTTTTATAATACTATATTTTGATAAGTTTGATATAGTTGAAAAATACTATTTTTTTATGATTTTTGTATAGGATTGTCAATCTTTTATTGTATCTCGTTTTTCAAATCAGTATTATTTGTAACTGCTAACACTATACATACCATTTACCATTTAAGAACTTTTCCATAGGCCATGAATGGATTAAGATGAAGATCTATCAAATCAGTGGTTTTCTTTTTGTATGGGATTAGCCAATTTGTGCTTTGGTCTAGGCCTAATTAGCAATATTTACTGCTTATTCAGCTGTCTATGAAAGCTGCGATTCCTCTCAATCCGTAAATACTTGAAATTTGAGAACATAAAGTCAGCAATATTTTGCAAATTTCTTCTTGCTTTGCTTTTAATGCTTTCACCCAAAATTTGCCCCCCAAAAAGTATTGTTCACTTACAGTGAGTTACACTTGCTATACTCAAAGCTCAAGCAAGGTTTTCTAGAAACAGAAGTTCCGAGAAAATTGCACATGAAGCTCTTAAACTTATAAAATTTCAAAGCAAAAACTTTCTCGAATGCGAGATTCTTGAATTATGTTACCTTCACAGATATATTTTTCTAACAAATGATCTTTGAAAGTGGCATGTTTCTGTGATTCTTTTGTTTTCATTAGAAACAATGTGTGTTTCTGTTATCTCAAATGATTTTATGAAAGTGGCTGACTACGACAAGCCATCGAAACTGAAGCGAATTTCAGATAGAATAATGGCCTAAAAAGTGTAATTTTTTTATTGCATGTTTGAAATATTGTTACTGACGTACACAAAGTTTTCTGTGCTTTTCTGAACTACAGTTTTGAAACAAACTCGAAGATATGTTTGCTGAGAACTTTCTTTCAATTTGTTTCTTTGCCAAACAAAAGAGAGATCCCAGCCAGCTAGATCCAGGCTCTTTTCGGAGACATCAGCCATGGAATCCAAGACAGGTGCACAGTAGTCTTGGTCTCCCACAAGGAGGGCTAGCTGCTCAAAATAATTTCCGGTGTCGTTCCAGTCTTGCACCCAACTCATGCACCAAGATATGATGAATGTTCCTGGAGTTACCATGCAAATCAATTCAATGGACCCGAATCAGATTCCACCATTCAAATTCGGCAACATGCAGCTCTTCTTAGGCATGCGAATTGAAGCACTGGATGCAAATAATTGCTGGTATGGGATGACTTGAAATGTGGTTTATTTATGCACGTTTTCTTGACCTTGGAGGGGGTGGGGTTTGGGGTTGGGGTTGGGCAAACCATTGTCGGCTATACGACGACAACCTGAAATAAAACATAACCCAAGGGCGCCATTTCTGTTAAATATTTTTCTGTTCTTGGCTGCCTGTTCTTTTTTTATCTTGTTGATTTTAAAGTGATTTGCAACATAAGAATTTCTGCAACTGGGAATCGAGATGACAGACAGACAGGGGAAAACTGGGGCAATTCGGGCACAGAACATTACTAAGTCTTAACGGTAGCTTACATAATGAATTCAAGCTTAATTTGCTGTTCTTCGAAGTGCCAGGATACTCCAAACGACCATAACGTAAAAGCTAAAGTAATAATCCATAATTAAATTCCCCTTTCCTGTACATCAAATGTTCTGTCCCCTGTTTACCAAAATTTTCGAATAATGGTCACCGTTTTTTACACGACACGGGCTTCCGTAGCAGCCACAAACCTACCTCCTCACGTCGGCCTAAGTTGCAAATTCGCGCATTTTATGAGCAGTTCCTTTTTCGATTAATTGATTTATAATGGCAAAATTTGCATTGAATGACGATGAAATCAATAAACTTTTCCTATTGGAGGGAATGCCTTGTCATTTGTTTGTTTTTTAACCACGTTTTGTGATTGGCCACAAAATAATCAGCTAGAACCAGGTCTCTTTTGTTTAAGAGTTGAACTACAGTATTTTTCTGGACACTTTTACCACAAAAAATTTTGTGGAGACAAAATTTTGGGCAAATATTTTGGCAAAATTTTTTGGATTGAATTTTGAGGGAGAAAAATTGCCATGACAAAATTATGAAACTTTTTTTGTTTTAAAAATTATCTTTGATGTTGTTCTAAAAACCTACAACAAAATGTTATTACCTAGAAATTCTGAAATTTTTTTAAAAAACGTTTTTACTGCCAAAAATCAAATGAATTTAATTTATTGTAAAAATTCTGGTGACATCAACAATACTAATTTCATGTTGCATAAAGCCAACTTGAAATGTTCACCCCTGATATTAGTATAAAATTTTATATTTTCATGCAAAATGTTTCTTGAAATTTGCCAAGAACTTAATGTGTAAGATTTCACAACTTTTTCTGTATGTCAATAAATTATTTCATAACAATACTTAATTCCTGATTCCTGATTCCTGATTCCTGATTCCTGATTCCTATATAAATGCTTTCTGTTTTTGTTTTTTGCATAGTTTTTTGATCCTTTCAATCCTATCAGTGCTGTTGCAGTTCAAATATTAATTATTTCCATTTCTTGGCCACAATCTTTGGCATTTTTAGAACTTTTGTATATTAAGATTGTTTATCTGCACTTAGATTTTCCAAGGTTTTCAAGAAGTATGTTGTAAGAATATATGATTATTATAGATAAAGTAAATTTTTTTAATTTTTGTATATTCATCTTTGATGGTGAGTCATTTCAAAGAATTTCACCTAAAGGTTTGTGGGGTATTCTGAATAAGATGCATGCCAAGATTCAATTTTTGGCTCAAAATATAATTCTCTCAAAAACTAAAATGATACAATGGAACCCTGCCTTACTGCCACTTTGTTGATTAATACAGCATTACAGGATTAATACAGCCAACAATCACATTTTGTGCTCTCAAACATCATCATTTTTTATAATTTAACTCCGTTAATACACTAATTTGCATTAAAGCTGTTTGATACACATACAAAGTTTATTAAAACTGTATTAAAACCAAAATAATCTCATCTGTTTTACAAAGGAACTTTTTATATAAATTTGCTTGCTTTATTTCTTTCATATTGCTTCTTGCTCTTTTGCTCTTTCCTATTTCAGACTATTGTCTGTTTGGTAGGTGTGACTCACAGAGAGATTACCATCAGTTACCATAAGGCTTTTCAGAAGCTTCACATATTTCTCTTGTCCTTATAAATTTGTGAATGCAAGGGACTAACATGTGTATCCTTGACCTCAATTTACAGCTTTTCCAATAATCCTCACATCTGCTTTGCATCTTCTTTTGCTAGAAAATGGCAAAGAATCCTTGTTTCTTGCTGCGTGCTTGCTAGTGCTTGTGGTATATGGCCAACTACTTCTCATTTTTTCACAACTGTAAATGCATACTTGTCTTGTTTTCTTTGGGGACTAGTGATTTAATATATTATATTATAAAATTGTATCTACATTAAAGAAGTTAATGTTAATGTTAATTTGTGTTAATTAACTGGTGCTTAGGAAGTTAATGTTAATTTGTACCTCTTCAGCTCCAAAACTTGACTCTTACTTGTTAGTACGGCCACCCTGTTAATAAGGCCAATTTTTGTGGCCTGTTGGTGGCCATATTGACAGGTTTCCACTGTTTTTAGATATCAAATTATACTTTGTAAATTTGATATAAATTTGATATCTCAAATCTAATAAAATAGTATAAACCCTTGTTTTGAAATATACAAAAGAAACCATATTTCAACACCACTACTTAATTCTATGCCAAAAAGTATTCTCAAAGTTTTGTTTTGAAACTTGAACTCCAATTTGAATTGTAATTTTTTTTTATTTTAGTTTTTGCAGATTTATTGGGCACTATTTTAAGAACCAAGGCCCCCTTTTCTGATTTGCAGTTTGATAAAGGTTTTGCAGCTCAGTGCAAATCATTTTATTTTTGCTATGTAGTTAATTGGTTTGTTGAAGTTAAAATAGGCCCAGAAAAACCCTTAAAAGCACTTCATGAATTGGTTTATTTAGTGAATTTAATGTTTTTTATATATTTCATCAGATTATTTTTTGAAAATACTATTGTCGGTGTTTTTAATTGTGTTGTCATTGTGTTTGTTAATTTTCTTAAGATCTGAATACAATTTTTCCATTTTTTGCCAGTTTTTAACACTTAACACAAAATCATAATGGTGAAAACGATATTTTTTGGAATATTTTCTTTTATTTTTAAAATTTATAGCTCGTGTAACAGTGATATTTCGGGGTTAACTTTTAAACAAACAAGTAATAATTTTTTTGATGGATAAAAATAACGTTTTTAATTTTGAATAAAATTTCCTCTGATTTTCAATGACATCCTTTTGCATGTTTCCTCAGATAATCTCTGAAAACTATAATTTCCTGGCATAGATTCTGAATTTATGCAAATTTTGATTGTGTTAATGCATATCTGATGCTCTTGGAGATTCTGTTGTGTTTTTGTTGGAAAATATTTGTTTTTAGCAAGCAAAACTGAATTTTTCTAATTTTTAATAGTTAGATCAAAGACAAGTTGTGATTTGCAATTTTGTTATGTCCCTTGCATATGGTGCTTACTTTAAAAACTTTAAGTAAGTCATTTTGGCCTTCAAAAATTATTCATTCAGTTTATTTATTTGTGTATTGATTTTTTTTTCTATTCAGTTTTAAGCATTGTTTATGAGTCCTTTTTGAAAACCTGTGTTTATTATAATTGTCTGGTTTGTGCTCAGCTTCGAATGCAATATGTTGCTTAGTTTTGCACAAAGTTTGACAGAGAAAGGAACTGGGTGATGTCAAAATTTATGCAAGAAAATGTTCAAGCTGATTTCATATAACTTGAAATAATTGTATTTGTATCCAAACTATTATATCATTTTTTATGCAATCTATTATATCCTTCACCAAAGGGTAATCTTAATAGGTGGTTGCTATTTGAATTAGTTCACATAGTTAAAATCTGATCAGCAGCGTATTAACAAATCCACTGCAAATTTGTAAGTTTTGTCTGAATGCTTGGATTTTATATGGGATATTTCTAAAAAAGATTCATTCTGTTTGCATGACCATAGTTTCTGGAAGTTTATTTTTGGGGCAAGCCCTATCTATATTCTGGAAAAACCATTCTTACTGAAATACATTGGTCTGTCATATATCATTTCATGATCACTTCTAAGTCCTAATACAGTGCAATTTATCAGCTTGTGGTGCAAGACAAATTGAAATTTCTAATTGGAGTGATAAATTTTCTAGCATACAATCAAGATACAAGATTTGAAATTTCAGAAATATCAATAGCAGTAGAGATGTCATTGCCAAAAAAGTTTCTAGGCTATCAAAGTGAAATTGTTTAAAAACACACATTTATGTATCCAGGATGGTGTAAAGTGCATGATAAACAGTAGATCACTAAATGCATTTCTTTCACCTTATAAATTTAGACATATGACTTTTATATGCATAAAAATCAATTTTAGCAATATTTTCATGGTACAAAATAATTTACGAAAAGCTATCTTGAAAAGCTTTATATTTTCAACAGGCAAAAAGGCAATGATATTTTTAAATGATATCAGCAATTTTAATGATTATCAAAGACTTTTTTAGTTCATTTATGATAAAACCTATTCTATTTACTCTTAGTGTGTATAAAATAAAACCAAAATGCATTCTTTGTTTCCTTTGGTATTTTTGCTTCCAAAAATGGGCAAATATTGATACCAAAATGTGATTAAGCTACAATTTAATAAGTGCCCAGAAAACCCCATCTGATAACGGGGTGAATATGCCTAAATATGTCTCGATTTAAGCAAAGTTTGTTTGAGAATGGTTTTGATGAAAGCAAGCATTTTTCTACATACTAAAAGCTTTTTCGTCTGAACATTCATCAGAGTATAGAACGTCAGAAAAAGGGTCAAAATAGACAAGATGGAGAATTTATTCCCAGTTTTGAATCCACAATATGTCAGTTAAAAAGCTTTTAGTATGTAGAAAAATATTTCAAAACCTTTTCAGATTTTGTACAGCCAAAAGTTGTACAGTAAAATTTATGCTTCTTGTCTGATAAAATTTTGGATTGGAAAAGATTTTTCCCTGCTTAGTATGTTTTTGACAAATCATCTGCATTCTTTCATGTGTTTGAAATGTCGAAAAATTAGGAATTATGAGCAAGTTAAAGAAGAGCTGTGCCCTAAAGCTATATCATCAACCAAATGAAGTGCCTTTGGTACTTCTAATTAGCCTGGTGTTATGTCACTCAAATTTACGTTAAGCTAAAAGCATAAAGAGTCCGACAGCCATTCCATAGAAATGACACATATTGATGAAAAAAATATTTTGGAATTTGAATGTGAAAAGTTGTTTTTTAAGTGGTAAAATACCTTGCTTAAGCATATTTATGATTTTATTTCCCAAAAATTGCTGATAATGGGCGTGGCTATGGCTATACCTGACCTTACTATTGCTAAAGGTCATTGACAGACACTTGTACCATTTTAAGAAAAAAGCTCTCATTATTGACATAAATGAGATTTTGTGGTTATTTTCATGTTTGTTAATTCCTTTTATATGAGAGAATGTCTATGCAGTCAAAAAAATTTTTTTAAGTAATGAATAATTATGTAATGCCACACTGAAAAGACCCTCTCTGAATGGTCACACGAGTCACACTTTTCATAATAAAAGTGCTCTCATTTTTCTCCCTTTAATTCTTGTTTCATTAATTGGAGCATAGTTTGGCTTTCAAATGAAAGTCCATGCTGACCTAGAAACTGAAATTGATCAGCCCAGTAATTTTCACAAAAAAATCACCCTCAAGTTTTGTCACGCGAGTCACAATACATCGGTCACATTAGACTAATGGGTTGGATTTAGGTCTAGACAATGTCAAGGAATTAATTTCTCTATTTAGGTACCATATATCATTTATAGACATGAATAATACTCAATGATATGGAAGAATACTAGTTTCTCGTGCAAATGAGGCTGTAAATCTCTTTCCCATGTTGGCACCCAGTGCCAATGAAGTTGAGAAAATACTAGAAAGCTATTAAGGTGGAGATATATCATTTCCCAAATTGATTGAGCCAAATATAGGTCATTGGTATGCTGTTTACTGGGAGCCAACAGACTATTGGTTCCTGGGGCATGTAGTGAGAATTGACTCAAATGATGATGTCACAATGGAATTCCTACATCAGACTTCAGCTGATGCAAACAATTTCAAGATAAAAAATTAAATTGAGTCTGTCTCTGTTTCTGATATCATTGTAAAAGTTGATGCCCCTATGCCAGTCTCATCATCGAGGTGCTCAAAAGTAAAGTTGACAGAGCACGACTTTGCAAAAATAAAGAAAGCCTTTGATAAGTTTCATGAAAACTGAAAAATAATTTTCAAAATACCAGATATGCCAAGCTATTGATTTGATGGCCTTTATGTATCATTTAGTTCTGTGAAAAAGTTCTGATTTTTATGTTACACTTCCAGACACTGATTTAAGCTGGGTTTCCTGTAGTTAGCTCTCACTTGTCACGCGAGTCACATTTGTGGGTCACACGAGTCACATTGCATTGGTCTTTTTATTTCAAAAAGCAAAAATACCTCAATTGAAATTTTCTACTTATATGGTGACTTAATGAGTAGGGGCAATCTTTTTAAAAGCTTCTTCATAAAGGTTTTAAAATTTCTCAGATAAAGTAAGATAGGCAACTGCAATTAAAGACTTTCAAAATGTGGTGGTCACACGAGTCACACCAGATGAACAAAAAAATTGCAGAGGTTAGCAAGTTTTTTTGGAACAAAACATTGCCAAGATAAAGAATGGCTGAAGGGGATTCTATTATTGTATCACAAGCTTTGGAAAATAATTCTGACTTTACTAGACAACTAAATATGTGTGTGACTCTGTCACGCGAGTCACTATGGAATGGCTGAGGAGAAAATGTTTAGTTTCAAAGAACGAACAAGTTTTTTGAATAAGTAATCAATTCACATCCAAATTTCTACCATGCTTGAATTTTTTGTCGTTTATTGCACTGTTTGGATTGCATTACTATGTTTCTTTTTAAGGAATCAAGGAAAAATCATAGGAATCAATGAATCAAACCACAAAGTGCTTGTTCATTTTGATGGAGTGAACCAGAGTGCTGACAAATGGTTTGATATCTTTGATACTTCAATAAGGCAACCACAAGAAGAAGCTAGACAGGTATGTTGCAATTTTTTGAAAATTTGGTTGCTGAAACGGATCATTACGTAATAATCTGATCTTACCTTTATTTTTTGCATTCCTCGGGTTTTAAGAAAACACGGATATGGAATATAGCAAGAATTTTGTTTTTAAGAAAACACGAGTTCTTTTGATTTTTTTATGATCAGTTAAATTATCAACGAAGAATATCGATATGGAGTAAAGAGAGTCGGAGTAACAAGACTCAAAAAGATGTCTACTCTAACAAAGTAAATGCAAAATCTCAAAGACCCTGGGAGGCGGATCATTCAATGACTTAACAGTCTGTATGTTTAACCAACCAATAGTTTTTATTGTTTGACCAACCAATAATGTTTGGATAAATAAACAAATTCTATGGAGCGTAACTTCAAATTTTGCTTTTTCATTTCTCAAAATTCTTTAAACAGCAACTGAAGCAATTTTTGACTTAAAACTAACATTTCGTGGAGCGGGCTATTGGATTGAAAACTGTCGAAAGTCGCCTGGAGTTGATGAAATGTAACGGGATTCTTCTCCATTTTTTATAAGCTCTTCCAATGAGTCCTTGTTTGGATCACGGAGGATTACGTGGATAAGAATTTGTTTGGTGTTACATTTTGTAAATTTGCCTGGTAATAGCTGTGGCATGAGGTGTGGCGGGTGTGTTTTTTGTAAAAAGAGTTTAAAGTTAATAATAATATTAAGTTTGAAAATTGGCTTACAAGAGTAAGGTTTCTGAATAAATAAATGAAATATTATTATTATTATTTGAAATCACACTTGATTTTTTCATCTGATGCTTAGCTAGGTAGTTTTGAAAATAGATTTTGAATCCATGTGCATTGAAATGAAGAAAGCTGCTGGGTGGGAAGTTTGTTTCACCCTTGTATTCAGTTGGTAATGATTTCAATAGGCAGTCAATTCAGATTATTTAATACTCCACAGTCAGGTTTTTTTGTTCTTGGTTGGCGTTTTCGATCCAAAACAGGCCTAATGCTGCAAAAATGCTACAATGTTTAAATGTTTTTTCTGAAGTTTTCTCTTTTGTTTTAGGTTAGAGTTGGCCCACAACCAGTCGCTATTACTCCCAGCAACATGCAGAGATTTGGTCCTGTATTAAGTCCGATACCTATTAGCATGGCTTCTGATCCATCTTTTATCTACGGAAATATAATAGCAGGAAAACAGAACTGGCTGAACGACATTGCGCAGGTAATTTTAAAGTCATTTGACTATTGTGCTTGGTATTTATGTATCATCATCATGTGTTGGAAGCTTTTGCTAAGAGTTATTCCATCTTATAAGGGGTATTCCTTTCTCAAGAAGCAGAGTTATCAGTCTTCAGAGTTTCAAAGCTCCAAAACGGGAACAATTTTTGAGGAGTTATAAGAGGCGTTAATGGACTGTGAAAAGACAGACAAAGGAAATTTCGTTACCAAGTAAACTTTTCGTTGTCATTTTCATTAACAGCATCACCATCAACCATCAATCATCACCAACTACCATCATCATAATCATCTTTATCATTGTCATCGCCAGCATCATCAACCTTCATTTTGCCCCACCACCTGGGTTAATGCTCTCTCCTTCTCTGACAGAGGCGTGCGAGAAGGAAAAAATGTTTTGTTGGATTGACGTTTACAGTCGAAGGGATGTTGAGCTTGATGAACCAAGACGAGGTTGCGAATATTATAAGAAGAAATGGAGGGAAATTCAAGACATATTTGAAACGAAAAATAAAATATGTTATCGTTGGTTTGAATCCTAGAAAGAGCAAGATGAAAAAGGTGTGCCACAAACTGCTCATCACCTTGTATTGTCAATGCCAAATTTACGAAATTTGCTGAAGGTTGCAAGCAGGGGCGAAATTTCAAAGGGTTGTTAGGGCGGCTTTCTAACGAATTAGGGGGCATTTTTCTCCTATTGCGGATGAGCGAATGGCTGGACATTTCTACTGAATCGTCAAAAGGATTTCATTGCAAACCTTGGTTGTTAATTTCATAGTCAGTTCCCCGGGAAAAGGGCGGGGCATCAACATCCGTCTTTATGATTAATCTTTCTTGCTAAATTGCCATGTTGCTCTCTCATACTTGCTGATTATGTTGCTAGTAGAATTTGACACTTAGGGCTGGATCAGTTTTCCATCTTCACTCTTAACTACTTCAAAACGATTTCTATCGCTTTTCTTTGTAGCTGTCTTTCCATTTTTATAATATAGATAGAAAAGTCAGACTTGATTTCTTTGCTGGTTTTTTTCACTGTTTCAAATTACCTGCAACGATATGCCAAAAGACAGCGGCAGCGTGTAGGAATTGAAATAATGTGCTATTCAAAATGGTACAATAAAGTGGAAGCATAAAGTGTGCTTGACCAAAAGGCGAACAGAGGTTTATACAAGTGAAGATCAAAATAATGCAATAGGACGATTTGATAAGTTTCTTGGTTTTGACCAAACAGTGGCAGCAACCTGGGATGCCAAGTCGTCTCCTAATTTAGCTTTTTTCGAATCTGCCTTCTTTAAACTCCTGATTTGCATAGACAGGTAGAGCTAGTTTTGTCTCTTGGACTCAGCAGGGAACCAGTCAGTGCAATATTATTCCTCGCTCGATAGCTTTAATCCGCATCTGGATATGAATTTCTACGCTCCTCATCATAATCTGTGACGAAAAGTGCTCAAGTATATTGCATTTTGTTTCCGCTTTTCCGTGTTTTTTTGAGATTGTTGTGATAGAGAAGTATTATTTCGTATGAATGCTGTTTGTAATTTTTTTGTGACCGATTTGCTTGCTCGAAGCCCATACATTTTATTAACTTGAGCCCGGCTTTTTGACTCTGAATTTGCAAGGTATGCACGCACTTTTGTCTTAGGAACTCAAATCTGCCAAATATATTTGGCAAAACATCTTTCTTCAAAATTCCCATTTTTGTCAAACCTTTTGATACCTAATGTTTTGATAATTTTTGTTTTATTAATTTGCAATTTTCATTTGACACTTTTTCACTTTTTTTAATAAGGCTTGCCAGCTATTATTAGGGATAAAACTTCTATTCAATGAGAATTGTTGTTATGCCCCTCACCCGAATAATAAGGTCTATGTTTCGCCCCTGATTGCAATTGCACGGTTTAATTTTAGTCAAATTTTGTAACCATGCACTGCATCACACGATAGGCCATTATCTTCTCTATTCACGTCAGCTGAAACAAGAGGAAATCTAGACTAGCTAATTCTTAAGTGATGACGTCACAAAAATATATTTTTTTAGAATTTGGATCTCATAACCTGAAAGAGCATCATAGTCAAATGTGTTTCGAATCGGCTGAGATATGGCCAGATGAGCACAGGCTCCTTCCCCATCAAACCACTGTAAATTGTCATCTGTTCATAACTTTATTAACAGAGCCAAAATTATACTGATCCATTGGCAAATTTCAATTCTTATGGGCTATCCTCACCAGATATATGGCACAATTAACTGATTTTTCATATTTGGAATTATTTCATAGAGTTCTTTCATGTTATGTGGTCAAAATTCAAGAATTCCAAAAATCTATAATAGTTTTTGTGACGTCACGCTTAGTAATTCCAGGAAATCTAACTGCTTACTAAACACCAGTCGTGGCTACTTCCACAGTTGATAAACAAAACTTTGCCTTGTTGAACAAAACTGTAAGCTTATTTTGTGTTTTCCATTTTCCGCTTTCTTCTGACAATGTATTTTTTATTCTTTTGATTGGATGCTTTTATTTGGCAGGTAATAACTCTTGGCATCCCGACCATTAGTGAACAAGACTTTGTCAATGTTATACAGACACTGCCCAATGCAGGAGAACAGGTGCTTGTCTATATCCTTATTTTGGGCATTTTTAGTGGTAATTTTATGTAATTGGGCAGACGCGTAGACTGGCTGGCTCGATAACAGGGAGATGGGTAGTTTACGGCCCTCAAGACCACAACAATCATATTTATTAGAATTATGTTGTGAAAATAGATCTGAGCTTGTTTGCCAGCACGAACTTGAGGTGGTTTGTTAGTTGTTATCAGCATCACTCCTTCGTATGGGTCAGCGTCTGCACGAAGGCGACCACATACCTAAACATGGTGTCACTAGCAACTGTTTTTCTCCATTTACCCGCAGTTGATTGAAATTTTTTTGCACGAAGTCTTATCGTCAAATTAAAAAGTAATAAAACGCCATCCACTTATTATATTTATGGTAATCGTCCTGTTGCAGTTTTTGTTAAAGTCTTATTTACTGTGGGTCTTTTTGAAGTCCTATCAAAAAGTATTATTAATGTTTCATTTCATAGTATTATTTTTGTTATGTTTTGATTATATTCTATATTTCATAAAGTACTAGTACTTGCCATTCTAGTTAAATCTTCAATAAATATGATTTTCAGCAAATGCGGCATGCGGTCGATAGATATCTACCAGACGTGGACAGAAAACAAAATCCACCCACTCCTGTTCGACTTAAGCAAATCGTTTCCAAGAAAACACCAGCAGCGAAAAGAGGAAACAAAAGAGCAAAAAGATCTTTTTCTCCAAAACGGACGACAGAACAAGAGCCTGGCAAAATAGATCCTGTAAGCGATTCAATAACCTTTAAGCTAGATTTGCAGACCCTACAGCAGTACTCAGATGTCTTTGGAGGTGACATTACGAGCAGTAATACTCCCGAAAAAGAAAAAAACGAGAACGGGTATGTCGTCTTACACGCTTGGGATCATACGAAACATAATGTCCCACTACCAGACCTGGGTTTTAGTTTACTTCTCATTTTCATAAACCAGCGGCCCTAAGAAACTGAAGCGATATCCTCCATCCAACAACTTTTATATAAGAAAAATGTTTTAAGAATACATTCGCTAGTCCCTGAATATAATTTTAAACTAAGCCTCGGGCTTTTCGAATTAGAGGTAATGTATTGTTGTGGATCTATCTAACCATTGTTTATTGGAAAACCTTGCCAAGCTTCCAAAGTTAACTGTTGTTTTTGGCGGTGATTTTACGCTATCCAGAAGAGCACTTTTGTGTAAATAACTGTTTACTAGTCCGTCATATAGTGATTGGCAGGACCTTCCTACGGTGGGGCGTGGGAGGGGGGTATTGGTGGTTTTGATACCCCCTTTGGAAAATTCTGTTTCAAAACGAGAAGTTTTTTCCGTTTTCAAGGGGGCTTTGTCGGGAAGTAAAGACCTTTGTCGGCAAATTGTTGGCAAATAGAGTATGGCTCACCAACTTTGTCGGCAAATGGGACCTAAGCACCCCTTCCCCTCACCCCTCGGGCACAATAGCCAATAACGTTCGTGGTGATCGATGTCTCACTCTCAGAGCAGCACACCAACCCTTCTGAGTTTCATGCTTATTACGATCACCAGGCAGCTAAAACATAAACGAGCAAATTTTATTGTTTTTCTATACATTTAAGTCATTGTTGATTATCTCCCGCCTTTGATTATTTCATAATTGATATTGTCTTTTGCTCTGCTATGTACAAACTTCTGTTTTCTTCTTGTTCAGAAATGCCAAAAATCCTAGCCTACTCCCCATGCTTACAGAGCCATTAGGGCACCGGGCTGTGAAGAGACGATCTCTGGATCCTTATTTTAAACCGGAACCATCCGAGCAGTCTCCTTTTGTATATAACATCTCGGTAAGTTTCTACTTTATAGGTGTCAAATTCCGACTATAAAATGTTTAATTTAAGACTCTTTGTATCGCATTAATGAATTGATTTCTGGCTTCTCCGTCTGATTCACAATTATTCAGTTTTTACGAAGTTCCCAACACGAGCACACTTTCACCAGGCCCTAAATGTCCTCCAGATGTATGTCTTAATCAACGTATTAAAATAAACTCTCCATGTTTATGCAGGGCCGGGGCCATGGCCCCACTTTTTGGTAAAACAGTAGAGCTTTTTTAAAAATCTTTTGATATGATTGTTAAAATCTCTCTTGCCCCCCACCCACTTTCCAACATGCGTCGGGGCCCATGTTATGAGTTTGTCTAACTCTGAAAGATTTATTGCCTGTTTCTTTATTCAGGGCAAAGCTAACTGCTTGGGCGGAAAGGTCTTCGTCTACGAAGGCGAATCAATCGATTTACCTTTGCCTAGATTGATTCGCCATTTTGGTGGAACGTACAACAGGAATCAAACTCGTTCAGCACAATACTTGGTGAAGGGTAGAAATCCTCGTGCTTCTAAAGTCGAAATGGTAAATGACTCGCTTTGTATCATATTTAGGAACCTAAATTAGCGACATACAATAAAATATAAAATGATATAACATGATATGATATAATTCAATACAATATGATATATTATGATTAATTAGAATTCAATATCACATATCATATCATATCATATCATATCATATCATATCATATCATATCATATCATATCATATCATATCATATTATATCATAATATAATTGATTATAATTTAGATAATAGATTATAGATTATTACAATAATATGTATAATTGCATTTTTAGTATGATATAAATAATTTTATATTTCATAGTATGATATTATATGATGTATCATTATATTTTTGCCTCTTGAGCGATTTTTTTCATTTCCAATTGAGCAAATCATTGAAGGCCTTATAAAGCATAAACTGGTTTTTTTTCTAGGGGGTCGAGAGGGGACTCAAGGTCATCACAGTGTCCCAGCTATTAGAGATGATAAAGACACTTCCGGCTCAACAATTCGTCCATCATGCGCAGAAGGTACAAACATTCTTTCACTTTAAAGATGCATCTTTTTACATGTTTTGAAACCCAAACTAATACGTATATTTTGCATGAGACGTCATCCTTTCGTATGGATACAGAAATAGAAATAGTGAAAGAATATTAATTTGCCAAAGTTGAAAAGTAGGGAGAAGTTATTATTTCGCGGTTACGTCGGGAAGTGATAAAACCACCTTTTACCAAAATTTATACAAAATGATTTCATTAAAGAATAGATTTTCAAATTTGTCTTCAATTTTTTTGTCGGAAACAGTAAGTGATGCGTCTCATGCTTTGACAACGGAATGCGTAGCCGTTTTACTGTTTTGTCTGTTGTTTAAATACTTCATTTTTAGGCGAGACAGCATCATATGTTTGACAGCTTCATCTTTCCTTCTCTACTTGCATACTCTTAAAAGCAATTGAGCTTCAACTCATGGCCTGATGATATTCTCTTTAGTTTTATATTTTGCTGAACTCTATGTTTTTGTGAACCATTCGATTATATCTCTGATAGGACATCGTTCCTCAACCGGGGGATGGCACGAAAGCAATAGCAGACGATATTGAAGGCAGTGTTACAGTGACAAAGCCCATCGCCAACTCACAAGCTATGAGTCTAAATGGTATAGAACAGAGCAATGGAACCGATGTTGCAACGTGCCAGAGTGTTGAAGAACACGATTACTGCGATCGACCTGCAATGAAAGAAGTGGATGCAGCAGAACAAACAGGGTAGGTCTTCCATACAATGATGTGTATTAGGTCTGGCTGGTTATGGTATATGGCCATGACTGTGCCGAGAGACGTGTTATTCATTCTGTAAAATGGAGGTAATGGGGGTTATATCACAGTCAAAAGCCATAGAAGATGGCTTAGTCTTATCATACTTCAAAGCATAAAGCGCGAGAAGTTCATCAATAAAACAATATTCTTTCAGTCCGTATTTTAGGTTTGTTTTTTTTACAATAGTCTAGGGATTTTTAGATAAAGTGAAGTAGAGACCGGGGTAAATAAACACGAGGATGCAGATTTTGCTTGATAATCATTGATTATTTAAAATCTGCTTCTTGATACTGGGTAGATACAAAGAGGTTTGAGCAAATATGTGAAGCAGTTATGACTTAAATGCCAGGGAGCGGGACAAGAGCTAGTTAATTGCTGGAATGATGGGTTGCCCTTGCACCCCTCAAACTTTGCCACCGCCGATAGTTTTGGGAAAAAGTGTGACCAATACCTTTTGTCTTAGAAAGAGTTTACAGTTTTTGGTTGTTAATCAGTCAATAATTCAAAATTTTATCAATGATGCCGCAACGATTTCTCTAGTAGCAGCGAGAAAGAAAGGGATGTTAACAGAGAAGAACAGCAAGGTGCCGTCATCCATCAACCTACTTCATCGCCATCAGCCTCACTTGACAAAAGTACCAGCCAAGCTCTCTCTGATGCTAACAAACCCTTGCCTGAGCCTAAAACTCCTAGGATAATCAAACCGTTTACGGTGAGGTCACTAAGTTTGTTCATTGTTCATCAATTTGACCTTCTTAGGATGTTTTTTAGCTAGGGTATACACGAAGCATGTCAAGTCATGAATCAGAGAATGTTCTAGTGTCGTTATAATCACGCGGTCCATTATTCGCCATTTTATGTTCTTGGGAAATTTTCGTATGATTTTAGCCTTTCTCTTCTACAAAATTTCTGGCCGTTTGTGCAGACAGTCTTTTGCGAAATTTTGCACGAAGAATGCAAAGCACTGAACTCTGACAACGTTTGTTATGTTCGATATTGCATGAATAAATAAATTTGGATATTGCAGAAAAGGCATAATGTGGCTGGTTTGCAAAACTGGAATTTTTGGGTACATTTTTGTGAAATCCAACAACTGAACTTTTGTAACCTTCTTTGTACTACAGCATTTTTAATGCATTGTGTTAAGCAGACTTTCATTGGTCTTCCCTCTCGGGCAACTTGTCGTCTTCGGGGAAAGATGCGAGTATTTCCTATGTTTCAAACGGAAGTATATCAGCCTATTTGACCCATTTGCGCTTCTTCATTCCTTATTCAGGCTGTATGTATGAAATACGATTTTCGAAAAGGGCCCCCTGCCCCTGATGGACGATCACCCCTATTGTATCTGCGATAAAGACCTTATTCAAGATAATTTCTGGAAAAATTATGCATTTAGTCTAACAATGTAATACAAAATCTTCTTACAAACTCGCAAGAGATTTTAATCTACTTTCTTAAGAAAACCAATTCGCAATACCGCTAAATGCATTTCTTCTCTACTAGGTTGAGAAGAACTCTATGGTGGGCTTTCTTGTAGCAGTCGACCCTTTGATGAATTTTATTGACAGGAGGAAGTGTGTCGACATCATTGAACATTGTGGAGGAAAAATACAAAAGGCAATCGACGACTCAACTACTCACTTCCTTATGAATAAACTGAATAACAAAAGACGAGCCTTAGAGGTACTCAACTCTTTCACAATTACTTGCATGCTCGAGAACCTTATTAGAGAGGAATACGCTGGAGGCGTCTAAATCGATTTCCACCACTCTTCCAAAAATAGCCCACCAACAGTGAAATTTGAAACCCAAACCAACCACAGTTTTGTATAATTGATCAGAAGCTACAATAAAACATTTGCTATTATAGAATATTTTCAAACCTTTTCTTTAAGTGTCAGTATTATAACCAGGGCTGCCAGATGCTTGGAATGGTTGGCGGTATAACGCTATGTTCAGTAAAAATGAAACATAGACAAAAACCTGTCGAAGAGACATGTCATGTCGAGGGGCAGGGGTATAAAGCAGTGGGAAAAGACAAGGTGGAAAAATAAAGGCACTAAGACTTAAATGCTTCTGGATATGATTTTGGCTTTAAATTCAAAAAAGCGCTGTTCCTAAAATAGTAAAGTCTTTTGAAAGTCCTATACCGTAAGTCCTCGAATAAGCCCCCAACGGCTTATTTCCCAAAAAATATTTTGGGGTGGGGGCTTATTTAGCAGCAGGGAGTCAATAATATTTTGATCATAAAACGAATGGGTACAGGGTTCGAGCATGCTTAACACCCCTAAATAGAGAATTTGAAATAGGTAACGAGATATCACAAATTTGAAATATGGTTATTTCTACAGATCGCAGCAAATGGTGTGATGGTAGTTGGCAAGACTGCATTATACAAGATAATTGAAGAAAAGCAAATGAATCAAAAGAAATTGCAGGCGTCAGACATAAGCGAAGAAACGAAAGAGAAAAGCACGTCCTCGCCAATGGCAGGCAAAAGAGAAGATCCCATGGGGAGGAGCAGTTTGTCTCCTGGTCGTTCATCACAGTAAGTAGACTGGGAAGGAGCTATCAATATTGTTAAAAATTTTCAATATAGTGCCTCGTTTATTCCAAAATTATTGTAAATTGATACTATCGCGCAGGAAAGCAAAAGAACGTTTTTGTATAGATTTTGAATTTTCACCCAGAACTTACATTCGTTTACAAAACAAGTTATTGCTTTACAAACTCAAGAATATGAAAAGTTTAAAAAGCAGTTAATGAAATTTAAACCCTGCTAAAAAAACTCGGGTAAGTAACAAGTCATACTTTGAACACGGGTTTTTGCCTTTCTTTTTTCTGAAGTCTTAGCTATTTTGCCCCTTTATTCGTATAAAATAGTTTCTTACAATGATCATGAAAATTCTAAGCATAGCATACTTAAGTACTTTTCGTTTTACTGCCATCAGAGTATAAATGTCGGGTAATGACCGAACGTAAGCTGGAAATATACGTCAGATAAAATGACTGAATGCAAAACTTGTGAAATATTTGTGAAAAGAACTTCTTGGCATTGACGATCGCTTTTCATTCTGCGAAAGACATTTGTGAAAATTTACAGATCCTGTTCTTTGTCACGTGTTGTTATGTGCAGAGCTTTTATTTGACAGAAATCCAGTTTGACTCGATTTCTCTCCAATAAAGTCTAGGAGTATAAAGCAAAGTCAGATTTATCCCAATCTCCGGTAATTGGTATCATACTTAATTTTGCACATTAGAAACACGGATAAAGATCAAAGCGACAGCGTGAACTCAAATCCTGCCTCCCAGTCTTTAACAACAGAAGAAAATGGCAACGACGACAAACGGCCAAGAATTGCTAAGGCATCTGAATCTACCAGGCAGAAATTTACTGGTTTTAAACAAAGGTTAAGCCTTATGGTGAGCGGGAAAGTATTTTTATATATTAACGATTTAATAGGTATTTGTTAGAATATGAATCGTCTGAAAACCATTTTTAAATGCGAACAATTTTTATATTTGAGAAAACTTAATCGATATTCTAATGCTACCGTAGCTGAAAAATAAATGTTTTCGGCTTTTAACTCTGACAGCAACTCACAAAGGTGATAAAATCCTTTTCAACACCAAGGAAAGAGCACTTAGAAACTCCATAAAAATGGGCAAGACACCCGATGGAAAAATTTACGTATAAAAGGATGATTTTCCTGATGTTTTATGCTTTAAGCTTGATTTTAATACATCTTGGTTTTTCCATGAATGAAATTGTTGCTTCAAGAATAATTTCATTTATAATTACACTTCAATGCGAGTTTCCAAACAGAGGCATATCACACAGAGGTTTGTTGACTGAACCAATCAGATCTCGCCACGTCAAGTCAATATAATATATATAATTATAATAATATATAATTTGTTTAAAGTTGGCATAATTAATGAACGTCTAATAGCTATAAAGATGCTAATTAAGGCCAACTATCTATAAAGAATTAGTATTAAGTAAATATATGATACAATCATGTCAAATCAAAAAAGTTATTTACTGAAAATCAATGCGCAAGTATACTTTAAATCTAATGTCTGCAACAAAAGCTTTAGAGTAACAATTAGTCCCTTAATTCGAGCTCCGACATTTTGTTATAAAGCTTATTTGCTGCTAAAGTTGGGTCTCAGTTCTAATGGTGTGAATAACCGCGCCCCCCCCCCTCTGTATTTGTTTCTTACAGACAAAGTGGCATTCTAGAGAATTTCCTTCTCGCAATCTTCCTTTTTATGTTTATCGATAAATATTCGGTTCGTTTTCACCAGTTCTTTGCGTAATCTAGAAGTATTGTAAACACCTCAGGGTAATGCAGTAAAATGGACGCATCATTTCACCCAGTTGCGTAAATTCTTTGCAGAATGATTATTTTTGCATCGTTTCCTTTGACAGTCTGAGAAAAATTCCAATTTTCTACACAGGGAGCCAAAAACTGTTTGTCTGGTTTTTCTGTCACGGTGGATAAAAGTTTGTCGTTAGGCCACAGAAGCAGGTGCAGGAAGCTTGTTAAGCAGTTTGGAGGGAGGCTGTTGAATCGTTTTACCAAGACAACTACACATTACATCGTCAATGATCTCACAGATGTTGACAGAATCAAAGAGGTGTTTTTTGAACAAGTTTGATAATCTTCCCTTACGTTTTTTTTTCTATAAGAACACACTTTTTAAGAACTAAGAGGCTGGAATTGCATGAAAATTGCAAGAAAACTAAGAATAACGTAAAATAATGCCCAGCCTCAAATAAATATCAAAGGATAATGTTATTGAAAATTTTTGCTCAGAATTACAAAACAAGAGGAGATCGCATCAGCTGATCAACCATTCTACTAAGAATGTCGTGCAAAGATGTTACTTTGTTGTCGTAGTAACAATTAAGTAAATAATTAGTAAGTATGGACAAATCAATGTTTGAAATAAGCCTAAAATTACCAAAATGAGCAAGAACATCGAGCCTGTTCGTCGTCGAAACTGCAAAAGCTGTTTTGTTTCCTACAATAAGTCATTTTGATCATGCTATCACCATTGCTATGGCACCTATCATATCCATTGTCGTCACCCTTCTATCTTCCTTTTCCTATGCAATTTGTAGTATTGTGTCCTTGTATTCTTAGGCTCGTTCTTTGGGGATAAACGTTCTTGATAAAAAGACATTCTTAAGTCTCATAAGAAACCTGCCAGCCAAAAAAGTAAAGAAGATTCCAATAGTTCTGAAAATGGAAGAGGTAAGAACATCTTTGGAACGATTATTCTATAGATTGAAGTAAAAACATTTAGTATCTGTACGTCTAGTATTATTATGTATTAAACATCATTATGCTGTGTTGAAAGATCAGGCGATATTATCATAAGATTTAGTAGGGCTTCATGGTGCAATAAGCTTGCCGTGTTATTCGATCAAAACTAGATTTTATGTCTTTACTTAGAGAACACAACTACGTATATCCTGCTTCTTAGTATATATGGCCTAGCCTGAATGCATCCTGCACATAGGCTAGAGTATTCCATTTATTGGGATGAATTTGCAAATAGCAAAGAGACTTCTATCTGACCTCCTATTTACTATTTATCATTAGCTGGCTCATCAATATGTCAATCTGGGACTCGATTCCTTTTTTATGTATTGTTATGTTTCATTTAGATGAGTTTAACTGTATTTGTTTGCGTAGAATTGTTATATATTTATTTGACAGGATACTGATGATCAGACTAGTAATGGCCAAAGCACTGTGTGGCAGCAGCAGAATACACTGCAAAAGGCACAGCAAGGACATCACCTAACGCAACAGGAATATGCACAGCGAAATCTACAGCAGAAACATCATCCAGAGCAACAGCAACGGGACTTGCATAAGGTGCAGCAACAACCACTTGATACACCACAGGCAAGGCTACAACGGCAGCAGGAAGGGCCGCAGACACCGCAGCAAATGCAAGAACAGCATTACCAATCGGAGTCGATTCATACGTCTACAGTTCGTCCTGTCGAATATAGATTGGAAAGAGACAATATAACAAACACGGGAAGCGAAGACGTGAAGATTTTTCGCCGGGTGGGCCCTCTTCCTGCAATCAGTGGGCGTTTTTCAACGGTAAATATCTTGTCATAATCATAATCGTGCAGCGCTCTGTTTGATATCTGTTCTTCAACCTTAACCAACCAACCGACAACCCGTCAGACCAAATCTAAGTAACATTATATGCCAGCAATTTCGGACATCTACCATTGTTTAGACACTGTTTGACACAAGGGACGATTTAACCATAGAGATCTGTTCTAAGTGTATATTTTTTATGCATGATTGCATTCTTTCGAAGCTCACTCTGACTCTATGAAATCTTTCAAGATTGTTCAAAATTGGCCTGAAATCGATGGTTTTCCTATACGTGTAGTGGTTAAATACGATAAGCTCTAAAAGACAGTCAAATGAAAATCGAGGTTCATATCTTGATTTGGCAACAGAACTGCTAAGAAAACCATGGGAGGGACTTTCGGAAGCCTCAGATTTTGAAAGACAGAAAATTATTTAAAATCGAGCTTAAGGCAGTGGCTTTTAAACTACCAAACTTTGTTACAAATTCCCAACTCCCTAGTGCTTAGATTAACAAAGGTGATTTTCTTTGTTTCCACTGGTTATTCTGTGCTGTTGAAATGCTTTTTGGCGTTGGTGAAACTTCTTTTTTCTAAGAAATGCTTTGTATAGTTGCAGTCATCATTTACTGACTAGATACAGAATTTATGTGACTTGCTGCCTGAAGATTGCAGAACTTGATGATTCGATGATTTACTTACCTCAAATAGAAGTGATTATTTGTCCTCTATTGCTATCAATATAACTTTATGATATGTCCTTGTGATGGCTTCATACTTGAGACTCGGATTTTAACTTAGAAACATTCTGCTTTATTCACCAAAGCGCATATGCTTACTCTTCTGATTATTACCTTGCAGAGTGGCGGAGGAAACGGTTGGGATCCAGCGAACGATGAAAGATGCTATTGGGAATGTCCAGAAAATTGTGGCAATATCATTGAAAAGGATCAGGTATAATTATGCAATAATCGTTGTATCTTTATTTATTTTGGGTTAAATTCATATGTAAGCTGTTTGGAAGGTTCTGTTTCTTAACTCTTCAAGGGTTTTATTATAGCTTACAATTCATTTTCGTTACGCTCATGTATATCATTTATTATTCGTTAGGCTCTGGGTCTATGTTAATCAGAACTTAATTGTCTCTGATTTATCGCTATTGGAACTGTGCAGTTTGAACTTTTGATTGTTTAGTCCACTATAGCTTTACTAAATAGTGGTCTTTTCTATTGAAAATCGTATTTAACTTTAACATTAAGAAGAATTTGCAATAAATTTTTACAGAAAGAAGAACATTTCTAGTTAATGACCATGGAGCTGTAGAAATATATTATTTTTTATTAAAATATAACTGGGAAAACAATCAGAGGAATTGTTTATAGGAAAATTTTTTATAGTTAATTATTCTCATCAGCTGGCCAGTTGTAGGATATGCCTAACGATTTCTGATTTATTCATTGAAAAACTTAAAATTTGCTAGCTCTTTCTTCCGTCTGGCATCTAATTCAAAACTTTATTCATTTGAAACCGTTCATTTTGGGTTCAATGACTGCGTTTTGTTTGTGTGTGGTGTAATGTTTCTTTTACTTATGAGAATATTCTTTTTTATGTTGTTACTATTTTTACAGGTGAAGTCGCACCTTGAATTCGATTGTAAAAATGCAGAGACCGAGTGTCCAATATGTAAATTCAAGGTAATAGCAACTTAATTTTTGATTTACTTGCAAATTGGGTTGAATTTCGATGTACAGCAATATTAAGCGAGCCTTAAGCATTTTTTGTTTTGGAGGCCAATAAACAGCACAGTAGTGTGCGTTTAAGTCTACCATCAGCTTTCCGCCTCATGATGATGCTTTTGATGATTATTGGATTCAACAAAGCATTTATTGATCAAAGTCTTTCAATAGACTATGCTATCATGATATCAATAAAATCTCTTTCAGATGCTGAGGCGAGAATTAGAGAGTCACATATCTAGGAATGTTGGCAAGCACGTCACAATTCTTGGCAGCGAGATGGCATCATTGAAGCATATAAACAGTGGACTTGTGTCTGAGAATCGAAACCTACAGCAAAATGTTGAATCTCTTAGTGAACGGGTGCTTAGGTTAGAAGAGCAAAATATGCTTCAAGCGGAAGAACACAAGAAGTTGCAGTCGGAAAACAGTCAATTGGCACAGCAAGTCAGAAATATGGCAGCAATGCATCGGTCGTAATGGTTACCCCGAATGAGCTTATGTGGCAAACAAAATTAGCATAAATTTTAGTGCTTTATCGTGAATAGTTTTTTAAGGCTTTTTGAAGTACTTCTATGCTTTGGGTTACAAGCAAGTGTCCTTTGTTTAACAACATATGGTGCCAATTCTCATGGATTATTGTTATAATGCTTTTAATCTATTTATATATTTAGTTTCATATATGGGGAGCTATTCGGCTTTCTGAGCACAAACATTACGTAACTACGAATAATAAAAATGTAACATTTATAATGATCATGGCCCCATAAATTAAGTAAGGCATAGTTATGTTTCTTTGAGCATATTTGGTCCAAAAAAATTTATTCTGCAGATCAAATTAAAAGTTTGTTCTAGAAGTGCGTTATCAAAGACGATTGCATCTTTTTAATATCTCAATTTATAACAAAACCTGGCAGGTTTACCTTAAAAACCTGACCCCGGGAACGAGCTTGAGTAATGTATAGCTTTACGGAAGTCCTTCTTTTAAACACAGCAAAACTTCATTTGAATTTTCATTTTAAAATCTCAAATTAAGTACTGTTGTTAAACAGTACTAAATTAAGTCCTTCTTTTAAACACAGCTAAAAACTTCATTTTAATTTTCATTTTAAAATCTCAAATGAAGTACTGTTGTTATTAATGTTGTTGATGTTTTGATATTCAACAGTCCTCCATATTGCATATTACCCACATGATGTGGTGTGACCTACACTGATTATGTGATAGGATGGCTTTCGGTATCAACAAATAATGATATGTCCCTATTATCTAAAAGCAAAGTTCGTTCACCTTTACTCTTATGCTGCATCTATTGGGACTCCTTGTGACGTAGTGGCACCAATTATCCATGTTTCTAGCTGTCATTAATATAACGATTAGCTGCATCGAGTAGCGATTACATTAAGGTATTAAGTATTTTTGTATCGTTAATCCTATAGTTCTGTTTGTTTATATTTTTGTAGTAATCTGACTTATTTGCTATGTTTTATTATGTAGCATAAATATTCATATGAAATGTCACGGGATTTGCAGTAGACCTGGAATGTCATTCATAGAGGCCCAACCATAATGGCACAATTTCCCTGTTGAAAGCTGTAGAGAAATCTATTTATTATGGAGAAGTGTAATATCAGATTTATTGTTCGTTTCAAAGTGGATTGTGTCATCTGAAGGCTAGCCTATGCTGTTAAGGCAGAAAAACAGTATTGCAACAGTCTTTTTTGTCCACTTTCGAGATTTCACTTTTTTGGATTTGCAAACCAATCAGTTTTTTCTTAGTAATTCCACCCAGAGACAAATGTGCCTACTATAAGGCGAAAACCCACGAGATTTCGTCCTCACAAAGAGTTGGAATTCGGCCAACCTATTAGAAATTATGTATTAAATTCTGAGATAAGCAACATACACCATAACTATCAATTTTAAGAATCAGTTTACTGGAAAACCTTTTTATTAGGCCTTCGGCTCTCAATACCTAGCATATCGTGGCGGAGCAGGGATACCTGTTTTTATTATTTATGTATAATATGATGGATTTTTAAAGCCAAGTAGAAATATACTTTTCATTAAACAAAGTCGAAACATGATTTGATTACGAAGTCTAGTATCAGATGCATTTATTTCTTTTCACTCCTTTTGTCTTTTCTCCCTACGCTCAAGGGCCTGTTTATATGGAGAAAATTATCCCACCTTCCAGCCTGTGATCTGAGAGGTGAGATCCCACTTTTCTATAGAATCCTTTCTGTTTTTTCATTTTGTGTTTATATGGGAAACAAGCCAGGCCAGTAAGTGAGATCCCACTGCATGAGAGGTGGGATCTCAAAGAGGTGGGATTTATTTTTTCCATATAAACACTGTAAAGTGGAATGAAGCTGGAAGATTAGATTAATTGTTTATATAAACACGAATAGATTTTGTCCAACTTGTCAGCACACATGCTGGAAGGTGGGATAATTTTCTCCGTTTACAGCTGGAAGGTGGGAAAGAATCTGAATGTAAATATTCGATGATTTCATCCCACCTGCCAGATTATGGGCTGAGAGGTGGAATAAATTTCCTCATATAAACAGGCCCTTACTTTGCTTACAATATTGAGAGTTTTAACCATTACAACAAGGTTTAATAATTTAAAAAAACAGTTGTTCGAACATAGATTTGTAAAGTTACGAAAGGAGGAGAAAAGGAGTGATATCACTATACATATGTTGTAAGGGACCTTCAATCAGAGGATAATAATATAAAATTGGATGGAGGCAAGTCATCAGCAAGATAACCACAAGGAAAATTTTTGGACAATGATTCAATCTTGTTCACCGTAACACGAATACCAAGAAAACTATTTTTACAAATTTATCTCGGTTTCAAAATAGCTTTACGAATACGAGGTACGACGCGGGAGAACCGCAGCATAAACACGCGTTGACCCGGCCTCCATTTTGGAAATAAGCAAAGTTGCTAAAAAAATTTTGATTATCGAAGGTGAAGAATTCAAAAATGAGCAGAGAAGATGGAAATTAAAATCAAGCTGAAAAAAGTCATACATGGAGCAAATAACTCGGAAAGCATCTTTGGTTTTTGTATGAATCTGTTGCTGCTAAGATTTTCGCAGTAATTTACATGTGCCGCCTTCTGGAATCGAGAAAGACGCCATATTCATAAATACATATTTTCGTATCCCATTACACAGCCACGAACGAAGGAAAGGAAGCAATGACTGGGAGAAAGGCTAAGCATGCAAAGCTTCCACAGCTGTTTACAAAGGAAAAACCTTTATGCCATGGCCAGCTGAAGTTCTATGTTGGAGCTAAGATCGAGGCCCTCGACTCCAAAAAGTGGTAAGATCTTTTGAATCTCATCCACGACGTTGTTCTTGGATTTTTAGTTCTGTTAAATTCTGGATCAGTTTCTTCCAAGGGTATTGCTTTCATGAGAGCGTACTTTAAGTCAGTTTAGGGCCGTTCAGTTTTGGGGGTATTTTAATTCCGACTTGTTGGCTTTGCTATATCACTATTATAGCTAACATTTGTTTATTCTTTTATTTTTAGTAAATTTTCACTATCTTTATGAGTTTGAGGAGATTTATCACTTATCTGGCTGGGCTACTTGAAGTTCACTACATTAAAGTTCATTCCCATGAACTGTACAATGCACATATTTCTGCACGTGAAGAAAGACCTACTAGTTTTTCTCACCACACTCCGGTATGGATTCCATGGCCCAGTATGGATTCCATGGCAGCTGCACTCCCGGTTTTTAAAATGACAGGTGCACTCTTGCACACCCAAAAGATAGGGCATGGTTTGGATATGTTTTTGGATGTGGCTCAAATTATAAAAATTTTTCAAATATGGCAAAGTGACTTTCTAAATTTGTTTGCAACCGAGATTGGAAAAAGTGTATCATTCTAAATCGAGTGATCCACTTGAGATCAGGGCTGCCAAAAAGTTTTAGTTGGCCTGGGGCAAAACTGAAAAAGTAAGCGCATTTTTATGATGACTCCATTCTTCAATATGTGACCCATGATTGCAGCCTTAATGTCTAAAAGTTCTCTTCCAGAAAAACAATTTTGAAGGACTAGAGTCTAAACCTGAACTATCTAGATGTAGCAAAGCTGATTTTTTGTGCATTTTCATAAAGTGAACTTTTATTATTTAGCAAATCAGAAGGTAGAAATGAGAGGCGTTGTGGCTAGATTGTGGTTAGACCAGGCACTGAGAGATTTCCCAGCAGGCCCCCTACAAGCTTTGGTGGAATAATCCCTCATTTTTATGTAAACTCATGTTAATAGTTATGAACTTAAGACTTGTTAAAAGGTCAACTTATACCAACAGGGCCCTGTAAAAAAGTGTGTGAAATTCGAAGGAATGAAAGTCAAACAGAAGAAGTCAAGCAGATTGTTAATCTAAATATAATATCCTTTCAAGAATACCGTTGAATTAGCCCCTTTGTGGCTTATCAATTAAGGAAATTTTGGTTAGGCCATATTTGTTAGGGCTTGTGCGATAGGATGCTTGTAGAAGCAGGGACAGATGGGCTGGGCCACACAGAATTTTAAGGAGAAATTCATGAGGAGAAATTTGAGAGTTTATGGATAAATCTATAATCATGTGCGTAAGCTTTGCTTATTTGAAACAAAGGCTACCACATAAAATTTATCTGGACCCCAATCAAATAAACAGCTTTTTTCACATTCAGTAAAATCATCTAAGGAAAACTATTCAATTTCTCTCATCGATGATACAAAACGTAACAAGGTACAATAAAAAATTCTGAAATTAAAGCAAAGATTCAGAGATCGCTGTACTTTAGACAGATCAAATACAAGAAGTGGTTTATAAGGCTTGCTTTCTCAGATCCCCACTGAGGCCTTTCATAATAATCATAAGACAACACTTGATGTGGCTGTTATAGAGGTTGACATAGACTCCTCTTATATTCACTCTACTGAAAGTCACACTGCTGGCTACAGTCACATATAATTTTATTCCAAACGTCAAAAACTGCCGTCTTTAGCCCAGTTTGCAGTCATGCTTTGCTTATAGTGACAACTTTTCATGCAACATTTAGTGTGACTTAAAAAGTCTACTGTAGAAGATTTACAAAAATGATCTGGAGCAACAAATTAGATGCAATAGATGCAATAGTGACTGTAACTTGGATTGGATTGGATGTGTCCAACAAAACCAAAGTGCTTCTTGCAAAGATTGGAAAATACGATTCCATTTTTAACTGAATTTGGAACATTTAGAACTTGGGAAGACATAAAATTCATTGCAAGATTCGCTAGAACCAGACAGACAGGCTATCCTGTGTTTCTTCTTTAATAAACATATTCAAATAGTTTGGATTTAGAAGGTATGCAGGGAATTTTCCATTTATCAAAAGATAGCCTTTGTTAAGGTGATTACATGATTACATATTGGTATCTTTTTGGTTGATTTGGACTAATTTAGCCTGACCCAGATAGAGCAAATACTTTGGTTATGAAGAAGTTGCAGAACCCCAGAGATGCAGAATCAGATTTTGAGGCCCCTGCAGACCAAAAATGAATTTTTTTCAAAATTGTTTTTTAAATGTCTACATACATCAAATGGATTAGATTAACACTGGTAGAAGTTGTTTTCAAAGATACAGCCCAACTACTCTTTAATGTTTGAAATTATGTTTGAAATGCTGGTTATAGTTGAATGGAAACAGAAAAAATCAAGGGGACTCATTGGCAGATTGGAATTTAATTTACTGAAAAAGTGTCAAAATCTGTGAAAATTTGTTTTTAAAAATTATTGAAGTCCTCTTAACCAGTGCAAAACAACAGTAAAACTCAAATTTGTCAATATTGAAAGAAATTGGCAATAAAATGAGGGATCCAATTTGTGAAAAAGCATCTAAAAAATAGATTGTTTGTCTTGTACAAAAAGTGCAATATTGGCATGATCTCATTATTTTTGGTGTAGTTTTCATCATTTTCAGCTGAATATTCAATATTAGAATGTTTCACATCAACAAAAGAGCAACATGTAATCTGCTAGCAGCCTCTGGTCCTTTTTTCATTTTGACAGCAGCCTCTATTCTTCTTTTTAGTTGAATTTACTCTCTTTCCTGATCTTCCTTTGTTTTACTTTCTTCTCCAGCGGTTAAAGTTGCAGAATACAGATCAAGGGTCTGCCAATTGAGTCCCTGCCATGACCAAACTTTCACTTAGGTTGAGAATAGAGGCTCTATTCCCTGTAATTACAGGCTTAGGAATCACAAGGTGTGGTCTCAGCAAAAGGAAGGACCAGGAACACTACTTGATCAGCTCTAAAACCTACTTTTGGAAGCTAGGTAGTAACAGAAAAAGAGGTTTTGAGCAATGGCTGCTAGGACATGGCGCTTGAATAGTAAGGTTTATATGCTAGCTATGCATATGATTGACATCTCTATGTTTGATTTTTATAGGTATCAGGCAAGAATAGTCAACATCAATACTTTGAATTTGAAGGTGCTTGTGCATTTTGAGGGCTGGAATTCAAGGCATGATAAATGGTTGGAGCACACAAGTGAATCTTTGCGACCACTTTTATCAGGAGACCAGAAACATCAGGAAGGCTACAAACGAAAGGTAGGGTTTCTTAGTAGTACTTTGAATTGGATTTGACGTAGCCAGAGAAAAAATAAATATTATGTTTTGTTAAGAAAATGCATGTAACATCTACAATGATTTATTACATAACTACAATGCCTGCCAAAAGTCTTGGAACACTGACATCAATTTCCAAGGTCAAAACCAATCATCCCCCTCTCCCCCACGGAACAATGTTGGTTTACTATCAAACAGATTAGGATTTTAGGAAGCACTTTCTTTTGCGCTTCTTTTATGATATTTCTCTAAATCATCAACATTGTTTGAGGGGGAAGGGGCCGGAAGTAGCAAATTTTTTTCATGAAAGGAATGAAAGATATCAAATGCATCGTAAATTGGTGGGTGTTCCAAGTACTTTTGGCAGGCATTGTACCTCATATTTGGGAATCGAAGCTAATAAGGGAGGAAAAGTTGGGTGGTAGTTCATATTTAATTGATTCCTTATGCTTAGCAATCAGTAGGGCTAATTATAAATATTTTGTGCCTGCAAGCGGAAAGCATATTAGTAAAAAATGGTGCCTGCATGTGAAAGGGGGCAATCGCTGGTGTACTGTTACACTAACCTATGTTTATCAAAAGCAAAAGCAAATACCATATCAGATAATGAACTACAACTGCATGCAAATCTTAACAGATTACAATACAATTGCCGAGAGCGATATATCAAATAATGTGTACAATAGAAAAGAAATGAAAAGATTCAGTTTTTATCTATTGGTAGTTTGGGTTGTCAAGCAATCCTATTGGTATTGTCATTTTCATCTTATAAAGACATTTTCATTAACAAAAGGGTTACTGATATCCTAAATGCTTCACATGAAACAAAGTAGGCTATTTGTTCTTTTTGCAACATCTTTTTCAAGGCTGGTGATTTGAGGATTTTTTTTTCATTTCTTTAACAGGAGTTCTAAGAATTGAAGAAAAAAATTAATTATTATCTGCAAATAACATGATGTGCTTAGTAGTCCAGTGATCGGCAGAGTATCATATAAAACTCTTCTAAACCCTACTTTTTCCCTTATTTGATTCCTATTCAAGACATTTCAATGAAAGTGAATTTATATTCTGAAAATGATCCACAGAGTTCCATTTTTAATATTTTTTGTTGGTGGTGTACCTCATGACTTTTTCAATAAGACATGTGCCGTGGATAAAAAGGTTGACAAACACTGGCTAGAAGGATCACACTTTCCTGCAACTTTGCTCCTATGTATCAATAATCAAATATACAATGTCCTGTCAATCTGTCAATCTTATCTACAAAAATGTACTTGTTCCAATTTTTATTTATCTGCTTCTCAATTCTAGGAGCTTCAGCCTGGGGACAAAGTTCTGGCAAGATGGAGTGACTCCAAATATTATCCTGCCAAGATCAATGCTTCTGTTAATGAAAGTATGAGATGTTATACATATCTAAACAATTGAATTGGTTCAGGTAGCACTGGGGGAAACTTCTTCCCACAACTTTTATACCACTGTGAAACACTGATAAAATTCGAAATAAAGTTGAGGTATTTTAGTTTCATTTGTCAAAGACACAGATGTGGTTTTTTGTGAAAAACAGTCTGATGCCAACAAAACGCAACAATAGTAAACATTTTGCCTTGAATAAAATCTCAAAATCACCATGCTCTGTTCCTTCATAACAAATTGCAAGTATAATGATATTATCATCTTCTATCTTAGAAATATATGAAGTAATATTTTATGATGGATTCAAGAAGAGACTTAACAAGAACTGTATCCGGCCAGACCCAAAGGTTAGAGCAATTTTGTTTAAGAGATATTTCTGTGTCCATTAGGCATCATTTATTTAATGTGCCTGTATATTTCTTCCTTTGTTTCCTTATTTTATTTACTCTATATTTTCGACATTGCCAGTTCATCTGTAGTATCAATATTCATTTCTTTCATTCTTGAATCCTCCCTTTGAAAACATGTTAAATTAGTCCTTTTTAAGATCTTAAGGTCTTTGAAGCAACTTCTTTATTCAGTAACTTTGCTCCTGGTGCATAGTACTGTTTGAACCTCACAGCATTAAAAAAATTTGTATCAGATAAGAGGACAGTAAGTTCTATGTATGTTGAAACCACAAAAGAAGTATGAAGATACAGCCCAATGGGTAAGCAAAATTGCCCCTCACGTCTTTGCTCCTTCTATCCTAGATTTCCTCAAGATATTTTATCTTTCTACCCAGCCCCCTAAAAGATGGAAGATAGTTCACAGAAAAAAAATCCGTTCGCTATTTGAAGACAATCACATCATGACCTCACAGTTCATTTAATAATTAGGACTGTTGCTGTGCTCAGATTTTCCAGCTTATGATCGAGGAAACCTCTTTTAGCTGTCCCTGAATTTCTTTCTCTAAGAAACACAGTGAAAATAGGATAACATAATATGAGTTTATGAAGAAGTACTTATTTGTCATTTTATTCAGAGAACATTTGAGGCTTTTGAAGCCAAGTTCAAAGAAAACCCAGCTAGTGGAATGCCACGTGATGTGCCTGTTCCTGGAACTTCAGCAAGTGTTTCTCCTCCTTCAAGCAAAATCAACAGAACTAAAAGGCGGCACGCGGAACCTAGCACAATGGCTGATTTTGTGACTATAATACCAAAGAAGAGATTTAAACATCGCTTTTCAGGAACACCCAGCGATTCGGATGAATTTTCAGGACATAATGATCACTGGTATGATTTAAAACTCAATATGCATCATATTTGTATTAAAATCATTTCATTCCATCCAACATCTTTGTGCTGCTTTCTAGAACTTTCCATGCAAGTAAATTGCCATGTTTGTTTAAGTTGTCCTTTGCTCATACCATAGTTTGCACGGTTTATATGTAAAATTCTGGTGTTAAGTTTTTTCTTCGTTGAGCTTGAAACATCGATCTCCTTGTGTTACCTACATTATTATGGGCTATATCTCGTTGAATTAAAATTTTCTCAAGGATAATGTTTTACGTAAATCTGAATTCATTTTTAAGAAGTGGTTTCTGAAATCTGTATAAAGGGAAAAGCGTAGATTAAGTTTTATAATAAGTGTCAGTAGTTCTGCCAATCTGCTTTTCTACTTACAATAAACATTTACAAGTCCTTTTACGAACCATGAGCCTGTTTTATAACTTATATTTATTTCATTTTGGCATTGACGTCAATATTTAAACCCTAAGTTATTCTGCCTAGTTATTTTAGATGCAGTCAGATTTAGCGGTCAACTATGGCGGCAGACTTGTATGTGATTTTGATTTTGTTTCTTTGATTTTGTAAAGGGAAAACAGGAGTAAAGAGAGTCATCCACAAAATCAAGAGCCAAGTACGTCATCACCAATGAAAATATCTACAAAGAATCGGTTGAAACAAAAAGGCCCAGAATCTTCTGTTTCTGCTAATAACGCTGATACGCCTTCTGCTGATTCATCTTATCAGGAAGCCCCCATTGATGACTTAGGCGATCAAATGTGCTGGTCGTCTCCATCTGAGAGCTCTGTTTCACCAATACGACAGAGATTTTCTGGACTGACAGAGCACAACAAGAAAACTTTGAAGAAGAAGAAAAAGCTCGGAGGGAATTTTCTTAAAATAAAATTACCTCTTGACGTACCACGAAAGAAGAAACGTGGACGAAAAAAAAAAGTAGTTAGTTCCATAGAAAAAGGAGATGCTCAGATCGATCATCAACAAAAAAGTAAAGAATTTAAAAAGAAAATAAATGTAAGCTCCAATTCTAAAGTAGGTTTTACAGGCGAAGAGAGCGTGCCAAACGATGAGCAGACTAGAAAAGAGGAATGTAATGAGGCCTTCATTGTTGCACTGAATGCGAATGAAGACCAGGGGAAAATTGCTGAGAAAGAGCGCAGAGTTACAGAGTTGAATGAAAGACCGACTGATGGAGCTGTAGATGGGACAGGAAGTAAACTGATTTTGAAGCAAAAGCGTCCGAGAGGTCGCCCAAAAATGAGTAAAAATAGAAGGAAGTCTGAGCCAGCCTCGGCATTTGATAGCCAAACACGTTTACCCAGGCGAGAACGAAAGCTTACTGAGAAGGGACTAGAACTACTGCAAAGTATTGGCAGCAAGAGAGGCGTTGATGGTTTGTTGAAAGAGTCATACATACACGCTGAAGCTGAACAACAACCTATGATGTCTAGCAGCCAAGGAGACAGTCATACTCAAGATCATGAAAGCAACAAGATGACAACTGATGACTCAAATCCGAAAGAAGCTACAAGTTTAATGGTGCGAATCAGTCCGTTCAAAGTAAATCGTTTTCCATCTGAGAATAAAAAGAGAATTGACGCCTCTGGGCATTTAAGCCAGGAGCCAAGTGTAGTTGGCAATGCCAAAAGGAAGCTTGTGATCAGTCCAACGAAGACAAAACCTTTTGATGCTGCGGAAGATGTCGTAATAAAGTTGAAGGAAAAGTCTGTAGAGGAAATGGAAGAACCCGAAGATCATTTCAGAGATAAGACAATAATAGGGAAAGTTACAGACTTGGAATCATCTTCTGAAAGCATTGTGAAGGAAAAGAGCAGTTTGGGAAGGGAGTCTACCGAGGCAAAGTCTGACGTAAGTGAAAAGGCAGACACGTGCAAAGATGATGATGTTGATGAACAATATTCAGATACCTATTCGGAAGGAAGTGGAAACCTGGTCATAGATGTTGATGATGATCTCACTGCAAAGGCGTTGGCAGACAAAGATGAGCCTTCGTTAGCGACGGAAAAACAAAATGAGGATCAGGATGGTAGCACTGCCTGCCAGACGAACGCAGGTGCGAAGCCAAGAACATTTCCTAGGCTTAAATATACTCTATCGCACGAAGAAAGAAAGGGTAACAGGCTGGCAAAGCGTAAAAAGATTAGATCGAAGCTCAAATCAAGAATAGAAAAAAGAATAGAAACAGCGAAGAAGGCAATTGAGAAGGAGCAAAAATTGCCCTCAACTGCCAGCCCACTCGAGTCATTGACTAGAATGGTCTCAGAGAGAGCAGACTCCATTGGTTTCCCTTCTAAACCAGATGACACAGCTGTGGAAGAAGCAGTAAAAACTGGCATCCAGTCAGAAGAAGGCATGCTTGAAGGTAAGCCTACGAAAAGTTTGAAGCAGCAAAGAGGACCATATAAATCTAGGCTGAAGATGGAAGGCAGCTTCCTTAGTATGGTGCATCAAGATAGGCCCTCGCAAGTTGAGCGACCTGTCTGCAGTAAGCTTGTGAAAGAAAAACTTCCTCGTGGACGCCCTCGAAGTCGAAATTTGAATAGACCAGAGGCAGGCTGTACTGATGGTAGTATTAAGAATGAAGAAACTAGAAATACACCAGGGGAATCTAAGGAACTCCTAAAGGAGCCTCTAGATTTCTCTGTATCTACTTCTGAACGCCACGACACAAGCAGTTCCAACCAACTACAAACGAATTTATCCACTCAAGGTTTAATGCCAGTCCAGCAGGAAGTCTTCCAGGTACCTGGTTATGGTCCACAACATTTTATACCATACACAGTGCCACAAGGAAGCTTTGTTGGCCCACCACCAAGGCACCTACCGCCAGGGCATGTTCAACCAAGGCACATTTTGCCTTTTCAAGGTCCAAACACACAGCTGCCACCACCTCATGGCATACCAGTGATGAAATCTGAGCCGCTTGGGTTTGAGATGATGAGAGGGGCTCAAGGAATGGTTCCTTATAGAGGTATGATAGGGCTAACAGAAATGCGAACTCCACCTCCAGAGTATGGAGTTTTGAACACGTTACAGCCTGTGATGAACCCTCATTTCACTACAGGACCCGTTGCATTTGGTTATTCTACAGAGTGTATTAGATTCCAGGAACCAGGAATGCAGAATGCAGGGCCATATAAAGGCGAGGTCAGGGAATGTCCTTGCCAAGAATGTCGTAATTTCACTAGCCGTCCAATGGACGTACGTATGGATAAACAAAGAAAAAGCGGTGATGCCGTTAGCCCTGTTATTTCCAAACAGTCGCCAGCACCAGAATACGTTGAAAATGTAAACAGGGAATCGCCAATGACATCTGAACAAAGCAAGGGGATGGAACAGGACAAGGAGCCTATTATAACTGGTGTCTATTCTCTCAGAGACAGTAATGCTGTCAATGCAATCCAGTCTAAAGCAAGTAATAGCGAATTGGCTGAGAAGGATATATCGCAATCAGAAGAAACGAATGATGAGTTAGCTAGGTCTACTCCCGAGACTAAGGAATCTTTTATAGATTTGAACCAGACTGTTGCACGTAAAGATGATATAACTGATGTGGAAACCGAATCAAAGGATGCTGGGAAATCCAGTGAAGGCACCCAGGTAACTCCAAAGCCAAAAGAATTTGAATCAAAGAAAAAGCGGCTTGACTTTATTACGGGTAAACTAAGTGCTCAGAAGCAAAATGTTAAGGCTAGGACACAAGATTCAGCTGAGAAAACAAATGATCTGCCAGGCACCGATACAAATATAGCTGAAGCTGAAGCCTCAGGTATTGATAGAACTCAAGAAACGGACGATGCAGCTAGCTCAGTTAATGATAAACACTTAGCTGGTCAAACGCCGCCAGACTATGCAATGAAACAAACTCAGTTGGTATTTAATGCGACACCGGAGCCTCGTGGCTCGGCCGCAAACACGGTAGGGCCTACAATATCCCAAGATGGGCATATGATTGCTACTTTTCCTTATCAAACCATTACTATGGACCCAAGGATGAGTTTTCAAACTCCCGAGTTCGCTCCGCACATGCAGCCCATTTACAACCAGCCAGGTTTGCCTCACAGTGGTTACCAGCCTCATTTACGCCCAATGCCGTATGTAAACTATCCCAGATTCCCTAGTGCGCCTCCGTTCCCTTACGGACCACCGAGATACATTGCAGCCCCTGGTTACTACATCCCAAGAGAGACTCTACAGAATGTGACGTCGCATTACCCGCCACCGTATGGGAGCTTCCCTGTGTCGTCAGCAAACCAGCGTAAGTAGATGCCTATTATTGATTTATTTAAGATTTGGGAATCTCTGGCATGAAAGCTCGTAAAAACTGAAAACTCACCAACAGTTTGCCTTACTTAATCATTCTGTTGCAACTTTTCTGCAGTTTAATCGTTATGTTTGATTGCTGCATATTTTTGTATGCTTTCGTCGGTAGTCGTAACCTTGAATTGACTGCAGACGCTTATGACCCTGCAGACTAAAAAGGGCCTAAAGATCTTCCTTAACCTGCCTATAGATTTCCCAATTTGTAAAAAGGCTCGGATAGTAATCACTTGGTGCCAACTGTCCTAATTATCATATACAACCTGTTTTGAAAAAGATTCGGATTCATGTCAATTGTACAGAAGAATGAGAAAGACTGTTTTTAGCGATTTTGGATAGCTTTCGTAGAAGATTTTGATGGTTTTGATAAAAGAAAAATGAAATATTCTACGTAAAAAGTCTTCTTGACACAATGGCCCACTACTTAAATTATTGAACAACTTTGTATGTTCAGAAGCGGTCACTGAAGTGCTATTCAAGGCCATTGCTTTTCTTAAACCAACCTGGTGACCTGGTTTTCTTAAAGCTATGGTGTGGGATTTCAACCGAAGTAAAATAGATGCTTCCAATCAATGTTCGTCAAAAGATTCACTGTTCAGAAACTCAGATTGTTAAAAGACAACATCTGCTTAAGTTAATACTGCGCAACTAACCTTTAGATGGTTTACAGGCAACTTAGCTCCTTCCTCTCCAGGCAGTTGAACCCCTTCCCTTCTAAGCAATTTAACCCCTGCTTATTGGCTGTTTGGTTTTTATTAAAAGGATTCCCAGTGATGGCTCCAGGTGAAAGACTGCCAGCAGTTGTGTGCAAGACTCCCAATTGCAGCTGCCCACTTCCGCATGCAGCACCACCGATACAGATAGCACCTAAATCAGCTAGAATGTCGCCTTCGATAGGGCAAAGTCTTGATCAAGGGATGAATCCGACTAAACCCGAAAGTAAGTAATGTATATGTGTCTTGAGCATTGCCCCTTTTAGCTAGTATGTCCAAAGTAAATAATTTTTTGAACGGAAATTAGTACTTCTACGTACTACTAGCTTGTGAATTGTAAACTAAAAAAGTTATATTTAGCCTGATGCATCAGTGGTGCCGTATCTTTGCCTACATGCATGGGGTTGATAAGCAGTGGATCGAGAGTGGGTTAGGTGAGGATTGGGTACGGGTTTGGGTTGGTTTAGGACTTGGTTGGTAATACTGATTGGTAAAGGCTAGTAATAGGACGGATTTGAGCCTTGTGAAAGGTTTTCTACTGAAGACATTCTTGAAGTCAATATTTCCCTTATAACACCTACCTTAGCAAGATATGCCCCATATCTTCAGTCGCACCAGGAGTAAAATAACACCCAGTTTTATCTTAGCCCTACAGACGCCTACAGTAAACCAGAGTGTCCCTACATCTCCTCAGAGAAGTCAGAAAAAGAAAGATACATTAATGATGGGTGATCCCAGAAGACTCACTTTGCCGTTACAGAGAACAAAGAAACTTGGCGTTAAGCATGATAAAGGAAAGGAGTCTGCTGTTCATGAGAAACCAAATGAAGATCACAGATCAAATAATGAGGAAGAAGACGAGGAGCATCTGAGTGCCTCTGGTGGTGCTGGGATAAACGACGAAGACTCGAATGATTTTGGAGAAGCAGATGAAGAGGGGAAGGAGAATAGTCCATTTGACCAACCAGCGAATGGGGATAATTTGAATAGCAGAAATAGCAATGAGAGTTTGAAGGTATGTATGGTTTCTCGGTTGCATTCTGCATGCGAAGTTTGTACTGTCATACTAGATAAAGTTTAAAGGAGTGTGTATTGATCGTATCTGTTTGGTATTTTATGTTGCAAAGTTATTATTATTAAGTTATTATTAAGTATAGGAAAAAACGGTAGAAAACTTTTTGAAGTGGAGAACCGAGAAATTTGTTAAAACTCTTACTTTTTTCATGAATGGATGGAAAATAGTATATGAAATGAAAGCTCCGGAAGATGTTTTAACAATTATGATGAAATTCATTTATACCCGAAGGTAAGCCCCCTGGCGCATTTGGTAGTAGAATGACGTTGATGTTGATAGTTTGCGATTATATATTATAATTAAAGAACGGTTAATGCAGCTTTGTGAGCTTCGCATTGATTTCGAGTCTTGGAATTCAAGCATATGATTTTGCAACTGATAGAAACATGGATGCATTCGTCATAAACATTCGTCTTGAATTTAGAGTGGTTTTGTTAGAAATGAATTGTTATGAACTGTCTTTACGAGTTTCGAATGTGTGCAGGGGGCTGGCTGAGTTGAAACGTGAAAATATTTTAACTTTCTTCTCTCTAGGCTTCATCTAAGAAGGTCGAAAAGTCTCTTCATGGAAAGGGAAAAGGTGTGCTTATAAAAATTTGTTTCGTTTAATATATTTGGGTAGTGTTTTGTTTACCTTAAGGAGGCCAATTGGCTCAGATATTTTTTCATGTCAGCTTTAGTTGCTATAAACTAAATTATTTTGATCGACTGATATTAAACTTGGCTGTAGGGTCTGATTATAACGGTCATAAACGTTTGAAAGTAGAGTTAGACAGGGCATACTCATACAGATGCCTGTTTATTATTCAAGATTGAAGTGTTATTGTCTTATTCTACTGATTTCTCTACAGATTGAAAGCTATTGATAAGGTGTTCCTAACGGAATTTATTTATTGCCAGATATATTACTATTAATCTAAGATTATTTTTTTGCCCTTTGTCATCAGTCCTTGCACCGAAAGAATTTACAGTCGAGTTGGACTTGAACGAGTTCCGATGTCAACATACGGGCTGCAGCAAATCATTTAGGAAAGCGTCAAGTCGTGATTATCATCAAAAGTACTTCCACACGCCTCGTGTACCTCAAAAGAAGAGGAAGCTATCATCTTGCTGTGAGTATTGTATTTACAACTCATATTGTGAGGAATAACGGGTGGGGAGAAACGGGTGTTTTGTGTGAAACCTATATTATTGTAATTAACCTTGCCAGAAAAAACGCACTTTCAGTTTTACTGAGAACTGCGTTATACTTATTGAGAACTGCACTATACTATAGTTATGAAGTAAAAATATATGGTGTAATGATGTAATGTGGTGAAAATTAAACAAGAAGCATGTAATATAACATGTAACAAAAAAATTCAATTTTGTGTCATTGTATGCTGAAAAATTACTTTAGACGTTAGCCTTTTTTTGATTCAGGTTTTTGCATTTTTACTTCAACGGAACCGTTTTATTCAACATTTCCGTTGATAGAATTTTTTATTGCTTCGTTTGTCAGTGCCTTCTCCAATCTCAAGTGACGCTCTCCTATCTCCTGGTGGCTCATTTTTGCATTCAAAATCGTATAGAAACCTTTCTTCAAACGATGGGGATTTGAAGACTCCTGAGGTAATTTAGCTGCGAAATTGCAGCATGTACATGGTGCCTTTACTTATCTTGTTCATATTGATTCTGAAGCTGTTACCAGAAAGGTCTGTTATTCGCCCCTATTTTATTAGGCCATAAAGCACCAAAATCTTTGTACTGCAATCACTGCAAATGTTCCTAGCTGTTCTGTTTGGAAGTATTATGCTATCATTCTTTGAAATTAGTTAAATTCTCAGTGTTTTGAAAATCATCAAGATTTTTGTAGCCTTTATTTCCAGTGCAGTTTCCTGAAAATATTGTAGTACGTCAGTGTGGTTTGGTATATTCAAATGTACTTTTGTAAGCTTGAGAAGAAATATAATTTTTTGCAATATGTGAGCAATAGATTGATGTTGAAATGCCCCTGACGTACAGTTGCCCCTAATATTAAAGAGGTAAGATAACTACAACAAAAAAGCTTTTTTCATTTAAAGAAGTATTATTATAAAGCTGTCTTCTTTTTTGCATAGGACATGGCAAATGTCAGAAGTGGTTATGCCAGCTCTGTAATGACTGATGAGAATTTATCAGACAGAGAGAAACATGATGATATGAGCGATGAAGATAGTGACGAAAGTGATTCGGACACAGATGGCTCTGCTTGTGTTGATGACATCATCAAATGTAAATGTGGAGACCTTGAAGAGCAGGGATTTATGATACAGGCAAGGCTCCTTTTGCTCATTTTCATTAACTTTTCTTTTACATTATTATGAAACATTCTATTTGTTGTATAGAGCAGGACGCTTCTAAGTTGCCAACCGACCACTATGCGGTAAACAGTAATTTTCGTTGATTATGAAACATAAATGAAAACCCTATAGTTGTGCCCAGCTAACGCTCCCTCCCTCTCGTTCTTGACATGTAGTTCTGCATGTACCAACCTAAGACACGCTTTTATTCTTGAGATTTAGCCAAGTTGTGAACATTTTATTTCTTGTTTATATGGGAGCACGAAGTGATAAGAATGTCCATTTTTTAAGAGACTCACGACTTATCCTCGCCGGCTTCTTTAGTAGAGTATACATTTTGCTGGTTCTTTCTGTTACCAAGGACGTGCTGAATTTGTCGCAAAATCTTACAGTGGCAATGTCAGAAAAGATTTACAGGCAAGCCCATTCACATGTGATGTGTAGTCCTTTTTCAACGCAATCGTATTCACGATATTTACATCACTAATAGTAATTATCAATAAATCGCCTTTTTCATTATACACAGTGTGAGCAGTGTTTTACTTGGCAACATGGAGATTGTGTCAATTTATCCATACAAACCGTTCCAAAGAAATACCTCTGCTATATTTGCACAAATCCAGAAGGTAAAACTATTCTTAAATTCTTCATTTTTCATTTTCACAATCTTCACTGCTCAAATGCTCTTCCTTCGTTGTAGAATTTGCAACAGATCTTCAGGTCCTCGTTTGTTTATGCTAAATTTATTTGAGTGAATGCGCAGAGAAAACATAAAAAGAGCCAGTTTGTGGGTTGAAACACAGGATAAATATCCCTTCAAATGACAGTTGAATGGCTCGTAAACAAGAGACTCTTCTTCATTATTTTAGTAGTACAAGATTAATGTTCAATATGCTAATACATAATTTCCTATTGGTGAAATGCCTTATTCACTATGCACACAAAAGGGATATTTACACTCTGTCAACACGACGGCAACAATGGTTCTTGTAAATTTTCAGAATTTGCTTGCTACACATCCGTTCGCCTAAATATCTGTGGTATCTTAATATCTAATTTCGCCTAAAAATTTAAATTGTGAGTTTAAACCTTTTATTTCGAATGACAACGTCGTGTGTGTGAATTGATTAAAATGATACCTCAAGTTTTTCATGTTTCCAACTGATTTGCAATTTCAGTCCATTTGCGGCTGTCGTTTCTTGTAATTTTATAACCCTTTTTTAATTGTTTTTAGGCCTACGAAGCTGTTATAAATATAAGGTGAGCCATTACATTTTTCAATTCATGTAACACTTTAAATATAATATTTAGGATATTCAATAGTGACTCAAATGAGCTTGTTTGTCGCATAACATGCCAATTTTTGCCAAAAATCGGTGTGTTCCTTTAGCGTATTGCTTTCAAATATCAATGCAGATGATAAAGAAATGTCCTTCATAACATCGATTACTAAGACATCTGCGAACCACATTAAATTGTACTCTTTAATTTAACTTTTTTTGCACACGTTTTGTTTTCAATTCCAATGGTAATGCCCTTGCCTTATGGAAACTGTGCATGAAAATATTACTGATCAAAATACCTTCAAATTTCACTCAATAACATAACAGCTTGATAATTAAGAAGGAAATACACTTTTATGCCATAAAACTCCATGTTTATTATATTTAGCTCTCCATTTATAGAGATTTAGCTTATCACAATAATCTCTCACACTTCTTCAGAACCAATTGACTGGTTCAAGAAAGTACGCTACGCTGCCATCTTTGATTGAAACTGAAGACAAGAATCAAGAGAGAATTTCGAATATTATGCAGGCCAGTCACGCGTTGATGGAAGATGTGGCAAACATTTTTGACGTCATTAATGGGATCAAGAAAAAGCTTACTTTATTAGAGTACGTATTTCAGTTTATTTATTATAAATGAATTGTAGCGAATGGGTATTTGAAATCATTTGACAAGCTTTTTTTGGCTTGTTAAATCAAACGATGATTTTTACAATTAAGAAACAACGAAACATTGTTTAAACCAAAGGATCGAGTAAATTCTCTTCTAGTGAAAACGTCTTTAGTTAGTACTTCTATGATCTTCACGCTAAGGGAAGGGGTGCTATCTTCTTTGCTTTCCAGTGAAGAATTGTGCAGCATTCCGCAGCATTTCACAGAATTTTAACGAAATGGGTTTTGGTTATTCTTTACGCGTACACAGCAAATCACGTGATAGTTTTCCATCAGAATAACTTTTTAGTGAGAACACTATAGATAGCGCAGTGGCCATGTATGCTACCCAAGGTATTTTCATTGCAATGTCCTGTTTTACTTCTGGTAATCATTGACACACTTGTCTGTTTCTAAGAGGAGCGTGTGCTTCGATTATTTCAAGCACTTGACAGTTTGCTATGAAGCATAAATGAAGTAGTTTAGGAATTACTGAAACGATTTTGCTTATGTTTTAGTAAACCATCTGACCAATCTCTACTGCGATTTTGGAGAAAATATGAGGAAAAAGCTAACAAGAATGAAGATATTAAAGACCAGAGCGTTGATGAAAACAAGATCGAGTCAAATGAAAGGAAAGAGATTGTAGAAAGTGATGAAAGAATAGAAAGTGATAAAAGAATAGAAAGTGATAAAAGAATAGAAAATGGAACATCTGATCTTGATAAATGTGCAAGGGACTCATTTACTGAGAAAGATTCAGTGATTGAAAATGGGAGATCGAATGAAGTCCAAAATGGTGAAGAATTATTAAAAGAAAAGAACTTGAAAAATACAGATAGCGAAATTGATATCAAAGTAAAAGAAAGCCCTGACATTGGTAATGAGCGTATTCAAGATATAAAGGGGGTAGAAAAAGATTGTAAAGATACGTTGAGTTTGGTACCGAAGGATTCAGAATGTGCGCAAATGGCGGAACCAAGGGAAACCACAGAAGAGAAAAAGGACGGAAATGATGAACTTGACATTGTTTATGCAAAATTGAATTTACTTAATCACGTGGATGAAATCGAAGTTCAGCTAAGCAAAAGGATGGACGAAATTGAATCAAATTTAGATGGTGAGTATTGATATTTTTTTATGATAATGATGATGATGATTTTGATGTAAAATGTTAAAAGTAGAATGATGAAGCGGTGATCTTTTGTTCACGTGTAAGGTTTGAGCTTTCAGGGCCTGGGTCTTACTTAGAAATAATACTGTCTTAGTTTTAGTCAATTTTATTTTCGACCACGAATAACAGTTAATTTACCCATAAATTTCTTACACACAAACTTGGATTGATTTTGATTTTCGTTGCCAATAAATTAGATGGACTTTAGTGAATTTCAGCTGTCTCCGATTCCCCGAAGTATAGTCGAACACATATGTAACAATGTAAGGGCTCTTCTTACGACAGTGGGATGCTCTGGTGATCATGGGCTAGGCCGCTTTGAGAACACTGCGAAACGCAACATAATGCCATGGCAAGGACAAAAATTTCCCGGAAAGGGAGTTTCTAACACAGCAGTACGATAAGCGAACACGTGACATAAAAACGCAACAGGATCTATGAGTCCAATTTAAGTTAATAACAATAATATCAACCGAAGAATAAAAGTCCTAAAATGTTACACGTGAACGCAATAGCAACCCAGTTACGTAACCTATCAGCAAGAAGTTTTACCAAGGTGATGCTTGGATGGATTTGCTTTTGACTTTGCGCGTGTTTCTGCTTACTTGGCTGAGGCCAAAAAGATTTGTCTCGGTTAAGAAAAAATTTTTAGTTTTGCGCAAGTTTACTTTCATCACGAGCTTGAAACCGACAGGTTTTTAAAATTGGCTTTTTCAAAAGAGCTTTTCCAAGCATATCAACAGACAGGGGCAAAAATTATCTTATGGTCAGAGCCTGAGCCCAGTCTTTTTCCTTGTTTCTCCGTCTGTGTTGTTTAAGAACAGACTATTGAAAACGGCTTACCTTTAAAATTAATTGATGATGTCAATGTATGTTTATTAATTAAATTGTTAATGTTTCTGTACAGAAATCGGCGAGTCTGTTTTAGTTATATTTTAGTTATAAAAAATATTTATACTGTTGGTTTTTGTTTACAAAGACGTTCCACTAAACGTCCAGTGATCGTGATATTGCTTATTTTCCTCATTTTTTCTTTTAGTTTTGGAGCAAAACTACAGTCAAGTAGAAGAAGAAGCTGAAGATGGGCAAGCCAAATCATCTTTCAAAATTGTATTCCCCGATATGGCATCAATTGCTCGCCATCTTAATATGATAAACCGGCAATTGATTGATGCCAAGTGAGCTACTTTCGTTGAATAGCTAGAATATTCATAGAATAATATTGAAAACTAAAAGGTCGTTGTCCTTATATGCAAGAAATTTAGTTGTTTATATGCAAAAAATTGCTTACATACTAGATTGTATGTAGACCAAACAGCTGATTGCTTTTACCGGCATTTCAAAATTTGGAGGCAGATGGGAGAGCTGTTAGATTGCTTATACAAATTGCACATAAGGGGCTAGCTTTGTCCTATAAGTTCTGAGTATTGAATATATAAGCAGGGCCGCCGAGAGGAAAAGTGCTAGGGGCAAGAGGGTAACTTGCTTCTTGGCCTTGAGGTCTAGGGGGCCTCGTATTTCGGTATTGCCCCAGGGCCTCCAAAACCTCCTGGCGGCCTGTATATCAGATGGGAAACTGTCAGAAAAAGTTCAAAATTGATATTTTGATAAATTGAATCAAAGAAAAAAATGTTTGCATATTGTTAGAGAACGAATTGTCGGAAATAACCCCAATGTTTTGTTAACTGCTAAAATGTTATGTTTTTGTATTGCTAGATGAATTTCGATATATGACATTGCATTTTAATTCTTTACATGATTGTGCAACCTGCCTTAATTGTTGCTGTTGACAAAATTATTTTAGCATCTCGGATCGCTAATGAGGTAGTGCTGAGAAGATGATTTCAATCTTAGTAAATATCCTTAGTTATGTTGTTGCTTTGATGTTGTGTTGTTTATCCCGTTTGTCTTCCTTTGTTGAATTAGCAATTTTTATTGTGTTAAGAAATTAAAGAGAAGTATAAGTAAAGGAACAGAAATTTGAAACTGACTCAGGTCTCCAATTTACACATCTGAACACCATAGCAATAGCTGTCTGACGTATAGTGAGGATGGGGGTTTTGCAGATAGGAAGGGAATGGGGTTCACACTCATTGATAAATTTTTTTAGTATGAAATTCCGTTTTTTATGTGTTTAGCTCAACGGATTTATTTAAAACACTATGATTATTGATGTTTAAGTAAAATATATATTCTAAGAAGAACCCACTTAAGCATTATGTTAAGATGTTTTAATTGAAATAAAGAAACATAAAACATTTCACGTGCTTTTTTTAATACGTCAGACATCCGTTACCTAAGTTTTATTTTATTTATCTTGCTAAAGATTGATTATTTATGCCCCTTTGTTTTATTTGGTCTTCTTTTTCCTTCTCCTTCAATTAATATAATTGAAAGATTGAATATTTTTACCTATTTGTGCGATGTATGCTCAGTCTTAATTTTCCAAAGGAAGCCTTTTCTCGAGGAAACCACTCACGCTGTTATTGATTATTGATTTTTATGCTAACGCCGTATAAAAAAGGCAGAAAAATGGTTCCTTTTTCTAAATTAAGATGAATACCTCTGTACACATATAAGAGATATGTATAGTAAACCCTGTATGTAAATATGTACGGTTGATTATATTTCATTAAAAGATTTTGTTATGTTTTTATTTTACTTGGTTTTATGTTGCTATTTCTTGTCCAGGTTTTCAGTGATATGATAAACATGAAAGACCCTACCTTGAAGCAGGGTTTCAAATGTATTTTCGTTGATTTAAGGTTTTGTCAAACGTGGCACAAAGTTAAATAGAAAAGAAGCAGCAATGCCGATAATTCGAATCGAGTTCCAAGACTATGGCTAATAAGCAGAACTACTTTCTACGTTGTAACCATCAAAATCTTATTGTTGTTTGAACTATGATTGTCTAGGCTGGAAGGAAACTAGGCTGGAAGGGAAAGTTTAGACAAATTTTGGAATTTGCGAGTCGTTACATTAGAAGAACATTGCTATTAGGATGAAGAAAGTTAATGAACACGTGTGATAGTTGAAGAGAATATGAACACAATGGAAGAAACATAGCATTTTATCGGCTGATAACGTTGTGGCCTTTGAACGAAATGCAGGGTTCTTTGTCGGAATCTTGGAATGTACCCTTGCTTGACAGACTGAGAATTATTTCATCAGAATTTTATTAATTAGAGTTAGCGTAGTCTTAAACATAGACCATAACTCCTTCCACGTTAGGTCCAGGGAGAAACAAAGACAAAACAAAAGAGTAACTGATTTCATATTTGAGTGTATAAACCTGCCAGATTATCCTCCTGCAAAATTTGATTGGTGAGATGGAAGGTCCTACTCTAGCCCCCTCCTTGGCTGTAGAAGTGGTTATCAGCTTCTTGTTACTGTTTACTACCGACAAGTATGAGATAGCAGATTAGATATAAAGCATAAACGGTTTCTTTGTTGCTTTAATTGTTAAAAATCTCTAACTAGCATGGTATTGCATTGTTTTGTGCGATGCCTATTTCTTAGGCTTTAGCATACCAAGGAGATGTATCAAATATTTCGGTAAAACTCCTTGAATTGCTATCTGTCAAGTTATGCCGATGTGTATGCTGCTATCAAAACAGCCATTTTGGGCTAAAATTGCAGAATTGCTACAAGCTTACCTTCCCGCTCCCATCGTTGTTGAAGAGCCTCTTCTCTGTGACTCTTCTCCAATCGAGGTTGTAAATATGGCGACGTCCAAAAGAAGGTGATGCGTGTTCGCTTACCGTTACTTATGTATTGAAATTTCTTTCACAAGAAGACGCTGAATAGTGTATTAAGCTATTGACAAGAAATCATGGATGATGATGATGACCTTGGAGAAGATATTTGGAACGCATTCTCGTGGCGTTCACATATTTCAACCAAGATAAAGCTGATGCAAAAGTACTTTGTTGAAGAACTCTCTTTTCCAGAAAGTCACCGAAAAATAATTGATTTTTTCGACACTTACTACGATGCATATTTGAAAGAAGATAATCGAAATAATGAGGAAGGATTACCTCCAGCCAAAATGAAAAATAGCAACGTACCGCGTGTCATATCTGAGGAATGTTTCTTTACTTTTCTAGACGAGTCAGATTTCACGGCCATTCAAGAACTTAAGCTGTTGGAGCTGATTTCCTCGTATTTTGATGGCAGAGAACTAGATTTTGTAAGGTATTTCGTATTTGATTGCCTGTTTGGTAATATAAACGAAGATGGAATTCAGTTTAGGGATGCCAAACTGAAGTTTCTTGGCAAACTCATTTCAATGGCTGTTGGAATACAATGTGTATTGATACTTGAATGCTGCGCAATTTTCTTTCAGAGGTTTGGAAGGAAGAATGCAATGGTGTCAGTAATAACAAATGTTGTAAATGATTACTGTTATCTAATTCCAAGTGCTTACCAAATTCTTGAAAGTGTTGTACAAGTGAGCCCAATGTTTTGTTGCCAGTTTGTAGAGGCTCTCCCAATGATTTATAGTTTTCATCAGAAAGCAAAGTCAGATGGGGAGGACAATGATGATGAGTTTGAAAGCAATCAGCAGGAAATACCACCAATGCCTTTAATAAAATAGTTGGGTCTTGGCTTTCATCAAGCCCTAAAGATTTTACTTCTAGAAAGCCTCATGAATTTCTGTTGTTGCCATCAATTTACAATTTCCAAGATGACCCAAAGCTTCAAAAGAAAATCGTCTGTTCAATATCAGGGCTCTTATCATGGTCTGTTCTCTCACCTCTTTTTGCTGGCATCAAGATCAACAACAAAGTAATTGGTTCTGATGAGATCAAAAAAGTATCGTCTCTTTTGCACTATGGAATTTTGAATTATTTTTCAATGCATCGTAAAAGTGACACAAGTGCCTCTGGAGATGAAGATGATCTGGAGCCAGGGGAAGTTTCTGAGGAGCCTAAAGCGATGGAATTGATTTTTGAATCAAACATAAAAGATGTGATAACTCATCTTGATGATACAGTTGAAAGGCTAACTGATGAAATAACAAAGGAGAAACTAGGGGAAAGCATAGATAGGCTAGCTCAGATAATTCAGATCTCCAAATGGAGTGGTTGTTTTTTACCAACAAGTAAAAAGTTCAAGCATGCCTTGAAGAAAGTCCCAAAGACAAAGCTCTTCTCAAAAGTACTCAAGACTTTGTAACTCTTTGACAATTGTAAATAGACTTATAGCTTTGATGTTTCATGCATCAGCCAGATCAAGATCTAAGTCTCCTGGTATTATAAAGAATAGGAATAGAACTCATTGTGTGAAATACTAGCAGGCGACTGTACATTTTTTGGATTTTTATCTGTAATGATAATTCAATCCATTTAACAGTGAATTAAAATAGACTTTTCAATCTGTTTGTCCTAGGAATATGCAAATGGTGACAGAAAAGTCAGAAATTTGGTGTGCTTAGTGTCATTTGAAATATTGATTATCATGAAACTTTTTGGTTGTACAAAAGAATTCTAAGGTAACCAACAATTTTCAACAACATTGCCAACAAGACTCAAGTTATACTGATAGGCTCCGTCAGTATCATCACAGAACAGGGATTTTGTTAGACCTCATTGCAAGGCTCTGTCATTGACTTGGGATTGCTGTTTTCAATCCAACTTCTAGAAATCAAGATTTTTTAAACTGGTTTGGGTTTGAAAAAAGTTGGGATTGGGGCAAATTTTGGCTAATTTTTTGTATGTATCCAAACTGGCAGGTTCAGTTTAAAAATAAATGGATACTTTAGCACTTAAAATGGTTGCCAAATATGTGATGTCATGTTTCTGTTTGCTTGTCACTGACAGAATGCAATTGAAGGCTCTCTGGTCAAGGTTTGGCTTAATTGTCGGTACATAATGTCATTTGTTGGCAAGTTTGCTTGTTTTGGGGGGCATTGCCCCCCCCCCACCTGAAAAATGAATTTCCGTCACTGCTCAGATCAAACTCACATTTCAAAGGCTGTCACAGGTTGCAGAGATCTGGTTGTCACAGGAAAGGTGCTTGAACTATTCACAGTCCACACTAAGTATTTTTATGCTTGAGAGCAGAAATTTTGAAAGATTTGGATGCAATATCATGCAGTATTAAGGAATTTGAAATTCTTGTGTATTATCTGAGACATGTTGAGACATACTTTACTGGGACAGCAGGGTGTTTTCAAAGAGCTTAGGTGATGTGTTATTGTGGGCTTTGAAGCTTTGAGATACCAGTCAAATTCAATAAAATCAAAGTGTATTCTTCTAAACCATTTTTTGCACAAATTCGTGGATTACAGCCTCACTTTGGTACTAGAGCTTGCCTGCCAATGATATAGAAGCGCCGAAGGCTCTAGATGTCTAACTCACAGGTCCGCTGTGAGGGAAATTTGTTTACTTCCGCCATTTTGAATAGTGGCAAAAAGGAACTTGCTCCATACCGAGCCCTTTTAAATTTGGTAAAAGTAAGGATTGATTTCATTCACTTCTCTTTCGAATATCGATGTGAAATTTGGTGAGTGGCATTATATTGCACTTAGATTTATAGATTGATGTTAATATTGGAAAAATAAGCCGTCGTTCGCAAATTCCAAGCATTTACAGTTGCGGTGCTTGCTGTGGTGTTTTCTGTCTCGTCGAAATTCCAGAAAATATTGATTGATCTGTTTTAAAACGGATCCAGCAACAATGTTTAGCCACTCAATGCATAGATTTCTTAACACATTTGTACAAAGATGTGATATAGTTACTTTTTCTTTGTTTGTTTACAGAAACTGCTATGAAATATCTAGGCCAAACTCTAGAAAAAATCGAAAATAGGTCATAATTCAATGCTCGGATATTAATAACAGAATCTAAATATGGTAACCAATTTTTGATTTTATATAATCATTGATATTTTCAAACTATTTCAAAACCACACTCAGGGGCGGTCTGGCGTCAAAATCGCAGGATGGCTAGAAAACTCAAGGGCCCGGTTTAGGGCGTGGCGGGAAAAATTGAGCCACACCCACTAAAAATGTGGCTTAGAATACGATTGATTCAGTAAAAATTCATAATAAAGCAACACGCTTAACAGCAGCAGTATATCGACTTAAATTCGTAAATTCGGACCCAATTGGATCCATACCTTTCCTCTCGTGTAAACAGGCTTTAAAATCCCATGTAGAGTTAAGAATCAAGATCAAAAATTATTCAAATTCTCAGAGTTTCAACTCTTTTCGAAGTAGTGCAAATGAATCAGCAAATTGGCCAATGACTTGCTCGTAATTAAGTGGAACGTTTTCTCTTCTTTTGAAATTATCAGTAGCGCTGAATAATCTTTCAAAGGAAACTTGGGTGCAGCTAAGTGTCATCAAGCATTTATACGCGTTGTAAAGGGAAGGGTATGCTGCAGCTGCTAGGTGCATGTTGTATTCACTAATTTTTTTATAGAAACCAGTAAATTTAGATTCAGGCTGACTGTTCTTAATTTTCGCAAAAATCCGAGGGTGGATTGTCCTTAATTTGCTCTTAAATTAATACGGTGTAAGCAGTGCGATTGCTAGCTTTCGCTCTTAGGAAGTGTTCAGGCATTATTTGCCAACAAAGTGAGAGAGACAGCCTTCATTTGACGACAAGATTGAATATTCACCGAAAAGCAACCACACATGGCTAAAAATCCTCGTTTGGGGATAAAATGTTGTTCAAAAATCCATTAAACAGTAACCCAGCCTTAGCCCGGGCCGAGTCAGCCCGGGCAGAGCCTGGCCGGGCGAAAGAGGGTTGAGCCCGGTTAACTTTTCTACTGCGCATGCGGAATAAGGTTGCGAATTGAAAAATATCAGGATATCATAATAGCAAAACAAAAGCTGACTTATTGATTTTTAGGCCCCTTGCCCCCCTGTGTCACCATCTCCCAAAATCCCTCTATTATATTGCCAATGACGTCACTTCCCCCACCCCCCCCCCGCCCTTCGCTATAAATTCATTTGTAAAGTAGAACAAAGCAAAAATGCATAATTTTTTTTTTATAAAAATTTTTTGCAGATCTAAAGTTGCGAAAATTATATTTTTAAAAGGTTGCGAACATTAAAACAACTCTGAAAGGTACCTTCTTAAGCCTGCCTAGTTCGGGATTGCTCCAGGCTCCGAATTCCTAGGAATATCCTTTATTTATGCTTCTTTTAATGCAAAGTTTCGTCCATAGTTTTGATTCATGTTTTATCTAAGTAATCAAGAAAATCAACAAAACTGATTTCTCTACGATGTTCGTTGCTTCAGTGTTTAGTCTGTAGAAACTAAGGTTCACCATTAAATTGAGTAAAACTATATCAATGATGTGTCAAATTTCCACCAGTTTTTGCTAATTCCTCGTAATTGTATAATTTATTGAATGGTTTTCCGAAATCTTCAAAAACGCCTAAGACTTGTGATTAACCAAGACTTATGACCAGCGCAAATTAGTTTGTTCACTTATGACAAATGCGAATTATTTCAAATGCCTGATATCGAATAGCTGAGAGGGTTCTCACTTTTGAAGCCTTTACTGAGTACAATCTAATGTTCTTTCCATTCAGAATGGTTGTATCTGGATAAGATTGTCGATGCGTTGGCAGTTGGATATTGGAACGTTCATATATTACCTAATCAAAGATGGACGGTTCACACAAATGTTTACGATCATAATGATAAATAAATGATGCAAATTAGATGATAATTTAGGGGGAAGAGGATTTTTCCAATGTTGCCTATATTTTGTTATGTAATTTGTGCATGTTCCTTGCTTGAATGATAATGCTCTTTCCAGGGCCTATTTTAGTGTGCAGTATTACACACTTTGTACAGTATTAATTTAAAAACGTGCAATATTGATTTCGAAAATGTACAGTATTGAATTTTGGGATTTGTGAAAATGTCTATTTGCGGCTATCCCAGATTCCTGCTGTGTCAAAAAAATGTGAATTTTTCTCGTCAGTTCGATATAGAGTTCATGTATTGTAATTCTCGTATAACAATCGGAAAGACTCTTTTATCACAAATTAAAACAAAGCGAAATGCCCAGAACCAAAAACAAAACATCTCCTGTAAATGTCAGCATTGCTGTAAATTGCGTAATTTGATCTTATCGAAGATAAAACATTCAGTAATAATTTATCAGTTGCCCTATGATGCTCTGGGCATCTAGCAGAAGCTCACTTAACTTAACTAAAAGAAAGATAAAGAGCCTAATAAAACTTTTTAGTTAATAGATCACCTTTCTTCAAACAGACCCAACAACCTCTGTAATGTATCGGTCGTAAAAATCGGTATTACAGATCACTATATTAAAAATATAGCATTACGGTATCAGAAAATTAAACGCTAGAGTTCATGTCAATGACGTGAAATTTAAGACAGAGTCACGCAGTTTGAAAAATTATGACCGTGACTCTTTTCTTAATGACTTGCGTAGTATTGACTGGGAGGTGGCTATGTCATGTAGATCGGATGACCCTAATAGGATGGCTAGCAATTTCTACGATCTCTTTCTCGCTGTCTTGGATGTGCATTCCCGTTGAAAAAAAGAACCGCTAAGACGGGGCATGCACATGTACCATGGATTTCTCCAAGCATCAAGAATTTGATGTGCGAGAGAGACCGTATTAAGAGACGGGCTAAGAGAGATCCAGCACTATGGCCAAGATATAAACAACTTCGAAACCAGGGGCGGTCTGGCGTCAAAATCGAAGGGTGGCATCAGTCTTTAAGACCGGATCGAAAACTGATTTGAACAACTACCGGCCAATATCCATACTCTCGGTATAATCGCACATGATCAAGTCTCCACCTTTTCTGAGGGAAAAAAGCATGCTCTCCAAATGTCAGCATGCATTTCGAAAGCTGCACAACACTTTGACCTCATTACTCAATGTTACTGACTCATGGTTCTCAAAGAACTAAGAACTCAAAGGCATCTTGATTTTGTATTTGAAGCGCTAAAACCCCTGCGTTTTGTACTAAAAAGAAATTTTGTCCACCTTTATTCAAAAGTCGTGTCTAGTGGCAAAAGGGGCTTTTTATCCCCTGACTAATGACCAGCTGTACTCCCCCCCTTCTTCCTTGTTTGGAACTTGGCAGAAACACCTCAAACCTGGAATTCTACAGAAAGAGCCTGGAAAATATGAAACTCCTACAAGTATTAATGGAAGATTAAGCCGTATGTTTTGAAAATAATTTATTAAAGTATTCCAATCTTTTCTCAAACTTAAAACATTTTCGTTACTGAATAATATCTGTGTTTTTTCTCAAGAGATTCTTTTTCCTTTTAACCATGTCTTTCTCATACAGAAGGAGCCCATCAATCTGCAAAATTATCAATTTGCACAAACGGGCGGCAGGAGGATCCCTTAGAACCCATTTTTCCAAATGATTTTGTCAGAAATCTTTCTGAAAAGTCAATAGTTTTATAAGCACATGTTCAATGCCTCACCATAATTACGAATAATTGTACGGGCATCATACTAGGCTAGTAGGAGCTAAAGCCCCTCTTTATTTTTTCAAAGAAAAGCTTTAAAACTTTCAAAAATTCATAAATTACATGAGAATGAAGTCATTATTTTGCTAAATTTCAGAAGATTGCGCGTTTAATCGAAAATAATATCGTCTCCTACGCTGGAAAGAGAAGTTGCTTTCTTTGTAAAATCTTGGAAGATAGTGCCGCGCTAACTGAAAAATGGCTTTAGGCTTTGGGCTTTAATCTAACTTTCAATATCTACAATGCACTTTACATCATTTGACACCTAAATATTTTGCCACCCTTCCAGAGTTTCAAACACAGTCAATTTGACTGAGAATCTTCTTCCAAAAGCAAATTATGAAAAGAAAAGACATTAAATTTCGGCATTTTCTGAATTTCCAAATAGCGTGATTTAAAATAATTTACCGGGGACAAGCCCCCGTTTTGCTTGCAATATAATTCCCCATTCCGTCATGCATTGCATGGGATTTTAAGAATGAATTATGACATAAATAAACTAATTTGATAATGGGCTATCCTTGAAATGTCGTTTATTAATTCGTTAATTTTCCCAAGTATAATTTTAGTTTAAGTGAATTATGACATAGTTTGCAGTAAACTGATTCCCTGCTACACAAATTTGAGACACACTTTGCTTACCCGACATCTGTCCTGGCCGTGTGCAAATTATTGAGCCATTCGATTAGTTCCTTGGGTACAAAATAGCTTTTTCGTACCTGTATGTAGAGGAATTGTAAGTCCGTAGAAAACGGAATTTTACTGATCGCATTTGCAAGGTACACTCGTAAACCACAGTGAAATTTGGGTCAAGTCACTTGAAGCTTTAAAGAGCCTCTCCAGCCAAAAATTTTTTTTTTTTATTGACTAAAAAGTTAGCATCTGGTGCGTGTATTATGGCAAAGTCACGCATTGATAACTGCAACTAAATCTACAGCAGGATCTTTTTAGGATCGAAAAATATTAAATGTTTACAATCATTCTAAGCCTGCGGGTCGGAATGTGTCCATGCTGTGTTACGACTTTGTTTTGATCACCTGTGTCGGCCCACAAAGCTATGGCTTCCTGTTCCAGCTCTTCCCTTCGCGTATAATTAATCGAAATTGACACTTCAGTTGTTTTCCAGAAACGATGAGCAACTAAAGGCTTCAGAATTGGTGTCTGAAATGCTCAAACTAAAAGCCGGTGGAACAGAACTGAGTGTACCATCACTTGCAATGTTCAATTTGCGAATCACCGTCGTTCGACTTGGTTTGAGGCAAGACTTTGACCCCCCTCACATAAGAAGTTTCAGGTCGGTCTGAACTTAGATCGACCTGAAGTTCATTTCAATCTGCGGTCTGAGCCCTTGAGGTGCACACATGAGAGAGGGCGAAATGAAAATCAGGTCGACCTGAGTTCATTTCGGTTGTTCAGGTTGGTCTGAAATTTCAGGTCGACTTGAAATCCGCATGTGTGCAGAAAAGAATTTCAAATCGGGGCGAAATGAAACTCGTGGAGAAAAATAAATTGCTCTCTGGGATGCATGCTTAATGATTTTGGTGCCATTTGACCATTGAATTGAATCTAACACTCTCAGTATCTGCACAAAACACGACTTTTTCTTCTTTAGCAAGAACGATTTTCAGATGAAGATGGCTTATTTGAGAAATAAGTTAAGGAAGCAAAACAAAATGAAGCTGCAAAACGAAGACTAAAACAACAAAAATCGATTTCAATACTGATATAAAATATGAATTATTTCGCGCCATGTTTTTTTTGAACTGAATTGGCAATAGAAGCCTGTTGAATTTCAAGCCGGTTGGAAAATGTTCATGTGAGCAGGAGTCAAATTAGCACGCACCAACAAATTTCAAGCTGATCTGAGTTTCAGACCGGCCTGAAATTGTATATGTGAGGGGGGTTTAACGAAATGCACAGTGACGTCAAAATTGCGTCACAGTGTCACCAAACCGGAAAAATTGTGTCGGTTAATTCAATTCAATTATCGAAATGCAAGAGCTTATATCTCACAAACTGTGAAAAATTTGGCTGGAGAGGCCCTTTAAGATCAATAGGCCTGTTTGAATAAACACAGTCATATATTGGATACATGGATGTGCCATGCGATATTGTAAATAAGACATGCGACCACAACCGCAAAGCAACGATAATCGGCTTAACAGGTCAAGAGATTTTCAGACCTCAACTAGTAGTTTTGATAAAGAAATTATGGAAACTTTAAGTCTAATACAAAACACAAGCTGTGCAAAATATTGTAGAAAAAATTGGCGCCTTTTTCAAATCGCAACCTTAATCCGCATGCGCAGTAGAAAAGTTAACCAGGCTCAACCCTCTTTCGCGTTAACAATACATGATTTCAAACCAAATTGAGTCCTCCTGGGCCGAGTCCTCCTGGGCCGAGTCCTCCTGGGCCGAGTCCTCCTGGGCCGAGTCCTCCTGGGCCGAGTCCTCCTGGGCCGAGTCAGCCCGGGCCGAGTCAGCCCGGGCCGAGTCAGCCCGGGCCGAGTCAGCCCGGGCCGAGTCAGCCCGGGCCGAGTCAGCCCGGGCCGAGTCAGCCCGGGCCGAGTCAGCCCCGGCCGAGTCAGCCCCGGCCGAGTCAGCCCCGGCCGAGTCAGCCCGGGCCGAGTCAGCCCGGGCCGAGTCAGCCCGGGCCGAGTCAGCCCGGGCCGAGTCAGCCCGGGCCGGAACGTTCACATATTACCTAATCAAAGATGGAGGGAGGGGGTTCACACAAATGTTTACGGTCATAATGATCAATAAATGATGCAAATTAGATGATAATTTAGGGGGAAGAGTATTTTTCCAATGTTGCCTATATTTTGTTATGTAATTTGTGCATGTTCCTTGCTTGAATGATAATGCTCTTTCCAGGGCCTATTTTAGTTTGCAGTATTACACACTTTGTGCAGTATTAATTCAAAAACGTGCAGTATTGATTTCGAAAATGTGCAGTATTGAATTTTGGGATTTGTGAAAATGTCTTTTTGCGGCTATCCCAGACTCCTGCCTTGTTCAAAAAATGTGAATTTTCCTCTTCAGTTCGATATAGAGTTCATGTATTGTAATTCTTGTATAACCATCGGAAAAACTCTCTTATCAAAACTTAAAACAAAGCGAAATGCCCAGAACCAAAAACAAAACATGTCCTGTAAATGTCAGGATTGCTGTAAATTTCGTAATTTGATCTTGTCGAAGACAAAACATCAGTTGCCCTATCATGCTCTGGGCATCTAGCAGAAGCTCACTTAACTTATCTAAAATAAAGATAAAGAGCCTAATAAAACTTTTTAGTTAATAGGTCATCTTTGTTCAAACAGACCCAACAACCTCTGTAATGTATCGGTCGTAAAAATCAGTATCACAGACCATTATATGACATACGGTATTAGAAAACTAGACGCTAGAGTTCATGTCAATGACGTGAAATTTAAGACAGAGTCACGCAGTTTGAAAAATTGTGACCGTGACTCTTTCCTTAATGACTTGCGTAGTATTGACTGGGAGATGGCTATGTCATGTAGATCGGATGACCCTAATAGGATGGCTAGGAATTTCTACGATCTTTTTCTTGCTGTCTTTGATGTGCATCCCCGTTGAAAAAAAGAACCGCTAAGACGGGGCATGTACATGTGCCATGGATTTCTCCAAGCATCAATAATTTGATGTGCGAGAGAGACCGTATTAATTAAGAGACGGGCTGAGAGAGATCCAGCACTATGGCCAAGATATAAGCAGCTTCGAAACCAGGGGCGGTCTGGTGTCAAAATCACAGGGTGGCTAGAAACTTTTGAATGCGCAGGGTGTGCACAGTTGGCAATCTTTTACCCTTTTGATAAAGGGTGTCGATGTCGACTTTGGGGTCCTTTCTCTCTTTGTGAATCCCCACCTTGAAAGTCACAGTTTTCCTCTCCATATGTTTCTTCTCTAAGAGCTTGTTTCTTGAGATCATCTGTTTTCAGGATCTCTATTTCCACCAGTTGTTGTTTTCACTTGATCGATAAGCTGCTGGTAGCAATTTGCAAATGGCAGCATATCTGACATTCTATGAACTTGAAATCTTGAAAAAGGCTCTTATTGCTCTTTTGCTTCATCTTTGTGTCAACAAATCTTCTTAGCATTGTAAAATCCTGATACAGATCTCTGTAACCAGATGATAGTGACGACCCCTTGTCATCTCTCTTCTGAATTTCTGTATCATTGTTGCCTGCATTTACATTTCAAGAAAAATTTTCCTTTGCATGTTAAATTTTACTTCTAGATTTATTTTGGGCTTGTCTTTGCAAAAATAAATGATGTTATAATATTTTATACAGAAATAAAATCATCTAGCTGTTTGATGATCAGCTGTGTTTTTGCTAGGGGCAGGGAAGCACAGCCTCTCTAGCATGGTCTTACGAAGATTTATTGGACATTTTGTATATGTTTGGTGAAGAATATTAGACTTTCATAAAAAACATAAATGACTATAATACAAGCAGAGTCCTATCAATTTTTAATTTTAAACCTGCCTGATTGCTATAGGAAAACCAACACATTGAAACCTGTAACCCAATATGAATGAATAAATCCAAACTATTCAGCGACTCAAAAAGACTCTATGGAAAATTTAATCCATCTAACCGAATATGTGCTGGCTTTTTAAGGGGGCTGAGCTCCCCGAATTTTTTAAAATTTCATCAGCGACTCCGACAACCTCGTTTTCAAATCTGTTTTGGTTTATTTGTTCTCGTGGCTTCACTGAGTTCTTATCAGAAAGGTGCAGAGAAACGGAAACAACATCAGAATGCAATCAGGTTTAAATTTAGAGAACCCAGTCTTTGTAGATTTTGCCTTCTTCAGTATCATATTGGCCATAAAATGTTTGGTGATGAGTTTGATCACCGGGAGGCTACGAGTTGTTAACAAGGTATGTATGGTCAATACACTTGCTGTACCAAATTTTGAAAACATTCATTCATTACTTCATAGTATGTAATTATGTGTGCATAACACAAGTCGAGGTGTTATGCGTTAAAACGTTGAAAAACCTTACTTTTGTGTCTTGCTCTAAACAAAATTTCTCTTAAATTTTAAACGCTAACGAATTGGGATTTTTAGCGTTCACTTAACCACTTCAATTTGATGAGAGGCAGAACAGCATCAGAACCATCTGATTGTCACAAGTTGGAAAAGTTGCTGCCAAAATTATGTTGTTAATTAAAGGCCAAATCTGGTCTTTTTAAAAGCAATGAGAAAGGGTTAACCAAGTCAGAAACAATGTATTGCATGTTTAGTGTGTGCAGATTGAGTTTTGACAGATGCTTCTCCCCAGTGGTGTCATGGAGGGGGGCTAAGCCCCCATTGTTAAAATTCAATTAAGCAACTTCTTATCAGTCTTTTTCTGTCCTCGAAAAGTTTGAATGATTTCTACACACAACAGAGAGTTTTTTACACAAATATAAGTATATTGCCTACAGCACAGCCCCCTTCCTAACTTTTTAGGATGGCACCCTGCTTCTCCCCTCCCAATTTTAGAGGCTTTGGTGTCTACAAGTGTTGAAGAAACATAGTGGAATAAAATTGACATGTGAGCTACATATATTATGTTGAAATTTTATAATCCAATAGCAGTTCAAAACTACAAAAACAAACTTTGTTACAGCAACGGACAAACATGTGCATTAGAAGAATTTGGTCCAAAATACAAAGGCTTGCTGTAATTTCCCTTCAATTCTCCAATTTTATAGATATTCAATTTCTATTTTAATAAAGATTAATGTCAGATGTTAAATTTCAGATCTTCTTAGGCCCGGAGGACTTTGCTGCTTTTGGAAAACCAGATAAACCATCTGCAGTTGCTGAAGCTCACATTGAAAGAGTGAGAAAGTAATTACTTTTTGCATATCTTAATATTTGAAAAAAGAAGGGAATGTATATTTGTTAAACTTATTAATTGGTATTTTCTGTACCTTTTGTACTTAACATAAAATTTAGTTTTCAGTAAAAAGATAATAATTCAGTTAGTGTATTAGATCTCTGTTGTCCTAATGACACCAGAAATCAATTAGGATTGTGGCTTGTTCGCAAACCATAAGGAATCAGGCACCGCATTTGCCTTATTGCAAAATATGCAAAATATTAAGAAGTGAACCACCAGTAGTCTCTTTTTATTGGGTTTTAGCCCTCACACTGTTTTTAGACCCTCCACTTCCAACAATGCTCCACGGTGCCTGGGAATGGTAAACATTAGGAACTTGTTTGCAAAAGTGAGATTTTGTTGTTTGCAGCTTTCACATAGGAGACATCTGTCAGATTTTCAAATAGATAAGTGTTTAGGAGTCAGCAACCTGATTTAGAAACCATTAGCTGTTGCTGTGACAACCAGTTTTGAACATCATGCTTTTTTAAAGTACCAGAGACACTCAGCTGTTGCATTGTTTTTTGTTTTTTCACAATAGAGTTCTAGTGTCTCAATACAGTTTTTGTTTATTAAACATTTTTCAATTTTTTCACCAGTGCCCATCGCAATGACATGGAAAACATATTTCCATTCTTCACCATTGGTTTGCTGTATGTTTTGTGCAACCCAAACCCAATAACAGCAACATGGCTTTTCAGGATCTTCACTGCAGCTCGCATCGGACACACTGTTGTGTACCTGAATGGAGTACGCCAGCCCTTCAGAGCTCTCTGTTTTTTTATCGCCATAGCTGTCAATTTTATCATGTGTGGCCTTGTGCTGAAGACTATTGTTACTATGTAGAGCTCTGTTTTTGCAAGAAATGCCTGAGAAGAACCTGCTAATTTTGTTGTTCGAATAATGCAATCTTTCCGATTTTTATTTGGTCAATTATAAAAAGGATATTTCTACGTTTTTCTGAAACGTTTTTTGAGAAAACCGCATTTAAATTGTCTGCAAAGGTATTTTTCTATAGGTTTTGTAATTTAGCTCTATTTTATGCTTTATTTTTCTCAAATTTATCTAGATATAAAGAAATACTGGTACTTTTTTTAAATGACATTGTTTTTGCTCCACTGAGATTTTACTTTCTCTCTGCATCCAATCTTTTATTGCATTGTTCTGATATACTGTGAGGCTGCACGCTAATAAAGAAAATATATAAGAAATGTTAAGTGCCATGATTAATGCCAAGGTAGGAAACATTACTTGGCATTTGTTCTCTTGCAGTGACTCAACTTAAAGTAGCTCTCTTGTTTACCTTTAAAACAAATCTTTTAACTAAATCAGTATTGGTGCAGCTACAGCTGATTGGATCTTAAAAAATGTAGCCTCGCTGTTTGCAAAATAAACAATGCGCCTTGGACTGAGCCCTGTGGAACTCATGAAGCCATAAAGTGGGGATTTGTCTTGCTAAAATCAGTATTACAGTGCCAAGAATTTGAATTATTCTATGATTATATATTTGAAGAACAGTTGTACTGAAACACGATTTATAACACACATCATCTATAACTAAACCAAATATCAAGAGAATCTGGTGTTACCGTTGCTGGAGCTTCGCAAGACCGAGGGCTTGTGATAAATACTTTATTAGTTTGTTTTTGAATGGTCATAAGGAAGGTCTGCCTGTTCGTGGGAAAAAGTATCTTGCACAAGCCGAAAACAAAGAAATGATGTCACTACTTGATCATTAAACGTGAGAATCAAGATACAATTGAAATGGAGAATCGAAACATCTTCACTGTTCGTCAATGGAAAGTAATTCATGGTTTTAAACCCCTGTATCATTGCATTTTTCAAAAATGACCGTAAAGCTCACCAGTGGTCGAGCCACGGGAGGGGGGGGGGGCGAATTTTTCAGAAAGTCGGTCCTTTAGCTTCTTGCAAACCTGATGAGAAAACTTCGGGGGGGGGGATATGTACGTTATCTAGATCGTCACATTTAAATGACATTTCTTGGGAGATAAGAGTTGTATCCTCCGGAATCACGGGAAAAGGGCGTGGCCCAAAAGGGCGTGGGGCCCCATTTATTCCAGGCTGGAGCCGCCACTGAAGCTCACATGGGCCACTTCTCTGGTTCTCTGGCAAGCTTCGCATGATGGAAAGTGCCTAAATTGAGATAAAGATAGTAGAGTAGTAAAACACATTTCTGTTTACAGTGGACTTTCTCCTCTCCTCCTTTATCAAAATATTGAAGAAATCAGGGGCACATCCAGAGCAAACTTAAAGGAGGGGCAGTTTGTAGTGGGGGCGCTGAAAAATTTTCAAAATTGATAACGAGAGAACGCTGTATACAACAATTTCAGATCCATTTTCGGAATAAACAACATAACTTTGAAGTAAACCTTGAAGCAAATTAACCTATTGGTCTCAGAAACTTTTTCACCTGATTCTTATTCTTCAAAAGGGGTGCCATACTTGCCTCAAATCGTCGAGGGAGGGGCAACTGCCCCTAGTTGCCCCCCCCTTAAATCCGCCACTGGAAGAAATCATGAAATGCAAAAATAAGTTATAGCTCTCTCCCACTGTATAGGTTTTCCTCTCTCAGTTTTAAAGTATTTTTGCTCTTTTGACCAGGTCCTTTTTGAAACCTCTAGACAATATAATTCTGTTTTCCATACCCGTCTTTATCCTTTTCCCAGACGTATTCATTTCAATCCTGAATATTGTTTTTTAAACCAATCAGTTCCTGGATAATTCAAAGGCTATTTGTAGTTGTGCTTGCAATGGCTGTTAGTTGCTGCACCGGTTGCTGCTTTCGCTGTGGTAGCTTGCAAAGTTTGGATACAAGATGCGGTCGGGAATATTCTCCAGCACTTTGATATCCACCTTTGTCCTTTTGACCTTGCATTGGAATGGAGCTTGTGAAGAGGGCGGATCGAATATTGTATTTATGACTGTACCTATGGTTCACAGTCATTATTTTAACGGTATGGGCCTGGCAGAGGAGATGGCACGTCGGGGGCACAAGGTTTGTTTTATTTAGGCCATTTTGTGCAATAGCTAATTGAGCGTCCATGCAACCAAAGTAAATTAAAGCAAGGGCCGAGATAACGGGGCCTGGGGGCGTTGGCCCCCTCCCTCAAACAATTAGATATCATAAGTAAAATACTTTTATTTTGTAAAATATGGCCGTTTTTCACTTATTTTGGGGGCAGCCCTGAGTTTTTCACTCAGGGCAAACTCAGGGCTGCCCCCAAACAAAAAGTTGTATCTTGGTCTCTGAATTAAAGCAATAATCCAATCGGATTTTTCCCATAGTGATCCCTTGTTTGTTGACACCTTTTATGAACTTAATTGTTTAGGCTTTGCCCTGTCCAGATACTGGCTCAAGGAAAAATGCTGGTCCAGAAAGTAGGATGTGTTGAGAGTTCAGATACTGGCCCCAGAAAAATGGGGTTTTTGAATTTAACAAAAAGTTGTATGTCTTGAAATTATATTTAAATCTATACTGATATTTTTATCGGTCATGGACAGCCTACCCTGGGTACCAGAGCCACAGATGAATTTGAGAGTGGAAATAGATGATAGGGGTGGAGAAGCGGAGGAGCGTCTATCTGACAAGAACACTGAGAAGGGCCATATTCTCAGCTAGACGCTCCTCCGCCTCTCTGCTTGGCATTCTGTTTACGCGCTCGTAATTTTGTGGCTCTGGTACCCAGGGTATGGACAGCCAAAATATTTTTTTGAAGCCTGAAAAACGAACGTTTCTAAAGTGCTTAGGCCATCGATCTCTGAAACTATTATAACTGGTTGCAGGCAGTGCGAAAAAAAGATTGGATTCCTTTTGCTGTATGCTAAAAACTTTTACCGGCTCCGCATCACAGTTATCCTAGGTTACTCCATCCAACGTGCGATTTAGAGAATAAAACCGACATCGAAATTAATATTAACAAACAATAAAAACAAAATTCAATAAAATGAAAACAAAGAACGGTTTTATGCTCGTAGCCAGTGGTGGGCATATACACAGCACAACCCCTCTCTCGTAGCCGCCGGCGCCGAGGGGCCACGAGGGCATAGGCACAGGCCCCGATAAGAAAAAGTGTAAAAAGTTCTCTTTTCCGACAAATATATTGTGTGCACTTTTTTTACAGAAAGATATTGTGCCTTTAGACGCTAAGTAAAACAACCTTTTTCACGTTCATTTTGAAGTTTAGCAACCCGCAAAGATAACTTTACTCAAGAATTTAGGAAATTAAGCGAGATAATTGTAATTTTCAGGTTTCAATTTTGGTAACGGAGCAGCTAAAGACAAGAAAGAGCATTGTAAAACATGTTGAATACCGGCTAAGAGACGCTGAGTTGGTAAACTCGATTAACGAGGTTTACAATGATGTTTCGAAAAAAGAATTCGGTGCCATGGCCTTCATCAATTTTGTCAAAGATCTAATCAGACTTTTTGTCGATGCTTGCTTTGCAATTTTGGAGAACGAACAAACGCTGAAAGAAATAAAGGAAGCAGACATGATTGTTGCAATAACATCAATGTCATGTGCCTACTACCTTGGTGATATCTTCGACAAGCCAGTTATATCACTGCACACTTCTGCTTTTTATTTTCTCAGTCAATTCACAGGGGCACCAAGTGTTCCTAGCCATGTCCCTGCGGCAACTATAGCTTTGAGTGATGAAATGACTTTCTTTGAGAGAATCCAAAATTTTATCTCATATCGACTATATGATGCAATCGAGAGTCATGGAACTACTTATTACTTTAGAGAGCTGCAAGCTGCGTATGGTTGGAGAAGCAGTGGAAGTTTTCCAGAGGTGATTGGGAAAACAGAACTGTTTATCTTCACTACTGACTTCTCTTATCAGCACGCCCAGCCAATAATGCCTAGTAAGTTAGCAAACTTATTAAGTCTCTGCAAAATTATATACTCAGTCAAAAATATCATGCTTTTGGATGAGCTTTTTTAAGCTTTTGACAAGTAATGTAAGTTGTTAAGTAAGCTTTGTCAAAAGGTTATTAGCTCAGGGACTGCAAAAGAGTGCTCCCCCAGGATCATATTTCTTTCCCTTCTTGCTGTTTCCTCAAAATTTTCCTCTCATAGAATAACGCTAGAAAAATGTATTTTAATAAGTAACGGTAGAAGAAGCTTTTTGCAATAGAATCTCCAATGCTGATTTTATACTTTGGACCATTTCTTGATCTGTCCATAGACCTTACCTTTCCAAGACTGCATTAAAGGCATTCGACATACATAAGTACAGTGAATCCAAAAATAACTTAGGCCAAATTGATCAGAGCACGCGCAGAAGAAATGTATTGAAAACCGCTCACGTGAAACCACTGCGCGCTGCTCTAGGATTTCACCGATTTGCAGAAAGACGAAAACTGTTCACGTGTTTTTCTCTGTGTGCAATTTGATTGGTCAACCGCTCGTGGTCGAGTGGCTGTAAGCCACTTTTACCTGTGTCAAATGCCTTTAAGATCGAAACCTTTTTGCTGCATAGTAAAACACTTTTTCGTCTGTCACTGCTCAAACAGTAAAGCATAAGGAAACGATATTGTTCCTGTTCAAGGAAGGCTGCTTTAAAAAACAGTAAATTTGTTTACGTTTCAGGGTATTTTCAAAATTCTGCTCTACAAAAGGCCTATTTTTGACAATTAGGATTGTCAGAATGGGCCATAAAACCTCTAGCTGAAGTAATGTTTTGAAGTAGCTTTCACCTTGTGTTGTAGCTTTCCTATAATATTCCTGAAAAGGGTTTTTGGCGTTTTCAGATACTTTTTTCGTTGGACCACTTTTGGCTAAACCTCCAGCACCATTATCTGAAGATCTTGAGGAATTCATGCAAAGTTCCAACGAACATGGAGTGGTACTCATTGCTTTTGGCAGCGCTGCCTCTGAGATGGACCAAACAACTATTGAGGCAATGCTAACTGCGATCTCACGGATGAAGCAAAAGTTCATATGGAAACTTGAGGGTGAGTTCTTGATCATCACGGTTACGTTTGTAAGTTTGTAAGTTTATATTGCATTTTATTGGTTAAAGTTTAGATAAATCTCATTTTCCTTGTAGTCAAGGGAGGGTATTTCTGGTTCAATAGCCAGGGCAGGTGTGGCTCACTGAGCAAAAAGACGATGTCGATATTGGTATATCGCTCTATGATGTGTTTTGTGTTCGAAATCTATAGGGGGAAGGTCGTCAGCACCAAATACCCCAGTGCCTCATTTTCCCCAGTGCTGACCTCCCGCTACTGGCATGATTTCAGTCGTTCAAAATTATTTGATTGTTGCGAGCTCACTTAGCTTGTTGTTTGTTAAAGAAATCTTATAAATGCTCGTGAATACATTATCTGCTCTGTTTGGAACAATATACAGCACAGTTACTTATAAGGACTGTTTTTAGTGCCAAGTAAACTTTCTATTCTAAGCTTTTTATCAGTAAACATACTTGTTGGCCCTCATTTGTCACTATACTCATCTCCAGAGCGCAGAGGCGCAACCTCTGTGGGGCAGAGCCGTCCTTGCTAATGCAAAAAGTAGACCTAGGCCCCGTTCACACGGGAACGCAATCGTTCCGTTCCGTTCTTTTCCGTTCCGAAAAGCGGAACGCTCAGGGGTTGTGTTCACACGGGAACGCTTCAAACGACATCGTTCCGTTCCAAAAAGTGGAACGATAAAACTAGTGATACGAAAAGTGGAACGGTACGCAATCGTTCCGTTCCGTTCCCGTGTGAACGCGCAGAACTGGTCCAGAAAATGGAACGATAAGAGTTTTGCCCTTGGCGCATGCGTCTGTGTTGTTGTTGAGGGAAGGAAAAGGTGACAATAATAAACTCAGCAAAGAAAATGGAGGATTTCAAAAACACCATTGGCTGAATCTCGCCGTTAGTCCATTTAAAAGATTCAACACCATTCTGCAAACATTGAAATTCCTTCCTTTTAGGGTTGGCTTCAATTTTCCCACGAGCTTGCTTATTTTGGGGCGCTTTTGTATTCTCCATTTATTCAAATTGTTTAAAAAATTCAGAGATAGCTCAGAGATAAATCGAAATGATGAAATCTATCTCCATTATGGACATGCGCATTAAAAATAATTCGCTTATTTTGGCGCGCAAATTGCAGAACGGAACGATTGCGTTCCCGTCTGAACATAAACAAAAATCGATACGCAATCGTTCCGTTACCGTGTGAACAGTATACCTTTTCGTTCCAGAAACTGGAACGAAAATGGAACGGAACGATTGCGTTCCCGTGTGAACGGGGCCCTACATGTTTTTTTCGCCCGCATGCAAAAAACTTCTGCAGAAAGGTGAGGGGGCTAAAGCCGCCCCCAGGCCCCCGGCTCCGGCGTGCCCGCCAAAGCGTGTACAGTTCTGCCTATACGTCATCGAACACTCTATGACAGATCAATCAAAAATTTCTAGAATGGACTACACCGACAAATCTTTTGAAAAGAGTCACTTTTTACTCGATGAAGTCGATGCTTGAAGTTGCCTGAATGAATTGCAAATTTTTTACGTTTCTAGATCAAGTAGAAAGCCTAGACAATGTGGGTAGAACGAAAATCAAAATTTCGTTTGTTTTGGAAGCTTAAAGGTTATTCCTTCAAACATTTAGACAGTAAAGCTGCTTTGATTTTTAAACAGCAACAGAAAATCTGAAAATCCCTCAAAACCTGAAAGCGCTCAAATGGGTTCCTCAGAATGACATACTTGGGCATAAAAAGACCAAGGCTTTCGTTAGTCACATGGGACTCAATGGTGCAGCAGAAGCTGCGTACCACGGCGTTCCGATCGTCGCTGCGCCTTTCAAAGGAGAGCGGTTTCATAATGCAGTTTTGTTTACCAAGAAGGCGAAGATGGCCAAGTTTATCGACATTATAAATGCTGGTGCAGACACATGGCAAAGCACTATGGAAGAGGTTGTTTACAATTCAAGGTAATGAGTATTTAAGTTTATCAAATATGTGAGCATGAGCTTTTTGAAACGCTCATCTGCCTATTTTGTTCTATTGCCTGATCTATCTTCACTTTCAATCTGTTGTTACTTCTTCTTCCTTGTCCATGTAGTAAAAGTTAGCTGCGGGGCATTTTTGCGTATGATAACTTTTGGAAAAGGGGTTTGGCAATCAACAATGTTTCATCTCTAGCGTAAATGTAAACTTCTTCTGAAATCTTTGCTGTAAAGGATTTTTAAACTTGTAGACAATTTAAGGATGTCTCATTATTCTGTTGGCAAATGAGACCTGAGAACACTCGCCCGAGAGCACACTAGTTAAAAATTACATTGCTTTCACGCTGACAATTTAAGAACAAATTGATAACAATCCAGCCTCAAATTTTCGAAAAAATGAATAGCAGCAAGGCTTAAATTCAGTTTACTGGTTATTATAAAAAAGAGTGTATTCGTTCGCACGAAATCCACAGGGCTCTTGTTTCTGATGGAAAATGACAAACTTCGCTCCACAATTTATGGCCAAGCACTTTCTGCCCAATAAGCATATAAAAGAAATAGAATTTGATGACGCTAAGAATAAATGTAGAGTCAGGTTTCTGTCACATTTTTAACGTTTTAAATATTCATCGAATGCACTTTCTTGCCTATAGATACCATCTAGTATTGTCTTAAAACATCTTTACGGCGTTGGGGATCAAAAATGACATTTCTTGCTTTATGTAAACACAGATTAACAAGTTCTTGCTCGGCCTAAAGTTTTGATTGCTCTCTGAAAAAAATGACAATTATTGGTTGGTAACAGGTTAATGGTAAGAACATTGATTTCACTCATTTATTTCCTAGTTACAAAGAGCATGCAATGATGACGTCAAAACGTATGCGAAGCTGGCCTAAATCAGGCACAGAGAGAGCCGGAGATCTTGTTCAATACGCTCTTGATAATGGTGGACGTCTGCCTCATTTGAAGTCAAATGCAAACACTCTGTACTGGTTCCAATACTACTGTGTCGACGTCATTGCGTTTTTGCTGGCACTCGCAGTGATACTTCCATGTTTATTTTGTAAAGTGCTTAAGTTTCTTATTTCATTTTTATGGAAAAACAGAACTAAGTCAAAAGAAGAATAGTTCGAGAAACTTATTACTTTTCTGTAATGAACTCTCAATATACAACTAAAAAGGGGGGTACCTGGCAGGGCCGTAAATCACAGGGGGATGAGGGGAGATGCGACTTATCCGTATGACACGAATATTCATTACACGCTATATTATAAAGATCTTAACTCAAGTCCTAGTCCCTAAAGTTCTTAATTTCTGGACCCCTATAAAATGCTGTACCAAAACCTCAAAAATAGCACTTTTTTTAGAATCAAACTCGCTGTCCTCAAGTAGCCCCTCGGTTAGAGAAAAACTGATTTACAAGGTGCCAATGCAGTAAATACAGTATTAACTAAACTACTAGACAATAGGATTTAATGAAAAAATTAGAATTAAGCGAGATAATGTTAATAGTCACGGCAACTTATGCTTCTGGAGATTCAACCCGGCATTTCTGGAATTTCTTCAGTGTAGTTTTCCCTTTTATTTTATCGTTCAACCCAGCATTCCGAATATGTTTCATAAGAATGGACAAACCCGCATTACACGAATATTCATTACGCGCTTTTTATAAAAGTCTTAGCTCAAGACCTATTCCCTAAAGTACAGTTTCTGGACCTCTTCTAATCAAAATACGGTACCAAAACCTCCAAAATAGCACCTTAACTTTAACTGCATATTTAGTGTCATGAAAGAAGCATAGACGCAAGAAAGACAAAAATTTTCGCAGAGGGCAGAAGCTAGAAAAGAAGGCCAAAAGACAGAGAGAGCAAGAAAGAAAATTAATTTGCGTAAAAGTGTAATGTCAGTCAAGAAGTACCTTTCCATAAAAAGAGGCAATTGCTACACACTTTGATACCCAATAGAGAATAATACAAATCAGCTAAAAATAAAAACCCTTAGTGAAATCCAATCCTACAACATTCTTCGTGAAATAAACCCTGATAAAATTTTATTTGATCAGCATTTTTCAAAGCATCTATTACCCAACGCAAAAAGTTGACAAAACTACAAGAGCAAAGCATTCAGTGCAAAATGTCCAAATTCATTTACTAGGTGCACTCTCATACAGCAGATAATTTCAGCTTTTATTCTTTTTCATCCTTGGCTTCATCCTCGTTTTCGTATTACTCTTCATCTTCGGCCTTTTTTGTCCTCGTATTCGTCCTCGTCTTTGTCTTCGTCCTCCCCTTTTTCCTCGTCCTCGTCCTCGTCCCGTCCTCGTATTAGTCTTCGTCCTCGTCTTTGTCTTCGTCCTCGTCTTTTTCCTCGTATTCGTCCTCTTCTTCATCCTTGTCTTGGTCTTCATCCTCCCTTTTGTCTTTGCCTTCGTCCTCGCCTTCGCCCTCGTCTTCGTCGTCGCCTTCGTCTTCGCCTCGTCCTTGTCTTCCTCCTCGTCTCAATGCTAATTCTCGTCTTCGTCTTCTTTTTTGTTGTCTGTTTCTACCTCTTCCTTTTCATCGTTTTCTCTTTCGTCTGTCCTCTTCCTCGTTGTAATCGTCATTGTAGCTACCATCACTGTTTTCTTGACTTAACATCAGCTTTAAAAGCCAGCTATTTAGGCAGACTTTCTATGGGAGTAAATACCTATTTAGATAGATATTTTTAGCTAGATAGAGATTCTATTGGATAGGTACTGGAAACCAAGACTTTTTGCTGGTAAAAAAAGTAGACAATCTATTCCGAAATTCTTACAGCAATCATTTTCACGCAATCACGCCACAATCGCAAATTTTTTTTCATGCATGCACGCATAATGAAAATTTGTTTCACCAATTCTCGCGTCGGAAATACACCGATCGCGCCATCCCGCCAAAATACTTAGCCAATGCCCGTAGTCTTTTAATCTTGATCCTCAATAAGTTCAGGAAAAGCCACCTTGTAAACCCACCCCAGAAATTGGAATACACTCTATTTTTTATAAGAATCAGTAAATTTGAGTTCAGGCTGATTGTTCTTAATTGTTTCGAAAATCCAAGGCTGGAATGTTCCCAATTTGTTGTTAAATTTACAGTGTATAGGCAGTGCGATTGCTACCTTTCTGCTCTGGGGATGTGTTCAGGCCTCATATGCCAACAAAGTGAGTGGGACAACCTTCATTGGCCGTCATGTTTGAATATTCATCGAAAAGCACCCATACATGGCTAAAAATCCTCGTTTTTTGAGATAAAACGCTGTTTAAAATTAAATTTTACAGTAGCTCAGCCTCAGCTTGCCCTTCACTTGTTCTTAACTTCTGACAAATTTTGAGGCTCGCATTCTTATAAAATTGTTCTTATAAAAAGAAGCGTGTAGGCTGTTTTATCTCACTTCTAGCAACTGTTTACCCTGGGTACCAGGGTTGCCAGTTGCTTAGAATGGTTAGCAGCCAAATATTTTACGCTTGACGGCCAAATTCGGCCAGCCAAACAAAATATGCAAAAAGCTACATTTTGGCTAATTCTTTGGAGTTATAATGTAATCAAAATTGGCTTTCTTTATCAGTGGCGAAGCTGGCCAAGAACAGGTGGTCCTGCTCAAAGGAGGTCTGGGGGCTAGGCCCCCAGAAAAATCGCATGAAGCCACGCCCTAGAGGCCCTCGGAAAAGGGGGAAACGCCCTTCTGGATATGTTGAAATCAAGATTGCAGTGAAACATTCTTCACTGCCACATTTTGGAAAAAAGGGGATGAAGGTTCGGATACTTGTCAAAAGAGCATCACAAAAGTTCTTTCTAAAATAAGTAACATTTGAAAATGTTTTCATTGATTGAAAATTTTGAAATCATTGACTAAAAAGAAATTGCTTGTACAGATAAGCATATACAGTTGTAATACATACTGGAAACATAATTGATTCAAATTATTTAAAAAAAGTAAAAATATTTTGTCACAACATGGATATGTCTGATGCACGGTAAATAGGGTCTTGAATCAATTTGTTTTGGATATCAAAGGAGATCCCTGACATTTTGCCAGTACAATACAATCTGAGTCACCGAGTACAAAAGCTCCCAGTAATTACCATTGTTTTCCTTTTCATCCTTTTCAAAGCGTCCTTTTCATCGGGACCTCTGAATTGTATGGTAGTTCCTGTTTAAGGCAGGAGGACGAACTGCTGAAATTAAATTTAAGCAAGCCCTTTTTCTGTCATGCACACTTCATCTCCCCTCGATCTCGACTTTCCTGGTACAAAAAAACGAAGATTCTTTCTCGGCAGCGGTGGCAAACTTTTTCTACTGTTTATAATAGGCCTTCGAATATGACTTCCTTTGCTCTCTGCAGTCTGAGAGAAAACTATATGAATGTCAGTCAGGTTTCTCGCGATGTCTGTGATATTCTTGACTTTAACAGTAAATAGGACCAACAGAACGATTCTAAACAATTTTATTTCCATAAGTACCACTCGTCTTGAAACGATCGATTCTTGTATAAATCAAGTGACGACAGTGTAGGGCCGAAGCTTCTAGCAGCAAAACTTCTTCAACAGCAGTGACCACGGTGCAGAAAATCAACAAACTATACCGAAACATAGGGCTCCAAAGTCTAGGTCCTGCCTTCATGAAAGAGCAGGACCTGAGGTCCTGCCATTTCTGAAGGGCAGGAGTGCCATTGTTTTTTTCTATTGTGAGGCAGGACCAAAAACAGGGCTACAAGGCGTTTGCCCATTGTTCGGCAGGACCAAACATAAAGTTTAGTCCTGCCTATGAGTATTGGGCAGGACTGACCACAGGGCTAAATTTTTGACGATATCAATTTACGAACGGGATACTCGAAATTCCATTTCAGTCACCCTGTGTCTCAAAATTGAAAAAGGGCACAGCCACGAAGTATAAGTGTAGAATAAGACAAGAAATGCCTTTGAATCAGGCATATAATGATTTCATAAAATGAATAAATTTTTAATATTTTAAAAATTGTTATCTTTGGAAATTTGTGGTCCTGCCCGGCAGGACAAGCAGGACCTTTGACTTCGCCACTGTTCCTTATTACAAAAGCTTCTGCTTGCTTTCAATTTTAAGTTTCTGTTAACTTTTGCTTTGTTTCTTGCTTCGTTATTTGCAATTTTGAGATTATTGTAACAAAGTGTTGGATATTTTCTTTTTAAAAAAATTGTCGTTTTCTTTGGATTTTTATGGTTTTCAACATACAGCATAAATTCTGCCAACTTTTGCTTTTTCGGCCAAATCAAATTTTGACGGCCAACAGCTTTGAAAAAGAGCCAGAATGAAGGAGTTTGGTCAAATGGCAACCCTGCTGGGGGTTCAAATGGCAATCAAGCGAAGATGTAAGAGAGAACGCCCCTGTAGATCAAACAAACTACACAAAGATTTCCTGCGGTCATTTTCTTGCATTCGCCTAAAACATTTAACTGTTCTGTAGGGATGTATGGGCCCTGTTAAAGGTAATGTGTCCAGCTAAAGCAAGCGACACTGCGGAGGTTCTTAGAAACATGTGATTTTTCATGTCATCGCCTCAGCCATTACGGTCGTTCTTTTTATCTATCCTGCTGCGAGGTTAGCTTTTCATGTGAGCAGTTTTGCATTGCAAGAATACTAACCAATCGCAAGCCGTTATTTTGATGGGTGGCTTGACAAGTTGGGTATACGCAGTCCTTTTATATGGATCAGACATCATGTACGTTAGCTGTCTATGATCTAGTGCCGACCGTGCCAGTGGTACCAGAGTCTCCATTATTTAGCCTTTGCCACCGCAGCTGTCTACAAGACTTTACCCCGGATTCATGAGGCTCTCAGGGTAGCAACTGTTTAAAACGATGAAAAAATTCTGATTCACGGGGCACATGAGATAAGCATAGGCGTAGGAGACTCAGGCGAAAGTTATTTTATGTCCTCCCTCCCCTAAACGATCTATGACCTGCACACGCATTGGTTGCCAAGAGACTCGGCCTCGCTCTCGGCGGCCTCGTTGACAGTGGCGTCAAAGGATACAGATTTGATCTGTTGGGATTGAAACCCTGCTGCTCTTGTTCTTTTGCCTTCTTGGTGATTCATTTACCTAGGTGCTAGAGTCAAAATGGGCGTCTCCAGTGATGTTTTGGTCTGCACATTGGTCCTGGCGACATTTCTAGGCCACGGAGATTGCAGAAAGGCAAAATCGAAGGTTGTGTTTGTCACACTGTGTTTCGAATCAAGCCCTTACTTTAATAGCTTGGAATTGGCAGAGGAGCTGGTGAAGCGCGGATTGGAGGTTTGTCCGATTTGTGTTTTTTCGCAATCTCAACTCTGCTGTCCTCGTAAAACTGTTTGCGTCAGGATAATTGTTGGGGAAGTACGCTAGTGCATTAGTACCAAATCATAATTTGGTAGTTTAGTACTGCGCAAGAAATAACAAAATTAATGAAACCACTGCAGGGGCATTGTGACTCCTAGAAAAGGGCAAGGAGAAAATGGTCGCAAGCAAATCAACCAAACACAGTTCTTTTCCATTTCAACAACTTTCAACCCTATTTTATGCAGCAATATTTTTGAGAAAATTGCATGTCATTCTCTAAAGCTAAAATATTTGCACTTGAAAAAATTAAAAAGAATAAACACCCATGACAGGACAAACAAATTCAGAGTGAGCAAATATTGTTACTTTACTCCAACAGAGTAAACAAACAGCATTATCCCTCTCAACGGCTCGTTATTTTTGATTGCCCATCTTGTCGGTTGTAGTGACCATTGTCTAACGTAATCATGTCCTCCATTGTGTCTCTGCCATTAACACTTTCCATTGTCTTCGTATCCATGTAACGTAATAAACAACACATTTGTAGCGTCCCCTCGTTTTATATGTGTACGCCCGAAATTAGTCAGTAAATAGTTAGGCCCTATTCGCACTGCAAATATGATAATGTTTGTCAAACCCGATATTCTCACGCCAATTAAAAAAACTTTTTCAAGATTAACAAAGTTTGTCAGACTTCTGTTCGCATTAGGCAGTTTTCTGAGATGTTGTATTGTTATCTAACACGGTATCAGGTTGCCATTAAGATACTGTACCTTTTTGAATTTTGACATGATTTCAAATAGCACCCTGGGCTTTTTTATTGGTGTTAACATAATTCTGACATGTCCGTCAAGTCACCCGCTGGTTATCATAGATTTTCACGAGATTGTGATGCTCCAGAGCTCTACGACGGAACCTTTGACCAATTAGTCGAAACGTCACAATTTGTCAGATTTCAGATTTTGCTGTTCGCACTCTACCAATTGAACTACTTCCTGACAAACCCTTGCCGCCTTTGAAGATGGAACAATAAGAGAATTGCATTGTCAGGTTTCTAGATGCAGTGCGAATAGGGCCTACGACAGAACCTTTGACCAATTAGTCAAAACGTTACAATTTGTCAGATTTCAGATTTTGCTGTTCGCACTCTACCAATTGAACTACTTCCTGACAAACCCTTGCCGCCTCTGAAGATAGAACAATAAGAGATAAGCATTGTCAGGTTTCTAGATGCAGTGCGAATAGGGCCTTAGTCAGTAAATTCATCAAGACGCAACGGTCACGCAACATCGTCTCTTGCTGGCTCCGTGTTTTCTGCTCGTTAAATCAGACATAAAAACGACAGCATTCGCAACAACAAAAGCAAAATTAAATATAGGAACATCGTCAATCAGCGTTCCTATAAGCCCATCTTGTCGTTCACATAATCGGAAAAACACAATACCAGGACCCAGGATCGTACCTATGTGTTTTTGATGATGCACTCGTTTTCTTTATAAGAACACCAATTCATAACATTACATACCATGAACAATTGTCCATGAGCTCCAGAAGTTTTACACAACTAACAGAGGCAGTGGCAAAAATTGCAAGGAGGGGGGGGCAAGTGCCCTCCAGGTTTTGCTAAATTGTCGGTTTTTGTCGCCGGCAAATTTGCTTGTTTTGTTGGCATTGCCCCCCATCTGATAAATGAATGTTCGCCGCTGAACAAAAGACTGCACATCATAGTAAGGGAGGAATAGTTCCCATGAATACAGAAATGAATCTGATTTTTATTTCTGGCCCTGTGTGAAGAACGAAAACACGGGTTGCTCGGGCAAAATGCAAATGCATGAGTAAACCAAAGCAACGCCTTGCAATGTGAAATACTCTTATTGAACGTAATATATTACTATATCTATGAATGTTCTATTATTGGCAGGTCTCAATTTTAACAACGAAACATATGAAGACCCGGAAAAGCACTGTAAAACATGTTGAATATCAACTACCGAATCCACAGTTAGCAGAAAAGATGTTAAATTATGTAGGCGCTGTATCAAGCCGTTCGGGACTATCTGCTTTGTTCTCTACATTTAGAGATCTATCGCAGCTTTTTCTAGACTCATGCTTTGCAATGCTGAAAAACAACGATGTTCTCAAAGAGATAGAGAATGCGGACATGATCGTGACAATATCGGTGATGCCATGTGGGCACTATATTGCTGATATGTATGACAAGCCAAAAATAACACTAAACCCATCTTCACTATCGACTATCTCTTCAGAGGCTGGAGTTCCGAACCTTGCTAGCTTTGTCCCGATGGTAACATCGCCCTTTTCTGATGAAATGTCTTTCTTGGAGCGGGTACAAAATTTCATCGAGTATAGAATAAAAGAAGTCATTGTCAATTTTTGGTTGACATATTGGTTTAGAGAGCTAAGATTTGCAAACGATCGGAAAGGCAAAGGGAGCTACCTTGAGGTTTTTGGAAATGCAGAGATGGTCATAGTGCCGCTTGACTTCTCATATCAGTATGTCACCCCAATAATACCCAGTGAGTATTCTATTGTTTTGTTTACACCGTGGACACCATAATGTGTGACAGGAGCTAGGTAACAGTGATCAAATTATAGATTATTATCACGCATGAAATCACCAAGTTTTTGTAAAAATATGAAAATTGTGACAAAAATTATACAACTTGGTCAATAAAACTGTAGGATATTATGCCACAAGTCCCTAGTTTATGCAAAAATATCGTTAATATAAGCATCTTTAAAAAGTGCATATCCGTTTTGAAACATAACAATTACAAGAAACCTGTCCTTTTTCTTGTTTCTTTTCATGGTGGCCAATGAGAAAGTCTATTTCCATAGCGCCCATTGAGAAGGTTTGTTTCCATTTGAGAAAATTAAGCAACCAAAGGAGAAATTCTATGTTTTTTACTATTTTTTACTGCATTATGTGTCCTGTTTTTTAACTATAAGAGCCTTTTTAAAGTCATTTGGGTCATTCTGATAGTTAATTTCCTTAAAATGTTTATTTGTGATTTTAGATGTCTTTTTTGTTGGATCATTTTTGACAAAGCCATCAAAACAGTTACCTGAAGATCTTGAAGAGTTCATGCAAAGCTCTGGAGAGCACGGAGTTGTGTTGCTTGCTTTTGGTAGTGCAGTGTGTAGTATGGACCAAGTCATTGTTGAAAGAATTCTAACTGCCATTTCACGCATGAAGCAAAAGTTCATCTGGAAAATGAAATGTGAGCTTGTGTATTTGTTACTCTGCTCTGAATGAGCTTAACTATATTGGCATTGATTCAAATGAAAGAAAGGAAGATTTGTGTAGCTTGTTTGAGTTTACCTCGGTCAATCATTTTTGCGAATGAATTCTCAAAAAGGTGGGGCCATTTGTATTCCCGACAAGCTTTTCTTCTTGCCCCACCACCGATAAAACAATCGCCTCACCAGTTATTAGGCCCGTTTGAAACATTCAAATTTCATACATATTGAGCATGACCCACGAATTTCACACCTCTTGATCAACGAATTTAACTTTATCTTATAATAGTACAGCTTACTTATGGTTGTTTTGGGCGTACGTTGAAAAGTGTAAGACGGAAAATTTTATTTCGCAGGGTCAGAGTGTAAAGGATTTTTGAACACACGCTTTTCACTATCCCCTTAAATATAGTATCTTATATATTCTGTGGAGAAGTGCTGCCATTCTCGATATTTCTTTACCGTCTTTTTTATGAGATGGGGAGGCTCTGGAAGGATGGCACTTTATTAAAATTCCTGCTCAAAAGGAGATGACTCAGTTGAACTGGGTGATTTAGTTGCTAAATTGAACTTTAACATTAGAAAAAGTCAGAAATTTTGTTTTATGTAGCCTCCCTTCTTTTGAAAAGCTCTAAGACGAACAAAATTTGTGATTAAAACGACGTGCAAACATTTATTCCTTTTTTAAGAGTTTTCCGCAATGATGTCTAAAAAGGAAGTGATAACAGCCTTCTTTGTATGTAAAGTGAGACTTTTTTATTCGCAGTGACAGAAAACTTGACTATCCCTCCAAACCTGAAAGCACTGAAATGGGTACCCCAGAATGACATTCTTGGCCACGAAAAGACCAAGGCTTTCGTTAGTCACATGGGCATAAACGGAGCCGCTGAAGCTGCGTATCACGGTGTGCCGATTGTCGCTGCGCCATTCACAGCTGAACGATTGCATAATACGGTTCTGTTTTCTAAAAAAGTGAAAATGGCCAAGTTTATTGATATTTTAAATGCTGATGCAGATACATGGCAAAGAACTATCGAAGAGGTCATATACAATTCTAGGTAAGTTATAAAATGTAACTCCAGTTTTTTAAACTTCTCTGGCGATTGAAGTAAAAAATTTTCTTTGAGATTGATAAACGTTTGTCTAAAACCTTGATTTGAGAAATCAAGCATTTTAATTAGTTGGTGAAAATTATTTTTTTAGCTAAAACGATACCTGCCGTTGTCCCTCTCCCCGAGTAGACCTCTAACCTGGAAGTAAGAATCATCGAGATTCCGGTACTCCTGGTAGCTATTGTGTTGGAGGGGGGTACTCAAAGCCCATTTGCTAACAAAGTGGGTGTGCCATCTTTAATTTGCCGACATTTTTAAAAATTTGCTGATCAAGCACCGCGAAATGTAGCAAAACCCCATTTTATTTGTAATGAATTTTATCCAGGGGGAGGGGGCACCTCCCTCATGTCCCACTGTAACAAAAGTCCTGGATAAAGCAGAAAAATGCACCATTAATTCCGTGACATTTTACACATTGAATGGCGAATGAAAAATACTTAATGAAGAAAAAATGACAACGAGGCTGTTAAAGAAATGGATTATCAGTTTTTTTGACTGATCTGTTATTTAGGACTATCAGAGAAAGGATTGATATTTTAGTAAAGGTAGATTAAAAAATGAAGTAAAGTATACTTTAAAAAGGCGAGGAAAGCTACAAATCAGGTATTTCAATTGCAAACTAGAGTTGTTTTTATAAGCCCCCCCATTCTCGTATAAGCCACCCTTCAAAAGGCTGTCATCTAAAAATTGCCGGGGACAATTCAACGATTTGCAGTAAAAAGGCCCTTTAGTTTGCTACTACCAACATCCTGAGTATTTAATGTATGACCATTTAATGAAGTTTTCTGCTATCCTTCGCATTTAGCTACAAGGAGCATGCAATGATGACGTCAAAACGTATGCGAAGCTGGCCTAAATCAGGCACAGAGATAGCCGGAGATCTTGTTCAGTATGCACTTGATAATGGTGGACGTCTGCCTCATTTGAAATCAAACGCAAACACTCTGTACTGGTTTCAATACTACTGTGTCGACGTCGTTGCGTTTTTGCTTGCGCTCGCAGTGTTGTTACTCTTAGTTTTCTATAAAATGTTGAGACTCCTGATTTCATTTCTCTGTGGAAAAAGGTCAAAGTCGAAGGAAGAATAGTATGAGGTACTTCGTATTTTTCTGTAATAAACTCTCAGTATACAACTAAAAAATCCCCGTAGCTATTTGTTCTTTTATCTTAATCATCATATATCGTCAGGATTAGTTTAGAAAAATGAAAGTGTAAACTGGCCCAAGCAGATGGAGTTAGGAAACCGGGTTTCGAATGAATAGCAAGAAATTCCAGATAACCTTCTGCATTGTGAAAATGCGTCTAGAGAATCAGAAACGTTTTTGTGCATTGTTTTTTTGCAGAATACAAATGCTAGAAGGGAAACACTACAGAAAACTCATTTCCTTGTTCTCAATGTTTTATAGTTTATAAAAATACTTTGTCTTTGCTTAATGCTTGATCGCTGCACATTTTGGGGGTGGGAACAGAGGAAATATCATTGTAAGAGAAAGAAACTAATCTTTGATGTAACTACCAGAATTTGCTTGGCAGAAAAATGTTCCTTACGCTTTTGTAACCAGTTGCTTATGGGGGTGTTTTTCTCGCTAGTAAATTGAGGTTTTTCCTTACGTCTAGACGTAAATCTATTTTTAATTTTGATCTCTATTTTACTATCGTTATCATAAATGCTCTATAAAGAATTCGATCTTTTGCATTTGATACTCAGTTTTATCCCCATTTCAGGCTTAATGCAGGCAGAAAGCTTTCTTGAGTAACTCCAAAATAGAAGTTATTTGTAAGACTTTCCGGGCGTCAATAGCTCTTTATAATCTTCCTTATCCAAACGGACAAGCGCTTCTTTTTTCATAAGAGTAATACTTTGGTTTTTTCAGCATTGATTGCCATCTTGAACATTGAATGCCACTTGTCATATCTAGCTGGGATCGAGATCCTTCTGCACAATTTGAAAACAAAACTGGATCATTTTACGATCAGATCCGAATCGGGTTTAGAACACTTCTAATTGGCCTAGCATTTACACAGGAACTGTATATGTACATTTCTATTCGCTATCCGAACACTTGTTGAATCACCTTTAGAAGGGTTCCAATATGTGTCCGCTCAGCAGTAGATCCCGTGTAAACGGTTTGTCCTATAACGTGTCACGCATGCGCCGTCACTTGTTAATAACACCAGGTTTATCTATAGATATTGTTAATCAAAGTTTAATTGGGGTTAATTTACAAACCAGGATAACGTAAGAGTGCATTCTTTTTTGCCTCTATCTTTACCTTCATTTGAAGGAAACGCCCCTTACATCTGGTGGAGAACCCTTTTTAGCATATCGATTTCCCAGGATGAGACTCTTGGATCAATTCAGCGTTCAGTTGCAGTCGTTATATAGCCTGTGCTCCAGGCCTACCACAGGAACACAGGTTATTGCTAGAGAATGCTGCAAACGAATCGCAAACCGAAGAATTGGCCCACTTTACTGGGGCCGAATTCACAGGTGCCGGAGATCTTGACCATTTTATCGAGCAATTTACATATGTTCTGTGTTCTTCTGTGGTCAAAGCTCAGCATCAAGACGTATCTCTATAAAGCTGCACTCGACACATACTTCCTATTAATCCAATTTTTCCCGGCAGCTAAGATCAGAACATCAGTACCATGGAAATTGGGGGCTTTTATTGAAAGTGCGGGGGCAAAATGTTTACATTGCTCAGGTTTTTAGTGAAAGCCGCTACGCCGCTACTATGGTTAGAGGTGAGAAAAATTTGAGTTCATACGCCGCATTACTGCCGCAGCGAATTAAAGTGCAATTAGATGCGACAGTATTCTCCTGAAGTTTGTGCTTTGTTTCAGACGCCGAATTTAATTAGCCCCGGTCGATTTTAAAATGGTGCAAAATCCTGCGCAGCGCCACCGATGTGATGTTCCTTTCTAATTTCTTCATGACAAAATGGCTATTGCGTCAATGAAGGAAATGTGCTTTTGCGGCTAGCAACCTCTTTTAAAACGTAGTGATCTTTTCCTGTAGTAATCATTTTCGCAAATAGCATCGACAATCTCGTATACGCTTTCTTCAGACCATACTGATTTCCGTCCTTTTTTCTTCTGGCTGTGTTTCAAAGTACATGAAACTTGTTCTTTCAGGGCCTGGCCTAGTATTCATGTTCATCGGCATCTTCTTGACTTTCTATTTCATCACCAGAAGATTCCTCTTCGTCATACGCTTCATGTTCTGCTGAAAAATCAATCAACGTCTTGCTCATCTGGTAGGCTGTTGCAATTTTCCCACTCTTTGTTTTCTCGCAAAAACGATGATAGTTTTGATCGAAAGGCAGCCGTTATAACCAAAGACTATGAGATGTTGGCCGGCACAGCACAACTATACGCATGCGTATTACCGTTTAATCACTCTTCGATCAATCAAAATCATTATCAATCACAACTTTCATTGAATTCGCTGAAAACGGCATCTGAAACCAAGCCGCATTTCTGCTGAAATTATTATTTTAATGCGACAGAGCTGCCGCATGTATTTTTTGCCGCATTTAATTGACACTTTAATTTAATTCGCTGCGGCAGTCAATTCTAATTTTCTATGAGGGCCTAAACTTCAATAGTTTTTTACCAACAAAACCTTATAAATTGTCTCGTAAATAATTATTCAGCTGTATGATAAAGTTTCTAGATTTCATAAATTTGGAAGATCGAGCGTAAAGACTGTTGGTTTAATTAGCGCATCAAAACATACGTAGTCCAGAAATTAGGAGTTAATTTTTCTCCTTCTACAACTTGCCCATTGCTCCACTATCTTATCTTAATTTACGTTGTCCAAAATGTCTTTCTTGCAAGTCTCGCAAGTAAGAATCATGAGGTCGTTTAGTCTTTCACAGGGGCGGCCCCATAAAAATTCAAAGTGGGTGGGGGGCGGGCTCGAGTTGATAAAATTATTTGACTAAAGAACCATCTTTTGACTGAAACCCCAGCTTTCCACCTGGCAACGCCTATGTTTCATCGGTCGATCTCGAACGGAGAAAGTTCTTGACAAGTCATGGGAAATATTATATAAAAATTCTATTTCGTATCCCGTTTTTAGAAGCAATTTGATGGAATGATTATCACACTATCCCCATTACGACGAAGGTAATTGAAAATACTTGCTCATTTATTTTAGGACTGCCTTTTACCAAACAACTATTTTCTTTTGAACTTGTATCTTTCTTATGCTTCCCTTTGAGCTACAGTTCACAGGTCATTTGAGTCAAAACTTCAATTTTCACAAATGATTAAGTTTTTTTCCGATTAAAATCATAGAGATATGCCTAAAATATATATATTAGCGTGACTTTATTTGTTCCCGCCCACCTATTGCCAATTTACACAAGGAGAGTATAATATATGAGAAAAAAGACAGGATTAGCCTGTTGTTCAAAAATACGGGCATGTGGGAAGTGACGTCAAAGGAATAAGACACGATTCAGCCTATCATGCAATCACTATCAAAATCAGATCGATTCCTGCCTGTCTCCACTGCTGCCTTCTTGCTAACTTTTTTACCTAGGGTCAAACAAAATGGGCGTCTTTAGCGATGTTTTGGTCTGCACATTTGTCCTGGCGACATTTCTAGGCAACGGAGATTGCAGAAAGGCAAAATCGAAGGTTGTATTTGTGACACTGAGTTTTGAATCAAGCCCTTACTTCAATTGTTTAGAGTTAGCGGAAGAGTTGGTGAGGCGCGGACTTGAGGTTTGTACGATTTTTTCCTTTTTTTCGCAATCTGCATACTGCTGTCCTCATATGAAATTTAGCGTTGCGCCAGAAATGCGTTTGTGTGCATGCCAAAAGTAGAATTTCTCAAAATTAGCGTTTCGACGACGTAACAAGGGTTGAGGGTATTTCTAGACTATAGGCAGGGCTATGGCTGCGAACAGTGCTGAGGAGAGGTGGGTCAGGGGGTCACTGACCCGGGGGCCCTTAGCCTTAGGGGCCAAAAAATTATAACTCAAAACATTAAAGTGAAAGTCCAGCCTCTCCATTATAAAAAAACTGTCAATAATAGAAACTGTCGATTCTAAAAGACCAGGCGCGCAACCAGAAATTTCAGAGGGCAGGGGTCCAAGACACAAAAAGGGCACTAATTAAACTTCATTAAAGGTCCACCGGGGCATTTGTTTAGATACACCGAAAATATGAGCAGTTAGTAAATCTGTAAATATTGTACGCCAGACAAGGGAAACTGATCAATAGAGAAAAGTTGTGGTGTACGGTTTATTTTGTGGTGAGGTGTGATGAAGTTTAGGAGGCCCGAAGGAGGGGGGAAATGGAAAAAACAATGCCTCTTGCGAGCGAAGCGAGCAAAAATTTTGCCACCATACCCTTGCAAATAGCTTAAATTCACTAATTCGTTTAAGATGTTTTACTTTTTAATTGTAATTTTGTTACTTTTAATAAATTCCATTTAAAAACGGAATTCATTGCTTTGTGAGGCTCCCTAGACCTCGAGGCCCTAGGGCAATTTGCCCCTTTGTCCCCCTCTCGGCGACCCTGCTCTCATCTCCTTTTCCCAGCGCCAGCTCACTTTTGAATAGCAGCCCATCATCTTCCATATCCGAAGACATTTTGCGCTTTAAAATATTATTATTGAATTCTTTGCTTCGCACTACAGATTGGAGGAGGTTGAACAGTTCCACGAGCCTTGCCTTCAGCTTGTTTCTGTCTCCAAGTCTTGCCTTGAGCTGATTTGTAATACTGACAAGGAACGGAACAGCTGAACATCAACTTTTTGTGTCATATTTACTGCTTGCTAATACCAGTCCGAAAATATTTCCCTGCATTCGCTCGTTTCATGCAAAGGTCTTCTATGACCCTGTCAACTATGTGACAGGCTTGAAAAATGTCTTGGTTTTTATTCTTGTAACTTTTAACCAGAGGTCGTAGAGGCTCTATCCCGTTCAAAATCCTGTGCCTTTATTTTGGTTTTTGAGTCCCAGAACCATTCTTCTTCAAAGCCAGTGCGTAGCGCATCATAAAACACGCTGTAGAGTTGGGGCTTGAAGATATACTCTATTACTGCAACATGATGACGTTCGACCCAACAAGTGCGCGAAAGTTCGACTAAATCATTTATCTGTATTCCTGCGAGGTCCATTACATCTCCGTAGTGTGTCATTTACTGTATGACCAACCATTTTAGCGTAATAGTTAAAATATTCAAGCAATTTTCCAGGAAAAAGGGCACTTTTACCCTTTTGAGAAAAAGGGCAGGGGTCTGGACCCCCAGGACCCCCCCCCCGTAGTTGCGCCCCTGAAGACTGAACACTCCAAGAACAGGCTGAACACCCCAAGAACACCCCAAGAACACCTCAAGAACACCCTAAGAACAAGCTATTAAGCGGCTGAACACCCTTTAAAACATATCAAAATTGGCATATCATTCGAAAAATAATTTGGTAAATCAATCAAAATTAATTTCGGGGCGGGAGAGGGCCTGATAAGTCTAATGCTGTTGGTGTTGTTACAACCAACGGTTGTTTTGCGCGCCAAAAGTGTGAATAAGGGTTTGTACACGCGGAGCAAATTCGAGTTTGACTCCCTTTGTGCATTCAAGCAATTTCCCGTTGTTTTCAAATCTTTCACATCCAGTGACAATGTAAAAATACGACATGTCACTTGACTACCTATTGTCCTCCAAACAATTGTTCTTCCCATCCGCTAATTTGCCCAATTGGTCACGGCATAGAATAGAAATTAACTATTATGTGGTCACGGTATGCTAGTCCACGCTAGATAGTTGGTGCAAGCAGAACGAGATACACACCTCCTTTCTTGTTGTGTTGTTATATCAAGGCAGTGACGTCTCCAGCTGGTGCACTCGCAGGCCCAATTCCTGGATAGGATTTTTATAAGGAATTTTTGACAAATGAAACAGAAAATGCACAGTGTAGGACTTGTTAGAGGGTAGCGGCATTAAGTCACCGAATTTCCGTGTCTCTAGTTTGATCATAATAAGAAACATATTGATTTTACTTATAAGGGCTGCGCCAATAAGCAAGACAAATCAACTCTGTACACAACATTTCATAGGATCTTTCTATTAAAAATCACACAACATCACCTTGCTTTCGCCCGTAGTTTGCTGTTTATTCTAAAAAAATAAAAGCAAAAGTTTTTTCAAATTAAATGTACAAATGACAACAGTACCAATGTTTGTTGAAGGTCGGGTTTTCATGTAAACTTTTATCTGCGTAGTTTATTCTGATTTTAGGACTATTGCAATCAGGCATTAACAAAATGGTTGTACAAACCCAGCTGATATGTTGATAAATGCTTCTTGAAAAGCTTAAATGACTTCTTATTCTTAGGCTTTTAAATGCAACAATTTTATGGATTACTGCGTGTTCAGTCCATTGAAAGCTCTAGCAGTTTAACTATAAGCACCAATGGGCTCAGGCCTGATCCTTACAGACGTATGCTTATTCTCAAAAACTAATAATTTGGTTTCAAAGCAATGATACAGGCAAATTTCCAGAGTGGTGAATCTTTTTGGCCTTCTTGCCTTCTTTGCGCTTTCGCTATTCCTTACACTGTATTTTTTCATAGATTCTTTTTCAAATAATAAATTAACATGAATTATTTGACCTTCTAACCATACTAGCAATGCCAAAGGTGGACTTTTCCTTTCTTTAAATGCAAACCTATTTTTATGGATTTTGGCGATATTTCCCATTGTTCGATTTTATGCATAATTTATTTATATAAATATATATGTACATCTTTATCTATAAATTTTGATGTTATTGACAGGTTTCAATTCTCACAACGAAACATATGAAAACACGAAAGAGCACTGTGAAACATGTTGAATATCAACTACCGAATCCACAGTTAGCAGAAGAGATCCTTTATCGTTTAGGCGCTGTATCTAATCATTCGGGACTATATACCTTCTTCTCTGCATTTAAAATCCTATCGCAGGTTTTTCTAGACTCATGCTTTGCAATGCTGAAAAACAAAAATGTTCTTAAAGAGATAAAGGATGCGGACATGATCGTAACAATATCAGTGATGCCATGTGGGCACTATATTGCTGATATGTATGACAAGCCAACAATAGCACTGCACCCAGCTTCGTTTTCTCCTATCGCCTCGGAAACTGGGGTTCCGAGCCTTGCCAGCTTTGTCCCGATGATTACAGGTCCGTTTACTGATGAAATGCATTTCTTAGAGAGAGTACAAAATTTTGTCGACTACAGGTTTAAAGATATTATTGTGAATTTTTGGGTGACATATTGGTTTCGAAACTACAATCTGCAAACGACTGGAAAAGTAAAGGGAGTTACCCTGAAGTTTTCGGGAAAGTGGAGATGTTCATAGTGCCGCTTGACTTCTCATATCAGTATGTCACCCCAATAATGCCAAGTGAGTATTCTGTTGTTTTGTTTACACCGTGGACAACATAAAGTGTGGAAATATCGATTAAAAGTGGTCTACTTGTAGAATACTTTCCATAATAGCCATTCAACCATTTTTCTCATTGGCACTTTTGTGTCTTGTGTTTTCATTGAAAGAGCCTTTTTAATTATACACGAAACGCATTTTGGGGTGGAACATCATAGGCACTGTATGCTCGCGAAGAGGGTTGAAATTTGACCTTTGTTAAAAGAAGGTTGACTTTTTTTAACGTAAATTCGACTTCATTAGTTTATCACTTGGGAAGCAATCACAACTTTGGGTGTTTCATACAGACAGGGCATTTGGCTGATTCTATCAGCTCTTTTTAGAATATTGGTACTTCTTATTCTAGATACCTTCTTTGTTGGATCATTTTTGACAAAGCCATCAAAACAGTTACCTGAAGATCTTGAAGGGTTTATGCAAAGCTCTGGAGAGCACGGAGTTGTGTTGCTTGCTTTTGGTAGTGCAGTGTGTAGTATGGACCAAATCATTGTTGAGAGAATTCTAACTGCCATTTCACGCATGAAGCAAAAGTTCATCTGGAAATTGAAATGTGAGTTTTGTTTATTTATTTATCTGCCCTGAATCAGCCTAACTGTATTGGCATTGATTCAAAATGGAAGAAATAAAGATTCATTGATGTAGCCTTCTTCCGCCATTGAGTAATAGCTTTCTCACCAGTGGCTAGGCCAATTTCAAAAGTCTGAATTTTACAACAAGTGCGCGAGTCCGAGATATTCACTTGTCACACGAAGTAAAGAGCATTCATTTTCACAGATCTCTCACATCCTTTGCATCCTTTGCTTGAGCGACATTCTTGAACAAAAAAATTCCGTAGAAATTCCCAGCCAGGGGTTGAACTAAACTTACAGTTCGAGGTTACAGTATATGTCAAAGTTTTTCAGATCATCTATAGGCTGCCAGTGGTGATGTATCTTATCCTTGATAGATAGAGACTTTGTTTGGCTTAATCTAAGTTGAATACGTCTGTTTTATGCTCCAAAATCTTTCTGCCTTTGATTTTTATGGTACAGAAGCCTGGGGCACTCCCGAATTGGACTAGATGAGTTATGCCGCGGAAAAGGGTAACTACTTCTGCTGTAAATTCAGTGACAGGGTAAATTGCCTCTAAAGCTTGCGCTGGACATCAAAATCGAGAAATATTTTTGGGAGGGGTGTTAAGAAGCATCATTTATTCAATTCAAAGTTGAGTTATCAATAATATGCGTCCAGTTACAATGGGTGCACATTCTCTTTCCATTTATAGTTTCTTGAAAATCAATGTCTGTGCTTGTTTTCGAAGTGACATGTTCCTGCATCTTTTCTATACTTTGATTGGAAAGACCAAACACATTCCTAACTCACATAACTCAAATATTTTTAGAACCTTTGGGCTTTGTTCGCATAGTTTGAAGCAACACCATAAAATACCTTTAAGTGTACAAAATCAGTTAGGTCTATATCAAATTGGTTGAGATTTGGCCACATGAGTACATGCATTTTCCCCATCAAACCAGTGGAATGTGGAATTTCACCTGGTTCTGAAATTCATTACCTTGAATTTATGGTGGCTCTAGTACCCAGAGTAAATATTGTTAGGCAGAAAAATACGGAATGTTTTGGACTGTAGAAGACTTACAATCAGTTCAAATGAAAACGTTAAGCAAGAAAACATGTAAACTTATCAAGAAATTCTTGATTTCCTTTGCCGTCTTTTTTTATGAGATTGTGAAGCTTTGGAGGGATTCAAATTCAAATTCCTGCTCAAAAGGAAGGGGCTCAATTGGAAAGATTGATTTAGTAGCAAGGGCTAAACTGAACTTTAAAGGCTCTTGCGCAACCGGCATGCTTTGTGACTATAGTTCCAAAACCGGCCTAATATCGCACTGCATGAAAATACAAAACACGGCCAATTTCTGCAGACAGCTGTCAAGACAAGTTAGAAAAGAAACCTAAAGCTTTTCTCTAGATAGTCTACCCTCGTTTTGACGATTTCTAGGTCCCAATGAAGTCTGTGATGAAAGAGACAGTGCAATCATCTATTCCTTATTCTGAGTTTTGCGTTTCTTAAAATGTAATTACAAAACCTTCATACAATGTATAGTGAGAATTTTTATTTGCAGCGACAGAAAACTTGACTATCCCCCCCAAACCTGAAAGCACTGAAATGGGTACCCCAGAATGACAAACTTGGCCACGAAAAGACAAAGGCTTTCGTTAGTCACATGGGCATAAACGGAGCCGCTGAAGCTGCGTATCACGGTGTACCGATTGTCGCTGTGCCGTTTATAGCTGAACGATTGCACAATACGATTATGTTTTCTAAGAAGATGAAAATGGCCAAGATTATCGACATTAAAACTGCTGACGCAGAGACATGGCAAAGGACTATCGAAGAAGTCATATACAATTCTAGGTAAGTTCTGTAATATAACTGCACCGTATACTTAAGTTTCCTCTAGTGATTGAAGCAAGAATCTGCCTTTGAGATTGATCAACGTTTTTATAAAAACTTTTTTTGAAAAGTCAAGCATTTTATATATTAGGTGAATATTTATTCTTCCTGCTAAAACGATGCTTACCATCACAGCCTCCAATTGCCCTTCTCGTACAAGCCCCCTTTGGATAAGCTCCCACCATACCATGCCGATTTCTGTGTTTCAATAAGCCCCGTGAAAACATAATCAAGAAACAAAGAAAGATACATCACTTTCGTTCATGATTGATAAAACATTCAGCAGCGGATTAAAAAACTCAAATTAAAATATGAATATTTTCAACTACAATAACTGTTTGTGATTTTATTTATATTTTGGATTGGTATTTTACAAAGGTTAAAGTAACAAATGAAACTACCTTTCGACTAAAAATCATGAAAGCACGTACACAACGAGATGTTTCTATGGCAACCTTGAGATTATTTTTAACTTCCCCCTTGTAAAAGCCCCCTCCAATATGTCCCTAGCAAAAAACTTTCTAGGGCTTTTTCGAGAAATTACTGTTTATGCCCCCCTTTAGTTTGCGAATTAACATGTTAGGGCAAGTAACTTGTGTCTTGCCGCGTGTAAAAGCCCGCGTGTAAGATCCTAGTGTTTAAGACTTTTGGCAACATTGGTACACTTAAAAATATTTAGGATGAAGAGCAGACCAGATTTAATGCTATTTTCTGAAAATAAGCAACAATATCTACTGTGAAGAAATAAAGAATATTAATAAGAACCTATTTAGCCTTAACTGTCAATAGGTAACCCATACTACCAGAACCTGTTTTGCCAAACTCTGAAAAAAGTAGGTTCTTACACGCTGGTTTTAACTGTATTTTAGATGTCACCAATGACTATGACATAATTGTTTCTGTTATCCTTTGCATTTAGCTACAAGGAACATGCAATGATGACGTCAAAACGTTTGCGAAGCTGGCCTAAATCAGGCACAGAGAGAGCCGGAGATCTTGTTCAGTATGCACTTGATAATGGTGGACGTCTGCCTCATTTGAAGTCAAACGCAAACACTCTGTACTGGTTCCAATACTACTGTGTCGACGTCATTACGTTGTTGCTTGCGCTGGCAGTGTTGTTGCCTTTAGTTATCTTTAAAATGCTGAAGTTCTTGCTTTCGTTGCTGTGGAGGAGTACAGAGAAATCGAAGAAGGATTAGGTTGCTCAACAAATAGTTTCTCCATATTTGCTTATTTTGTGTTGAATGAAGAAATTTTTCCCATTTGCATCACAGGCTGTAAGGCTATATTTCCATTGCGGAAAAACCAAGTTAAATGCGAAAGCATTCTCGCAAAAAGTGTCTTACTCGGTCCTTCTCGTGTGCAGGTGATATATTTCGATTTCGCGGGGAGAGGTGTCTCTTCGTAAAAAAATTATTCTTCAGTCGCCCTTTCCAGCGAAGAAGCCATTATAACTAGTGATCTTCAAGTTAATGACAACCGTAAGGCGTTGGTTATCTTTTGATGAGTTTATAATTTGATATAGGTTATTCACAGAGAAAAGTGTGAGCAGGAAGGAAACATTGTAATATTGACAAGTATTGATTTTTGATAAAGCTTTAAAGCCTCTTGGTTTGTTTCAGCTGTTGGTACAATCCAAGGCTTAAACATACGCTTGAAACGGCCTTCTAAGATTTGCAGTTGTTTTTTATATTGTACGTAGGCCATTCGACAGGCATTCATAGGATTCGAAGATCAAGGGTCTAGGGTTCGCGTCCCTACCCTAGCATGACCAAACTTTCACCCAGACTGAGGAAAGTCGCCAGCTTTCTGTATTTCGAGGCGTAGGGATCACGAGTTCACATCGAAAGGAAGGGCCTGGTCATTGCTCGATAAGCGTAGCTTCTCGGTGTCTTACAACTACCTTCGGATGGTATGTGGAAGCAAATACAAGTAATACAAGTTTGTCTCACGGAGCGGAAATTCATGTAGTAGTTAAGGGTCCTTTTTGGTTCTTCTTAGTTAATGGTCCTAGGGGTCATAGGGGTCCTACGGTCATAGGGTCTGGTTTTTCCAGTATGCCCTACAATATATATAATAGCGTGACTTCTTTTGTTCCTGCCCACCTACACAGGGAGAATATAATATACGAGAAAAAGACAGGATTAGCCTGTTGTTCACAAATATAGGCATGTGGGAAGTGACGTCAAAGGAACAAGACATGGTTTAGCCTAGCATCCAATCACCATTAATTCCTGCCTGTCTCCAATCAGACCGATTCCTGCCTGTCTCCACTGTTGCCTTGCTAACTATTTTACCTAGGGTCAAACAAAATGGGCGTCTTTAGCGATGTTTTGGTCTGCACATTTGTCCTGGCGACATTTCTAGGCCACGGAGATTGCAGAAAGGCAAAATCGAAGGTTGTATTTGTGACACTGAGTTTTGAATCAAGCCCTTACTTCAATTGTTTGGAATTAGCGGAAGAGTTGGCGAGGCGCGGACATGAGGTTTGTACAATTTTTTCCTTTTTTTTCGCAATCTGCACAAAGTGTTGAAGGTATTCCTAGACTTAAGGCCAAAAAACAATAGGCAGGCTGCGAACCGTACTGAGAAGAGGTGGGCTAGGGGGGTCACTGACCCGGGGGCCCTTGGCCTTACGGGCCCATAAATAACAGCTCGAAACCGACGTTGCTAAAACGAGGAACAAGCGGAACAACCTAGTAACAAGCGGAACAACCCAGTAACAACCCAGGAACAAGCGGAACAACCCAGTAACAACCCAGGAACAAGCAGAACAACCCAGTAACAAGCGGAAATGTGAAGTTATTGTTTTGTAAATAACACATGGGGGCGTTTATAAGCCAACTCTCTAAAGTTCGTGTGGGCTAGCACGTGCACTATCAAGAGGCCGTCAAACACTTTCGTTATGTAATTTTTTGGCAGTTCGCGGCCATTTTCCCTCCTTTTCACACAACCGTACATAGTTTGATGGATCAGAAAACCTGTCGTTGTGGTTTTTCACTCGAATCAAACACCGACATAGCAAGGCAAGGGCTGGTACACAAAAAGCCCAAATTGAGGGGTCGAAAATTGAGGTGGGGGATAATATTTAGAATATATTAATGGCAACCGAAGGGGCAAAAGGACCGGGGGGTGTGGGGGTGTCACACCTCCCCGATAGTATCTCAATGAGAAATTTCAGGTAAAATCTCAATAAACTAACAACAAATGTTGCCAAGTTTGTACGAGAAATAATCAGACAAGGCAAAAAATTGGAAATTCTCCTGTGAACTGAATCAAAACTCCATTTCTAGGCATAGATTTTTACTCATTACTTTTGATTGTAAACAGTAAACAGATCGCTAAAAATTATGAAATTGGAAAAATCTGAGAAACGGAAGCCCCTCCCGTCATTCTTTTGCCTGTCTGAAATAAGAGAAACATACGATCAGTAGCGACGCCACGGGGGGATTGGGGGACACGTCCCCCCAGTTCTCGGCAGGATCAATTTTGCATTTCGTCTAAATCCGATGAGAAAATGTTGGGGGAGGGGTAACGTACTTTTTGTGATTTTACGACAGAAACTGTTGCTTCAGTTCGCTTAGGCTCTGCAGTGTGTTAACAATTTCGCATTCCCCAGCGGGAATCCCCAGCTGCATTGTAGCATAAAAATTCTTACATAATGGGCATATAAGAATAAGATCTTTGCGAAGCGGTTTTAGCACTAGGAGCACTGGGATTATCACGATAATAATTAATTACCGCTTGTATTTTTATCAAGCTGCAATTACATTCATTCAACATAGCCGTATATTTTATGTTACCGCATGCCTAAGTTCTGCGCTCACGCTACGCCACTGGCAACAATAAATACATTCTTTTTTTCTAAGAACCAGTAAATTTAAGTTCAGATTGACTGTTCTTAATTTTTTCAAAAATCCGACGCTGGCAAATACTGGTTCTCCGCGGGGGGTTTGTCTGTTTCCAAGTTATATTTTTGTTTTCATGTGATCAGACATTCTTGGTCGAAAGCGAAAGGCATTTGAGAAGCCTTTGTGGCATTTGAAAGGTACAAATAGGGGAAGAAGTTTTGAAATCTTTTGAAGAGAGTAAGAGAAAAGAGAGAGAAAGAAAGAACCTTCAGAAACGGCGGAACAAAGAGCACTTACAACATCGTGTGTGCAGTTTGCTTGACAGCCAATCAGATTCGCGAAGCTATCATAATGACTCAGCAATTTTTGCAATTTGGGTATACGCTTCCTATTTACCATGACTCAATGCCTTTAAGTTCAGATTGACTGTTCTTAATTTTTTCAAAAATCCGCCGGCTAGATTGTTATTGATTTGTTCTTAAATTAATAAGTTATAAGCGATGTAATTGCTAGCTCAGCCTTTTCACTCTAGGGAGGTGTTCAGGCTTCATTTGCTAACAAAGTGAACGAGAAAACCTTGTTAGGAACCCTCGTTTTCAAGATTTCCTCTGGGAGCGTTCCCCACATCTCCTAGAAGCGTCTGCCTTAACTATCTATTTTTTGTACGTAGTTCTATCTATTAAGCAGTTCTTTACAAAGCGACTCTATACCTGGTCGCGGCAGGCTTTTTTTACAAGTATTGAAACAGGATTATCTAGTTAAAGTTATTCGAAAGCTAATTTTATTCCATTGTTGAGCTAAAAGTCTCCTCTTTACTTCTATGCATAAGTACGTGCACATTGGTATTGAAAATTCTATTGCAGCAAAGTTAGTCCATCAAAACAAAATAACATAGAACGAAGGCTTTAACATGTCACGGCTTTGGGTAACAGTTTGAACAAGATCTATCGAGAGAGAGGAGCTCAGAAGTTCACTCGCTTTTGATTGACAAATAGCTATCTTTGTTGATGATTTTGTCTAAGTTTTTAACACTGCAATCACATCTATTTTATATGAAAAGAAGCCCAGGCTGAAGGTTTGCGGAAAAGATTGACATTCTAACCACGCTTCAAAGCCCGTTTTCACCTTTAAATTCAGAGAAAGGGCGTTACCAGGAGCAAAAGCAGAGCGTGGCCTAATTTTTTTTCCGTAATTTTGAGCCCCGGTATGGCATATGGTATTCCCCGAGGCCCGTCCCACCTTGCGGCGGCCCTGCCTAGAAAGATATTTCTTTGGCTTAATTTGACAAAGTTCTTTTCGCTTATATCATAGTTTATTGGGAAAAGTTGGGAAGGGAGGAGCTATGATAAAACTCTAGTGATAGGAGTTAGAGAAGAAGGTAAAATGCCATCATATGATAGGAGAACAAATAAAATATTTTGCAACATAAATCGTTAGATTGTGATTTACTGAGTTAAAGTCTGGTTTCCATATGATCGCAAAAAACGCAAAAAAGCAAGGATCGCTGAAATTTGTGACTTGCGATCCTTGCGATCCTTGCGTATTAATGGAAACTGCTCTTTTTTGTCTGTTGCGATTTTTGCGATTCTTGCGTTTGAGATAGAAAATTTTCTATCTCTGCGATTCTTGCGATCTTTGCGTCGATGGTTTTTCTAATGGAAACCGCTTGTTAACAACTTGGCGATCCTTGCGTCAGTTTATCATCCGGGATGTTCTACCAAGACTCGCATCCATTTATTTTCATCGAACTTTCAAGATGGCTTTTGCAACAGAAGAAGACCTTGCTTTAATAGAAAAAATACAACAGTACGACTGCCTTTATAATAAGAATAGCCGGGACTTTAAGAAAAGTTCAAGAAACTGCCTAAAGAGGTAAATACTAACAGGCAACGAGGTTACATCATTCCAACCTGAAAAATTAGGCCTACCTGAAAAAGTACTCCCGATCGTGAATCCTCAGATCCTTTGTTAGTGTGTGAAACGCGCCAAGTTCTTCTCTCCTCTGAAGAAATTTTCTCACCCAAAACCTATGTTTTTTTCTTCCGCGACGTATTTTCACTCTTTTCAACAATGCAATAATAATAAACAAGCTCGATTGCAGTAGAAATTGCTGGTTGATTCCCGCCATTTTTATTTTGACGCACCCAAAGTCAAATAAGGAACGCAAGAATCAAAAGGATGGCAGTGTATTTCTTGCGATCTTTGCGATCAAATGGAAACCGGTTTGTCGCAAGGATCGCAGAAATCGCAAGGGTCGCAGTGCGTTTCTTGCGCTTTTTGCGATCATATGAAAACCAGGCTTAATGAAAATAGTAGAGCTAGGTAATATTTTCATTCCAATCAAAATACAGTATAATACAATGCAATAATACAATAAGATTAAAAGAAACAAGATTGAAACGAAAATTAACATTTAAAAAATAATTTTTTGGCGGTACAGAACTTGAAAATGGCTATGAGAATAGCAAACATTTTACAACATATTTGGCTACAAAGCTTTTTGCAGTATCGATTCACCAACGCAATCTACAGTACTCGATGATAGAAATATACTAATCTAAACATGACTTGAACCCTAATTTCATGAGTGAGATTTTTGAAACAAGAAATGTACATTATGATTTGCGAACTAAAAATAATCTTTGCATTCCAAAAGCCAGGATAACTTCTTATGGTATAGAAACTGAGATATTTAGGTCAAAAACTGTGGCAAACACTACCTCACAGTATAAGAGAATCCCAATCTTTGGCAACATTTAAAAAAGAATTGAGAGCAAACCCTGTAGAATGTGACTGTAGATTGTGTAAAATATCTTTTGCTGGGTTAGGTTTTTTTTAGAATATTATACCTTATACATTTCTAACATTGTATCATATATTTATTTTATGCTAATTCTTTATAGATAGTTGGCCTTAATTAGCTTCAAATTTCCAGAGTGGCGAATCTTTTTGGTCCCTCTTGCCTTCTTCGCGCTATCGCTATTCCTTACACTGTATTTTTTCATAGATTTTTTTCAAATAATGAATCAACATGAATCTTTTGACCTTCCAACCATACAAGCAATGCCAAAGGTGGACTTTCCCTTCTTTAAATGCAAACCAATTTTTATGGATTTTGGCGATATTTCCCACTGCTCGATTTTATGCATAATTTATTTATATATATAAATATATACATCTTTATCTATAAATTTTGATGTTATCGACAGGTTTCAATTCTAACAACGAGACATATGAAAACACGAAAGAGCACTGTGAAACATGTTGAATATCAACTACCAAATCCACAGTTAGCAGAAGAGATCCTTTATAATATAGGCGCTGTATCTAATCATTCGGGACTATATACCTTCTTCACTGCATTAAAAAGCCTATCGCAAGTTTTTCTAGACTCATGCTTTGCAATGCTGAAAAACAAAAATGTTCTTAAAGAGATAAAGGATGCGGACATGATCGTAACAATATCAGTGATGCCATGTGGGCACTATATTGCTGATATGTATGACAAGCCAACAATAGCACTGCAACCAGCTTCGTTTTCTTCTATCGCCTCGGAAACTGGGGCTCCGAACCTTGCCAGCTTTGTCCCGATGATTACAAGTCCGTTTACTGATGAAATGTCTTTTATAGAGCGAGTGAAAAATTTTGTCGACTACAGGTTTAAAGATATTATTGTGAATTTTTGGCTGACATATTGGTTTAGAGAGCTGCAATCTGCAAACGACTGGAAAAGTAAAGGGAGTTACACTGAGGTTTTCGGGAAAGCGGAGATGTTCATAGTGCCGCTTGACTTCTCATATCATTATGTCACCCCAATGATGCCCAGTGAGTATTCTATTGTTTTGTTTACACCGTGGACACCATAAAGTGTGAAAAAATTGATTAAAAATGGTCTACTTGTAGAATACTGTCTTTGTGAAAGAAATTGAAACGTGCGACAAAAGTTAACTAACTTATTTGATAAAAATATAAATGAATATGCCACAACAAAGTCTCACCAGAATTCATATCCTTATTGAAATAGCTTTATAAGAAACCTGTCAACTTTCTAGATTGTTTCTGTTTTTTTCTTTAGAGGAAATCAGGTATCAAAAGCAGACATTCAACAATTTTTCTCATTGGCACTTTTGTGTCCTGTGTTTTCATTTAAAGAGCCTTTTTAATTATACACGAAACGCATTTTGTGGTGGAACATCATAGGCACTGTATGCTCGCGAAGGGGGTTGAAATTTGACCTGGGTTAAAAGAAGGTTGACTTTTTTTAACGTAAATTCGACTTCATTAGTTTATCACTTGGGAAGCAATCACAACTTTGGGTGTTTCATACAGACAGGGCATTTGGCTGATTCTATCAGCTCTTTTTAGAATATTGGTACTTCTTATTCTAGATACCTTCTTTGTTGGATCATTTTTGACAAAGCCATCAAAACAGTTACCTGAAGATCTTGAAGAGTTCATGCAAAGCTCTGGAGAGCACGGAGTTGTGTTGCTTGCTTTTGGTAGTGCAGTGTGTAGTATGGACCAAGTCATTGTTGAAAGAATTCTAACTGCCATTTCACGCATGAAGCAAAAGTTCATCTGGAAAATGAAATGCGAGTTTTGTTTATTTATTTATCTGCCCTTAATCAGCCTAACTGTATTGGCATTGATTCAAAATGGAAGAAATAAAGATTCATTGATGTAGCCTTCTTCCGCCATTGAGTATTAGCTTTCTCACCAGTGGCTAGGCCAATTTCAAAAGTCTGAATTTCACAACAAGTGCGCGAGTCCGAGATATTCACTTGTCACACGAAAAGTAAAGAGCATTCATTTTGACAGATCTCTCACATTCTTTGCTTGAGCGAATTTCTTGAACATGGAAGTCCGTAGAAATTCCCAGCCAGGGGTTGAACTAAACTTACAGTTCGAGGTTACAGTATATGTCAAAGTTTTTCAGATCATCTATAGGCTGCCAGTGCTGATGTATCTTATCCTTGATAGATAGAGACTTTGTTATGCTTAATCTAAGTTGAATACGCAGTGGCGGCTCGTGGGGTAAATTTTTGGTGGGGCTGATGACGTTATATTCGAAATCTAAAGCCATAGACATGGAACGCCAAGAATAATAAAAAGCATTTCCATTCTTTACTACCTCTAATCAACAATGCTGTCATCATTTTGAAAGGTTTGATTGAAAAGTGGCACTATTAATCATGTATATTTTTAATAAGCAAAGTAATAAACTATGTGAAATGTTGATGTGCTCAAATTTATTTATTCAAGTCCGCTGGACCGTTTTTTTATGGTACCGAAGCCTGGGGCACTCCCAAATTTGCCCAGATGAGTTATGCCGCGGAAAAGGGTAACCACTTCTGCCGTAAATTCAGGGAGAGGGTAAATTGCCTCTAAAGCTTGCGCTGGACATCAAAATCGAGAAATATTTTGGGAGGGGTGTTAAGAAGCATCATTTATTCAATTCAAAGTTGAGCTATCAATATGCGTCCAGTTACACTGCGCTTTGGGTGCACATTCTCTTTCCATTTATAGTTTCTTGAAAATCAATGTCCGTGCTTGTTTTCGAAGTGACATGTTCCTGCATCTTTTCTATACTTTGATTGGAAAGACCAAACACATTAATGGAGTTTATTGCCCTTGATGTCAAAGTGATTTTATTCTATTAGGAAGATTGGGAACAACGCCTTGACATGCTGTATCTTGACATACTTGTAAACAAGAAATGTGACAGAACAGCTCACAAGGTTTTTTGGATTTTCTTGGAAAGAATGTTGCAATAACGTTTGCTAAAAGTGAATATAGAAGCAAAATATTGACGTTATAAAGGTATATTTTTAAAACCTTTGGGCTTTGTTCGCATAGTTTGAAGCAACACCATAAAATACCTTTAAGTGTACAAAATCAGTTAGGTCTATTTCAAATTGGTTGAGATATGGCCACATGAGTACATGCATTTTCCCCATCAAACCAGTGGAATGTGGAATTTCACCTGGTTCTGAAATTCATTACCTTGAATTTACGGTGGCTCTAGTACCCAGAGTAAATATTGTTCGGCAGCAAAACAAGGAATGTTTTGGACTGTAGAAGACTTACAATCAGTTCAAATGAAAACGTTACGCAAGAAAACATGAAAACTTATCAAGAAATTCTTGATTTCCTTTGCCGTCTTTTTTTATGAGATTGTGAAGCTTTGGAGGGATTCAAATTCAAATTCCTGCTCAAACGGAAGGGGCTCAATTGGAAAGATTGATTTAGTAGCAAGGGCTAAACTGAACTTTAAAGGCTCTTGCGCAACCGGCATACTTTGTGACTATAGTTCCAAAACCGGCCTAATATCGTACTGCAAGAAAATACAAAACACAGCCAATTTCTGCAGACAGCTGTCAAGACAAGTTAGAAAAGAAACCTAAAGCTTTTCTCTAGATAGTCTACCCGTTTTGACGATTTCTAGGTCCCAATGAAGTCTGTGATGAAAGAGACAGTGCAATCATCTATTCCTTATTCCTTATTGTAAATGTAATTACAAAACCTTCATGCAATGTATAGTGAGACTTTTTTATTCGCAGCGACAGAAAACTTGACAATCCCCCCAAACCTGAAAGCATTGAAATGGGTACCCCAGAATGACATACTTGGCCACGAAAAGACAAAGGCTTTCGTTAGTCACATGGGCATAAACGGAGCCGCTGAAGCTGCGTATCACGGTGTGCCGATTGTCGCTGTGCCATTCACAGCTGAACGATTGCACAATACGATTATGTTTTCTAAGAAGATAAAAATGGCCAAGATTATCGACATTAAAACTGCTGACGCAGAGACATGGCAAAGGACTATGGAAGAAGTGATATACAATTCAAGGTAGGTTCTGTAATGTAACTGCAGGGTTTTCAAGTTATTCTCTAGCGATTGAAGCAAGAATCTGCCTTTGAAACTGCTCAACGTTTTTATAAAACTTTTTTTGAAAAGTCGAGCTTTTTATATATTAGGTATAAGCTCTCTCCATTATGTCCCAAGGGTTTTTTGAGAAATAGCTGTTGATGCCCCCCTTTAGCTTGCAAATTTCAACATGTTAGGGCAACCATTTTTTTATTTCTGAGGTTAGTTTTTACGTTTAGTGAGAAATGAAGGAGTTATTGGCGATCTTCTACGCCAAAATTCGCCATCTTGGTTTTCAGAATGAGTAGACAGTGACGTCACGGGAGGAATCCGATCGCCTCCTCCTTCGAGTTTTTGTATCGTAGTCAATGAGGGAAATCTAACAGGTCCAAGATGAGCGATATTTCCAGAGAAAGTAGTGGCAGCGAGGATGAGATTTTTGAAGGTTGCGCTTACATTGTTACAATAACGAGTTCCTCCCATGACGTCACAAGAGAACGGCGAATGATGATAAAGTGACTTGGCTAGGCCGCACTATTTTGCTTAATTTCAATATCAAAACGCTTTTATTTAAAAAAAAAGTTCAGATCTACTATAAGAGCAGTGCAACGCTTCAATTAAGAGAATAAAAAAAGTCATGTCACAGGCACTTTAAATTTATATACTTTTTACCAAAATCCAAAGATGACAGATAATTGTATACTTAAAACAAAACGCAAAATGGAAAATGTATGTTAAATTTGAAATGTTATTACGAAACAATTATTGTTACTATTTATACAGTGTATCAATGTTGGTGGACTTTTAGCAACATTGGTACACTTAAAAATATTAAGGATGAAGAACAGACCAGATTTAATGCTATTTTCTGAAAATAAACAACAATATCTACTGTGAAGAAATAAAGAATATTAAAAAGAACCTATTTAGCCTCAACTGTCATTAGGTAACCCATAATACTAGAACCTGTTTTGCCAAACTCTGAAAAAAGTAGGTTCTTACACGCTGGTTTTAACTGTATTTTAAATGTCACCAATGACTATGACATAATTGTTTCTGTTATTCTTTGCATTCAGCTACAAGGAGAATGCAATGATGACGTCAAAACGTATGCGAAGCTGGCCTAAATCAGGCAAAGAGAGAGCCGGAGATCTTGTTCAGTATGCACTTGATAATGGTGGACGTCTGCCTCATTTGAAGTCAAACGCAAACACTCTGTACTGGTTCCAATACTACTGTGTCGACGTCATTACGTTGTTGCTTGCGCTGGCAGTGTTGTTGCCTTTAGTTATCTTTAAAATGCTGAAGTTCTTGCTTTCGTTGCTGTGGAGGAGTACAGAGAAATCGAAGAAGGATTAGGTTGCTCAAACAATGGTTTTTCCATATTTGCTTATTTTGTGTTGACTGAAGAAATTTTTCCCATTTGCATCACAGGCTGTAAGGCTATATTTCCCAGGGGCGGATCTAGACGTTCGCACCGTTCGCACATGCGACAGTCAAACTTTTAAAATTATACTAAGAATCCGTCTCGAGAGAGGTTTTTGCTGAACAACAACTTTTTCGCTTATTGGCAAATTTCTCATTTGTGTTTTGATACTATTTACTCGGGAATTATGCTTCAGTTATATTTGACAACTGAACACCGTGCAGGAGCAGGAAGATCCAAGGTCTGAATCATGCATGATTTAAACCTGGCCATAAACAGAAGCAAAATCTTAAACACAATCTCTAATTCTATCTCGATCTTGATTCAATCTGATTCAAATCTCAAAGCATCCTGACTAAAAAACAACAGGGTACCAATGTAGTTAGATTAGGGTATTTCGGTGCACAGTATGATTAGTAGCACGTTCGCACCGATTCGCAAAGCTTTTGTTTCAAAATATTTAGCCAATCAAATTGCTAGATAGTGCGAACTTCGGTGCACAGTATGTTTTTTAGTAAGGTCGCACCACTGGGCAAAGATTAATCCGTTCTCATTGCGTGTATTGTGCAGTTTTGAGCTTATTTATGCCTGGCATGGGCAAGCTTTTCACTGGAGAAAAGGAATTTTGTGTTATGGAGTCGGCTGGCTACATGTAAAACGAATACGTTAAACCTGGTAGTTTGGAAGACAAAGGTCGCTAGATTTTCAGAGTAACATTCGACACGGGATGTTTTCAAGTTTCGATGTTCATTACCTCCTCCATGAATCGAGGACCTACTAATGTCAATAAATGCACTGGACTGGGGTGATAATCAGTGGGCGATACCTGCGATTTGGCTCTGGCGAAGAAATAATGTTCAGGACGTTGGCAGAGAAAAATCATCACTTAGACAAAACTTTCAAAGTGAATCTTTTCAATGTGGATTTTCAGTTCTTTATCAGCTTTCAGATATTTCCGGGTAATGTTTACTTGCTTGGGTATTCCCCTGAATTCGAAGGGGTTTCTTGGAAGTAAAATACATGTTTACACGCTGATTTGGTTTAGCTATTAAATAATATTAGTTATTAATGCAGGTTTTATGACTATTTGTGTAAATTTGTTCTATTTGGTTAGTTCTGAAAATTCATTGCAATGATGTTTTTCATTTTTTCGCGTGGCCTGGTTTGTCATCGTATACCATAAACAAATCGAGAGAGACGACTCGAATTTTTGCCTGCTTATGAAAGGAAAACCGTGTCAATACGTTTAAGAATTTCAAGTTGTTTCTTGCTTTACGCTTGGCTAAGAAACAACATAAATGATTCTGTAGTATCAATTGAAAACTCAGATAAGGAATAAACAACAGTTTGGCCACGTTCTAAATAAAGCCAATTTAATGTGCGTGTCGACTGCTCAAATGAGAAGGGGGCGAATATCCTTAAAAACCAAGGGGTGTGGTCACGAATGATATTTCCGACCACACCCTTGTGTGCGACAGTCAGAATATTTTCTAGATCCGCCCCTGATATTTCCATTGCGGAAAAACCAAGTTAAATGCGAAAGCATTCTCGCAAAAAGTGTCTTACTCGGTCCTTCTCATGTGCAGGTGATATATTTCGATTTCGCGGGGAGAGGTGTCTCTTCGTAAAAAAATTATTCTTCAGTCGCCCTTTCCAGCGAAAAAGCCACTACAACTAGTGATCTTCAAGTTAATGACAACCGTAAAGCGTTGCTTATCTTTTGATGAGTTCATAATTTAATACAGGTTATTCATAGAGAAAAGTGTGGACATGTAGGAAACATTGTAAAATTGACAAGTATTGATTTTTGATTAAGCTTTAAAGCCTCTTGGTTTGTTTCAGCTGTTGGTACAATCCAAGGCTTAAACATAGGCTTGAAACGGCGTTCTAAGATTTGCAGTTGTTTTTGATATTGTACGTAGGCCATTCGACAGGCATTGATAGGATTCGAAGATCAAGGGTCTAGGGTTCGTGTCCCTACCCTAGCATGACCAAACTTTCACCCAGACTGAGGAAAGTCGCCAGCTTTCTGTATTTCGAGGCGTAGGGATCACGAGGTCACATCGAGAGAAAGGGCCTGGTCATTGCTCGATAAGCGTAGCTTCTCGATGTCTTACAGATACCTTCAGATGGTATGTGGAAACAAATACAGGTAATACAAGTTTGTCTCAAGGAGCGGAAATCCATGTAGTAGTTAATGCGGGTCCTTTTTGGTTCTTCGTAGTTAATGGTCCTAGGGGTCATAGGGGTCCTACGGTCATAGGGTCTGGTTTTTCCAGTATGCCCTACAATATATATAATAGCGTGACTTTTTTTGTTCCTGCCCACCTACACAAGGAGAATATAATTTACGAGAAAAAAGACAGGATTAGCCTGTTGTTCACAAATATAGGCATATGGGAAGTGACGTCAAAGGAACAAGACATGGTTTAGCCTAGCATCCAATCACCATTAATTCCTGCCTGTCTCCAATCAGACCGATTCCTGCCTGTCTCCACTGTTGCCTTGCTGACTATTTTACCTAGAGTCAAACAAAATGGGCGTCTTTAGCGATGTTTTGGTCTGCACATTTGTCCTGGCGACATTTCTAGGCCATGGAGATTGCAGAAAGGCAAAATCGAAGGTTGTATTTGTGACACTGAGTTTTGAATCAAGCCCTTACTTCAATTGTTTGGAATTAGCGGAAGAGTTGGTGAGGCGCGGACATGAGGTTTGTACAATTTTTTCCTTTTTTTTCGCAATCTGCACAAAGTGTTGAAGGTATTCCTAGACTTAAGGCCAAAAAACAATAGGCAGGCTGCGAACCGTACTGAGAAGAGGTGGGCTAGGGGGGTCACTGACCCGGGGGCCCTTGGCCTTACGGGCCCATAAATAACAGCTCAAAACATTATTAGTGAAAGTCCAGCCTCTCCATTATCAAAAAACTACAAAAATCTATAAATTAAGTAAGGTAGAAGTAGTTTGAGTCTTTGACTGCTTGATTGTTACCAAATAATGTGATTGCAACAGGGCAACATGCAACAATCAGTGGCGTAGCGTCTATGTATGCTACGCTTGCGGCGCAAGCGTAAAAAATTCTAGACAAATTCTTGCGGCGCAAGCGTAAAAAATTCTAGACAAATTCTAAAATTCTTGCAACACTTCTACCGGTAATAAATTCGTTGTAGTGTTAAAGTCAATGCATAACAATTTCCGCAATAAACGGCTTCTCCTTCGTGTCACGAGCAGCATGCAGTGAACTCTAGCGCCAACATGCCAATTGGCTATTTTTCCAAGTAAACAGATCGCTAAAAATTATGAAATTGGAAAAATCTGAGAAACGGAAGCCCCTCCCGTCATTCTTTTGCCTGTCTGAAATAAGAGAAACATACGATCAGTAGCGACGCCACGGGGGGACACGTCCCCCCAGTTCTCGGCAGGATCAATTTTGCATTTCGTCTAAATCCGATAAGAAAATGTTGGGGGAGGGGTAACGTACTTTTTGTGATGTAATCCTATGATTTTCAAACTGCCTTTATATAGCCAAAAGTGAGTAATAGGCGTTCCCTTCAGGTAAAAGTTGCGTTCCTTGTTAGTAAAAGGGGGTCTTCTGGTGCTAAAAGGGGCGTGGTCCAAAATATTTTGTTTTGTCCCCCCCCCTCCCCCAGAGCGTAGTGGCCGGACTGGAGCTTGCGGTAGGCCCAGACTGGAAACTTTGCTTCTTGCGCGGGCAAGTTTATTTTGAAAATTTGAGACTGCGCGCCTGAAATTGTGCACTCTTAGTTATTTTTATTGTTAATAATGTTAAATGCTATTGTCTAGGGATCTAGGGGATTTTGCGCGGCCAATATGCAAAAGCGCGCAGATGTGTGCGCGGGCAATATATTGCGGGCGCGCAGCAAAGTTTCCAGTCTGGCGGTAGGCCTGAGCGCAAGCATTCCCAAATATTTGATAATCCACAACATTTGTCTACCTATAAGCTGCTTTTTGCGAATATTTTTCGCGTGAAACATCATTTCAAACTCAACTATTTTCCTTTCTTTACTTTGTGACTGTTAAAAAGAGAAAACGTTTCGTCAAAGTGGGGTCAAAGTTTCTTTGTCATTATCCGCATTCCGTATTTCAAGTCTAAGACGTGCCAGTATAGTCAGAATTTACGGACCAGGGCATGCGGTAGACCTGAGCGCAAGCTTTGCCAAATACATGATGATTTGCAGGGACTAATTTTCTGAAACTTTGTTAACTATGAGAGGATAAAATGAGCAGAAACTGTTGCTTCAGTTCGCTTAGGCTCTGCAGTGTGTTAACAATTTCGCATTCCCCAGCGGGAATCCCCAGCTGCATTGTAGCATAAAAATTCTTACATAATGGGCATATAAGAATAAGATCTTTGCGAAGCGGTTTTAGCACTAGGAGCACTAGGATTATCACGATAATAATAATTACCGCTTGTATTTTTAAGAAGCTGCAATTACATTCATTCAACATAGCCGTATATTTTATGTTACCGCATGCCTAAGTTCTGCGTTCACGCTACGCCACTGGCAACAATAAATACATTCTTTTTTTCTAAGAACCAGTAAATTTAAGTTCAGATTGACTGTTCTTAATTTTTCAAAAATCCGACGCTGGCAAATACTGGTTCTCCGCTGGGGGTTTGTCTGTTTCCATGTGATAAGTTTGTTTTCATGTGATCAGACATTCTTGGTCGAAAGCGAAAGGCATTTGAGAAGCCTTTGTGGCATTTGAAAGGTACAAATAGGGGAAGAAGTTTTGAAATCTTTTGAAGAGAGTAAGAGAAAAGAGAGAGAAAGAAAGAACCTTCAGAAACGGCGGAACAAAGAGCACTTACAACATCGTGTGTGCAGTTTGCTTGACAGCCAATCAGATTCGCGAAGCTATCATAATGACTCAGCAATTTTTGCAATTTGGGTATACGCTTCCTATTTACCATGACTCAATGCCTTTAAGTTCAGATTGACTGTTCTTAATTTTTTCAAAAATCCGCCGGCTAGATTGTTATTGATTTGTTCTTAAATTAATAAGTTATAAGCGATGTAATTGCTAGCTCAGCTTTTTCACTCTAGGGAGGTGTTCAGGCCTCATTCGCTAACAAAGTGAACGAGAAAACCTTGTTAGGAACCCTCGTCTTCAAGATTTCCTGGGGGAGCATTCCCCACATCTCCTAGAAGCGTCTGCCTTAACTATCTATTTTTTGTCCTGACCTAGGGCCTATAAATCCTCTCCGCGGCTCTGGCTGCGAACATCTGATTTCTGACCTAAACAAGATGATCTTGATGGTTTTATATACTTTCGAGTATGGAGATTTAGAATCCAAGATGGGACCAAAAAAATTTGGCCTCGGTATCACGTGACTGATGACGTCGTCGATAACGGAAAAACAAAAACAATCTGTTTTCAAGTGGGTTAGTGGGAACGCGACGCAAAAACGGATAACTTTTAACCCGAATATGTTTTAACCCAGGCTAGTGGAAAGGCTGCCTAATATATCATTATAAGAATCATAACGCATTTGTGTAGTGCGACAGCAATGACGATTAAGCAGTTTTTTACAAAGTGACTCTATACCTGGTCGCGGCAGGCTTTTTTTACAAGTATTGAAACAGGATTATCTAGTTAAAGTTATTCGAAAGCTAATTTTATTCCATTGTTGAGCTAAAAGTCTCCTCTTTACTTCTTTGCATAAGTTCGTGCACATTGGTATTGAAAATTCTATTGCAGCAAAGTTAGTCCATCAAAACAAAATAACATAGAACGAAGGCTTTAACATTTCACGTCTTTGGGTAACAGTTTGAACAAGATCTATCGAGAGAGAGGAGCTCAGAAGTTCACTCGCTTTTGATTGACACATGGCTATCTTTGTTGATGATTTTGTCTAAGTTTTTAACACTGCAATCACATCTATTTTATATGAAAAGAAGCCCAGGCTGAAGGTTTGCGGAAAAGATTGACATTCTAACCACGCTTCAAAGCCCGTTTTCACCTTTAAATTCAGAGAAAGGGCGTTACCAGGAGCAAAAGCAGAGCGTGGCCTAAATTTTTTTCCGTAATTTTGAGCCCCGGTATGGCATATGGTATTCCCCGAGGCCCGTCCCACCTTGCGGCGGCCCTGCCTAGAAAGATATTTCTTTGGCTTAATTTGACAAAGTTCTTTTCGCTTATATCATAGTTTATTGGGAAAAGTTAGGAAGAGAGGAGCTATGATGAAACTCTGGTGATAGGAGTTGGAGAAGAAGGGAAAACGCCATCATATGATAGGAAGACAAATAAAATATTTTGTAACATAAATCGTTAGATTGTGATTTACTGAATTAAAGCCTGGTTTCCATATGATCGCAAAAAACGCAAAAAAGCAAGGATCGCTGAAATTTGTGACTTGCGATCCTCGCGATCCTTGCGATCCTTGCGTATTAATGGAAACTGCTCTTTTCCGTCTGTTGCGATTGTTGCAATTTTTGCGATTCTTGTGTTTGAGATAGAAAATTTTCTATCTCTGCGATTCTTGCGATCTTTGCGTCGATGGTTTTTCTAATGGAAACCGCTTGTTAACAACTTGGCGATCCTTGATTCAGTTTATCATCCGGGATGTTCTACCAAGCCTCGCATCCATTTATTTTCATCGAAATTTCAAGATGGCTTTTGCAACAGAAGAAGACCTTGCTTTAATAGAAGAAATATAACAGTACGACTGCCTTTATAATAAGAATAGCCGGGACTTTAAGAACAAGTTCAGGAATCTGCCTAAAGAGGTAAAAACTAACAGGCACCGAGGTTACATCATTCCAACCTGAAAAATTAGGCCTACCTGAAAAAGTACTCCCGATCGTGAATCCTCAGATCCTTTGTTAGTGTGTGAAACGCGCCAAGTTCTTCTCTCCTCTGAAGAAATTTTCTAACCCAAAACCTATGTTTTTTTCTTGCACGACGTCCTCTGACTCTTTTCAACAATGCAATAATAATAAACAAGCTCGGTTGATTCCCGCCATTTTTATTTTGACGCACCCAAAGTCAAATAAGGAACGCAAGAATCAAAAGGATGGCAGTGTATTTCTTGCGATCTTTGCGATCAAATGGAAACC